GGGTTATCGCGGGGATACTTTGCCGAGACCGCGAACGCAGTGGCGGCTATAGCTTCCGCGCGCTCGATTATATACTGGCCGTGGATATCTAGTAGCTTATAGATAGGCCGGTTATCGGCGGAGCTAACGATAGTATTATTTATAGTGTCCTAGCGGTAGCCTTATAGGCGTAGCTAGCGTTCCGAGACGATATTAGTAACGAATTCCTTATAGTATACGACGTCACGGAGGCGTAGTAGCCTTTTTATGCCTGTTAGAGATTATACACGCAGCTTAACGTCTCCGTATCTAAGGATAGGAGCCTTATAAGTACCCACCTAAAGCGTTAATAAATTAACCGTGGGTAGTCTAACGGCCGTAAAACGGCCTTAATTATTAAAGATATAGATTAACGATCCTAAGTCTAGGATCGCGTAGTGTAATAGCGCTCTGGCTTAGTTAATAGAAAGGGATATCCCCTATTCTTATTATAATCTTAATAGTGTCGTTATACGATAACGCGTTACCCTTTAGGTTAGGGGGGCTCTTAATCTCTCTATCATAGTGACGGATAGGTCCTTATAAACTATAGTAGGCGTAGTATTATAGAGTTAATCTTCCTGGATTTCCTTTATCTTATTAGCGGTAGTAGCTGCTGCTTCCCGCCTCTTCTATATCGCGGTGTCCACGCGGCTTTTAAAACTATAAATACTTATCTTCTTTTCCGCGACCTTTATAATATCCTTACGGCTATACTAGGTATAAGGGCGTATATCCGGCCTTACGTACTAATAGGCGGCGGTAGTATAGATGTTTTCGTATATCTTATAGGGCCTCCTTATTACGGGAGGGATAGCCTTTAAGGACGTATCGCTACGAGGACGCTTTTTATTATCTTTATTATTAGTAGTAGTAGTATCCTTAGTATCGGGGAGGTTCCTAAGGGTGTTAAAGGTGCCTCTCCTAACTCTAGGCTTTATAGCGGAGGATTATAGGCTCTTTATATTACTAAGAACCGCCCTTAAAGCCTTTACGAAGTCGTTAATCGTTAGCTTATTTTCCGTAATCTTATCGTAGTTATTTATTAGGTAGTTATTACTTTATTCCTAGGTAATAGGTCTAATAGCTTTTAACGCGTCTTCTACCTAATAGTCCGCGCTTAATAGCTCTAAAACGCCTATATATTTATAGTATATTATTACTGTTTTCTAGCTTACTACCTAAGTGTCTATATCCTTAGGTATAGCCTTTATAGGTATAGTGTATCGTCGGTATAGGACTAAGGCTTCTTTACGGAGGTTTATAGGTATTAGTCCTATATACGCGTGTAGGAGAGTAATCTAGGCCCGCGGGTTATTTACGGTATTATCCTATAACTAAGCGAGGAGGTTATATAATATAGTGTATATAGTCCTTTTAATATAAGAGCGTATCTTATTAAACTCTTTCTGCTACGCGTTATAGTCTGCCTTATCCTCGCGGTATATACGGCGATCTTATAGGTAGCGCGTGCGCCCCTTTTTAGAGAGGTTATTAATAGACGTGGGCGTCCTAGTCGTTAGTTCTTTTATTATAGCCGTAGCCTTCTGGCGAGCGGCCGTTTTCCTCTTACCGGCGGCCGTGGCCGCCGTAGTAGCGGTCGTGGCGGCGGTGTCTATAGTATCCGTGGCCTTATCGCCCTTTAGCGTGATAGTGGAAGACGGAGTAGCCGTGACGGTAGTGGCCGTGGCCTCCTCCGTGTTAGGGTCCGCGGCGAGGGCTTTATATTTACGAACGTTAGGGGGCATAGGTATAAGGAGGAGATAGGCGTTAGCTTCCTTATCGCTTAGCTTTAGATTAAGGTAGTTATCCTAGTAGGAGGCCGATTTACCGTGTACGGCGCGTTCCTAAATTGCCTAATCCCTCTAGTTAACGAGGGTAGTAGCGGCCGCCTTCTATTCGGCATTAGATACGTTAGAAGATATCTTTACTAGATTATCGTTTATCGGTTAGTTAATTAATAGGTAGGTTAATTAATCTCTTAATTACTCTGATTAGTTCGATAGTAGTTATTTAAGAGTGCTTATATAGACGTGATTACTTCTTTATAGTGAAATAGGGGTAGCCTTATTAATATCTATCGTTTAGGCGTTATAAACCGGCCTTATAACTATCGCACGTTAAATAGGCACTTTAAATACTTAACTTAGTAGAGCAGAAATCTTATATATATGTATTATATTAAGGTATATCTAGGAGAGTCTCTTATACCCTTAATTTAGGTGGTGAAGACTCTGTTATGGGTACTAAGTTATTTGGATCCTATCCGGTCTTTTCCGGTATCCGCCCCTATTATATTCGAAGCCCTTAGTTATAGCGTGGATCCCCCCTGGATCCCCTATAGACCACGTCGTGGTCCGTGTGCCTATGCGACACGTTACCCTTATCGCTACTCTTACCGGCGCTTCTCTATCCCTTCTTTAATAGGGTTTCTCGTAGACTTTTCTACTTTTATTACTATAGCTCTTTCCGGATTCGTTTAATATAATTATCGCTTATCTACACGGATAGCTACTACTTATATTTACCTATAAGAGTATACTCTACTCTATTATAAAGCTCCGGCTTCCACGAATAAGTCCTATTATAGGGGTATTTATACCCCTTACCCTTACCTTTCTTCCCTTTTCTACTACTATCATCGTCTTTGTCGGAGCGGTTACCTAGGGTAGCGTAAACGCTATACCTAATTCTATTAAGGCTAGGTACGCTTATAATCGCGTTAAATTCGTGGCCGTATATTAGAATATCGTTAATTACTTCGTCCTTATTCTTCTTACGGATTAATTCGTGGAACTTAGCCTTTACTTAAGCCGGGGTAAAACGCTGCCTTATTATAACGAGGAAGTTACGGATAGCTATAGAACTCTTGACGTCGTTAACTTTATATTAATAATAGCGCCGGATAAGAGTATTCTACTCCGTATACCACGCTACCACCTTTATATTAGCTCTTCGGGTATCCTAAAGGTGCTTATCGTAGGCTCGACGAACCTCCTTAGCTAAACATAGTACGCTAGGAGCGAAGTATTTCTTTAATTCCTTTATTATTTAGCGTATCGTGAACTAACGGTTTTATTTCCCCTTTTTATAACTAGGGTACTTCTTAATAGCTTCCTTAACGGCTTATTAGTAGGTAGAGGTCTTAATAGTCGCTTTAAGTATATAATTAGCTTTATTAAGTGCCTTAATCGATCGGGCGAGCTTTTAATTACGTGCCGTAACCTTATAGCCTTCTAGCTTAGCGAGCTCGATTAGTTCTAACGTGGTAGGAGAGGTCGGCACCCCGTTAATAACCTAGGTATATTTTTCGCGTAGCTAGTCGATAGATATAGGTATAACGTACTCGGGTCGGTTATCTAGCTACTCCGGCCTATTAGGGTCGAGTAAGGCCTAGACCTTTATACCCTATATATATAACTTAATATAGAAGATCCAATCGGCCTATTACCTAGTAGACTCTAGCCGCGGGATACCGAGCGCTTCGGCGGTAACTTTAAGCTTCGTGGATATAGTTTATAGTAGAGGTTTAGCGAATAAGGGCTTTTCTAAGCGAGAGAGTAAGGTAAATACTCCTTAATTAACTACAGAAATACATGTAACGGGTAGAAATAATATATAGGTAATAGATTAGCTAAAAGTTATTAGTAATAAATACTACCACCTAGGCTTATAACTATTAGATTAATGGGCGTGTGATCCAGCCGGAGCAGAGATTTAATAGATATATAATTATATTCGTTATATAAAGGAAAGAAGAATAGGAAGGTATGGGTGTTCTAAATATATCTACCCCTTTTCTACGCGAGGAATATAGGGCTAATCCAGCTAATAGAAACACAGAAAACAGGCTTACATATTTTCAGTGCGACAGTTATAGCACAGAGTCCGATAACTAGTCAGTCTATCGACAGTCTTATATTAGAACATTATGTTAAAAGAAATTTCTCTGCACTGGCTCTGCTTAGATCAGATTATTATTTCTTACCTAGTAGCCTAGATATAGTGGAACCCTTTGTCTTTACTACAGATACAGTCTTTCTCAGACGCTTTAACTATAACAGGGCTGAGTTATGTGTTAGACAGGACTCTGGCTTTTTCACAGCGTTCTAGGCTGTTAATGTAACAGTGGCATGGCCAAGGGTGGAGGGGATTTCATCGTGATTGGATCAGATGATCTGGTCCGAAGACGGGGTCGGTCGGACTGACTAAGTACATCGAATCCATACCCGGTACAGTATACCTCTTTTAGGGTTATGAATACACCTACTAAAGGTAATGATGAAGTAGTGCATAGTACTTACTTACTAACAGCTCACAATACGTCCTCAGTAGATACTCGAGAAAATAAAAGGAAAAAGACCCTTGTCCACATGCGGTACTAGTGGGCCAAGATATGACAAGCTGGCCAATGGAAACGCCCGACGAGGTTGGAGAGTCGAGCAGACTCTCCTTAGCCTTTTGGCTCTCTCCTCCGTCTCCTGGGCCATCGCCTCGCCATCACTACTCTAACTCCTATTATCAGCACTCTATGCTGGATAGTGGTCGTTTCATCACAACAGCCAGCTCGGCCAATTTTGCAATTCTTCCAACGGCCAAGGCATACAGCTTCACTCGACGGATTTACCTCACCTCTCACACTCCTTGACTGAATTATTCCTTCTTTCTGCCTTGACCAGCTTTCTTCCCTCTGTACAGCCCTTCTCTGCATCATTCATCCCCGACCCCTTGGCCACATTTGAATGCTTTGCTCTCCTCCCCCTTTTCTCCTACCGGCTAGATGCGAGCGATTCGGACCCTTACATGAGGTCTGCTAACAATTATATCCTCTTCTGAGACAAAGTCTTTTTCTATTGGCGAGCACCAGCTTGTTTTCACCGAAAAACCCACCAGGACAAAACACAATCGCCCTCTGCGTTTGGTGGTGCTTTGCCTCCCACTCTCACGGGCTTCTGCCACATTCTCGACCTCATCCTCTCCGCGTTGTTGCCGATCGGTCAACGCTTTCCTCCTTGATATTTTTTCGAACGCTACCCATCAGACCAGCCCGGACTTCCCCCTCCTTCGGGTCGTATCATACCATATTTTCTCTTGCCTTTACCAGCAGGTAACCCCCCTCTCCCCAAGCCTGCCTTTTCTTGAAGAAGTCTTGAATTTTGGCGGTCTCGACCGACCGGCACACGCGTCGTGGTTCGGGGTGCTCGGTCGTCGCCTCTCAAAAAGTCAATTAGTTTTCTTAATTGGCCAGCATGGCGACCATGTCCGCTGCCCCGACTTCCACAGCCACCATACCTTCTTCGACCTTGATCAGTCATGATGCGCTCGACGGGTGGGAGCCTTCGGTGAGATGAGACCTTGCTTTGCTTTTCCCTTCTTCTCCAGCGTGGGCCACTAACCGCATAATCCCACCAGGGCCCTTCCGGAGACAAGCCGTCGCTGCACAACGATGAGAACGCCACCAAACAACGCACAAACGGAAACCTGCCGAATCCTTACGACTATGGCTTCGACCCTTTGCCTCCCTCTAAGAAGAAGTCTTCGAGTGAACACATTCCCTCCGTGAAAGGGGCGCGTTCATGGGATAGGAGCAATAGATCGTCCGACGCCTCGGCCAAGCCCTTCCTGCACGATGATATATCCTCGAGACGAGCCGGCACAGGTGATAAACGCACCACATCAGGCGCGGTGCCGGAGATTGGAGAAGAGGAGGACTCAAAATGGATCCATCGCGACAAGCTGGCCAAGATTGAGAGCCGAGAACTGCAGGCTGCTGGCATCGTAGTTCCTCGATCCCGCGCCAGCAGCAGGCCCCGCAAGGGTCACAGTCGCGAGCGTCCCACTGGTCCGAAACGAGCACATTCTGCTTCTGCTTCGGCCGAGGGCTCGGAGTCTCAAGATGGCAATTTTCCGTCCTCGCGCCACAGAAAGAATTCAACCGTCACTGAGAATCACATCACCGACACCCAGTACCCGAGCTGGGATTTGCGCCGGCCCGAAGAAATCGAGGCGGAGCGCGAAGGGTATTGGATCTCCAGTGAAACCCTGAACGGAGGCTCCAAGATTCCCGTGGCCAAGGCGAGCCCTGTTCCGATTCCCGAAGTCTTTCTCGACCGATCGTCTCCCGCCAGCCGGACACAGAGCGACGCCGCAGGCGAGCATGATTCGATTAGTTATCCCAAAACAAGGTCGAGGAGTGGCAGTGCCAACGCTCTCAACAACCCCGCTCACAACTCTAGACGGTCTGCTACGGACGTTTCGCCCAAGAAAGGCACGGCAACGGGATCACGTAAAACCTCGGCCCCGGTGTCCAAGGCAAACGGTTCGGCCAACGGCCGGCCTAAGACCCGAAGCGGGTCCAACAACAGCAGCAACGGCACGACACGCCCGTCGACGAGGTCGGGCGAGCTAGGCCCCACCATCAGCAACGGCAGCAACAACAACAAGCAACCCGAAGGAGATCCTCCCTGGATGGTCGGGTCCTATAAGCCCGACCCGCGTCTACCGCCCGACCAGCAGCTTCTTCCGACCGTCGCGAAGCGCCTGCAGCAGGAGAAATGGGAGAAAGAGGGCAAATTCGGCAACATCTACGACAAGGAATTCCGACCCTTGACGGACGATGGCCTTCTCAGGCCTCCCGAACCTGCCGCCTCCGGCGCGTCGCAGGACGAGGAGAAGCAGGGGCAGCCGGACGAGTGGCCGCTGAAACCGGAGCAGAAGAGCTCTTCGGCGATAAAACAGGGCACCTCGTACTCGACCATACCCAGAATCTCCGAGAAGCCACCGGGGAGTCCGCTACCGAGTCCTCTGGCGAGCTCACGTCCTCCGACCGCTCAGCCACAACAAGCGTCTGGTCAACAAACCGTCACGAGGGTCCCTGAACCGCCAGGTGAGGACGCGGGCAAAAAGAAGGACGGCTGCGGATGCTGCATCATCATGTGACCTAGTCTGCATCGACCATTGCTTGCTTTTCCCTGTTAATTTTTCTCCTCCCCCATCCCCATACTTTCTGCCTAGCAGAGTCCCAAGTCGCTGGCCGATTACGACGTTATGACCTGTCCTGCGTCATTTTGTTTCTTCCCTCGATTCGCAAAACCCGTCTTTAATTGGTTGATCCCCGCGTGTTCTTAACATTTAAGAGTTTCGGCGTTGGAACCGGGCTTTTTCACAACCGCAAGCCTCGCATGGCAAAGTTATGTTTTCCTTTGTGCCTTTGCTCGTGGTTTCCATGGCATTGCGTATTTCCCACTCTTTTCTTCTTTTCTCTCACCATACCCCCCGGTCCCCCAAAACCGAACGTGTCTCCCCTCTCGAGATCCTGGAGCCACTGGTCGGAAAACTCGAGTATAGATGCCCCATCAGCAGCAGATGAGACTTCTTGTCTTAAGTCTCTGGTACTTATTACATTATTACACAGGGCCTGTGGTGTTGCGGTTTTTCTTCTTTTTTTTTTTCTTCTGCTGAAGGAGTTCTGAAAGGTCATGGCGTCTTTCTCCGTGGAACAAGCGTTATTGCGTGTTTGTTGCGAGACTTTTCTTTGTTCGGAAGCCTCGTTTTTGGATTTAATTTATCCTGATTTGGGGCACGTCGCTCTTTTGTTTTCGTGTTTTTTTTCTTCTTCTTTTCTTTGTTTTTGTTTGTCCGTAAACATTTCAGGATAGGCGAAGCGGAGTAGAGGCTTCCGAACGAGAGGTAGGAGAAGCGAGGAGCCATTTTTGGTGGAAGGGAGTTGCGGGTTTGCGCTAGGAGAAAGGGAAAAAAAGGGGGTTGAGGTACTTACGGGGCGAGGTTGGCTTGGTGGCTTTGACTGAGACCGGCCTGTTGTAGGCGTCTGCTTAGTCTTGATACCCATACTTAACATATATCATTCCTTGTTGTCAAGGGTTCAGACACCCTAGGTGTGTTTTAAAGCTGAGGGTCTTACCGGGTAGGTCACGATATATCCATCGCGACCGACACGCTCAGACATCCCATTATAAGTAAGGTAGATAGAAGGGTGAGTAAAGAACTCAAAAAGTAAGGCTATATTGCTGCATCATGGTTCGAAATGACCGATTGGTATCCTGATACAGACAGAAGAAAAAACTGCGACTCATAACCCGCCACTGCTCATTGCTCTCCGCTTCCCAAAATAAAGCACTATCGCTGGTTTCGTCTCTGTTTATTTCTTCTCTTTCTTTCTCGTCGTCTCCTCTTTCCGTTCTGCCTGTTCAGATCAAAATATCCTCCACGGGACATGGGACATGCCGATTCTCGTTGCATGACCCTTGCTCTAAGGTTTGTGTTTGCTTCGATCCCACCATATCCTCCGTCTTCGGTCCACTGTATCTATATCGTACTTCTTCTTTCTGCTGTGTGCGACGAGAAGACCTCGTCAACAATCTTGGCGCGGGAATTTGAAATTCTTGCCTCTTCTTGCCTCTGTCGAGCTTGCTTCTGCCTCGCATTTTCCGAGTTTCATTGGACCTCCTCACCCTCGTCCTCTTCGCGAAATTGGATACCGCCTTCGACTTGAATGGCGCCTGCAACCCATTCGTTGGCGGCGACCTTGTCCAACGTCCACCTCGTCCTTGCTCGCATCAGGAGCCCCTCTGTAATTTCCATGGCGCCGAGCATGTCTTTCTCCTTGAACTTGGCGATGCTGCCTTCGTGGTTGCCGTCATCGCCAGCATACTGGATCCACCGCCACTCGGCGCGCGCAATCCGATGGCTCGTACGGCTGCGCATGCGGTGACCGTCGTTGCCGGTTCCGGGATAAGGGTCAAAGGGAAGGCGGGATTCGAGTAGGGCGTAGAGCAAGACTCCCAACGACCAAGCGTCCGTCGCACGGCCATCGTAAGGTAAACCCATGATGACCTCCGGAGCTGCATAATCCTCTGAGCCGCAGCGGGTTTCGAGCTTCTCGTCGTCGGCTATACGCCGGGATAGACCGAGGTCCGTGAGAGTGACTACCGAGTATGGGTAGGTGGTCCAGTCGACCGTCGGATCGGCCAGTTCGGGTGCTGTGAGATTTACAAGCACATCTGGATGGGATTGTTTGTCAGCTTCCATGACGGCACGACAGTATGAACGACCGGCGGAGCGAAAGGAGTGAAGGGGAATCCGCCTGTAACGACTTACTCTCGAGTTTGATGTCCCGATGACAGATTTTGCGGTCGTGCAAATATCGGACCGCGCCCACCAGCTCGGAAAACATCCTCCTCAGCAAGGCCGGCTGGAGAACATCGCGGTGGGCCGTGGCCACATCAAACAAGTCCCCACCCGCGCAATGACTGAGAACGAGTATAGCCCTAGACGGCTCAATGTTCCAGGCTTTTAGGTGGACGAGAGATGGGTGATGTATGCTTTGCATAATCTCCAACTCGCGCTTGAGGCTCATCTCGATGCGCTCTTCGCTTGCACCGCCTTTCGGGCCGTGCTCGCATACCTTAATAGCGACTAGACACTTCCGGCGCGGCGAAGGCTTGTCGGAGGTAGGCGTTACGATGCCAGGCTGGCCGGCGATCGGCTGGTCGTCGTCTTCCTCGCCATTCGCCTGGCTCGTGGCCAGCATGACCCGGCTAAAAGTTCCCTGGCCGAGGAGTTTGATGGCTCGCCATCTCCTCCTCTTTCCGCCGTCTCTGTGGCAAGCTTCAAAATACTCGGCCTGCACCTTGGGCTTGCTCTCGGTGGCGGACGGATCGGTTGCATCTTTGGACGACTCGCTCGGAGGCGGAGTTGGGGGCGGTGCGACTGTCGGGGTTAATCCACGCGATTCGGCGAGGTTGGCCTCACGACGAAGATGCGGCTCGCGCAAGCCCGTAGACTCTTCCGGCTTCACGCGGGGTCCTGAGACGGTGCTTTGCCTTCTCGGAATCGACATAGGGTCCGGAACATACTCGCTGACGCTGCGGTTGCGCCCGTGACGCTCGACGGAACCGGATCCTTCTAGTCCCTCGGGTGTCTTAGCCGACCCCTCCGCTCCCTCCAGGCTGGCGTAGGTTTTGCGCTTGGGCGCATTGAGAAGAGCGGCGCCTGACGATTCGCTAGAGGTCGAGACAATGGCCGCATCGGAGGCCGCGTTCGGCATCGGATCACGGGAGGACGACCGATTGGCAAATCGCTTCCAAGGCCCGGGGGAATCTCCGGAGAGGAGGGGTGACGGCAGAGGGGTGACATCGCCCATGGCCGATATCACAGGGCTGGGCACTCGGGAGTTGATAGCAGATCCCGTGCCTAGGGCGGCAGCAATGGCTCTTTTAAAGCTAGGGGTTCGGGAGACGGGATGAAAGGCCGAGGAGAGGCTCCTGCCTAGGGAATCTGACCGAGGCGGGGAGGCGAGGTTGATGTCGGTTACGATCTGAAGAGGGCCGGGGGCGGTACGGGAGTGTTGGTCGGTACCCAGAGGCGGGGGTGTCATGGAATGTGAGTCGTCCAACTGGAACTGACAGTTTGAGGAAGAAGCTCGGTACTGGGCGCTTGTGACTGCATGTTGAAAATTTGAGTGGGACCTCGAGGATTTTAATACTGAAGGAGTTGAATTTCCATTTAAGGATCCATTGATTTCTTTGTTTTGATGTTTAGGAAAAGGCAAAGACGACGCTGAGCCGGTGGGCATGTTTGACAATGCGCCGGTAGTGACGTCGTGGTCCTTGTCGTCGTTCTACCTGCACCTGGGCAAGAGGGGAGGTGAGGCTTCTTGGGATGTCGAGTAGGGTGAGGTCAAAGGATCGGGCGTCGGGCAAAGGCCGCGACAATGGAGATGGTTATTCGAGGGCTTATGCGTCGGAGAGGAATTTGAAGGGTAGTCGAAGAGCAGTCGACAAACGACAAAGTGGGAGGGCCGGATGGCGCAGCAACTGCGCCAACGGGAGGAGGAGGAGCGTTGCCTAGAAGGCTTTCAGAATGACAAAGAGGGCGTCAGCTCATTAATTCGGTCGACTCGAGATGCAGCTATTGAGGCAAATAAAGAACACCAAGTTTGACTCACAGCTGCGCCTCGGGTGCTCGGTCAGGGTGGACAGAGCACCTCCTCGGAAGAGGGATTGGGTCAAGCCAGGCGGACAAGCGTGAAAAGCAGGAACCCGAGCCCAATGGATGCGATGCAAGGAAATCAGACGGGGAAGAGCCACCGGGTTAGAGGTAGTGGGTGACAGAGGGAGAAGTCGAGTCGTGTCGCCTTTGTGGAATTGGAAAACCTTGTCTAACTGGATATGACGAGAGCATGGGGAGAAGGAAAAGAAACAGTGCGACGGGTCTGAGATGTCGTTCACAGTGGCCCGTTAATTAGGTAGAAGTTGACTGCGACCTAGGCTGTGCAAACGCCGTTTTATGGTGGTATCGGCGGTGGGTTCAATTCGAGATTTGCAGTGAATTGGAACGCCGAAAAAGCCTGGGTTGTTTTTATCGCGGTGGGGTGTTCGGGGTTTGTGTTCAGGGTGGGACAAGTCCAATTCGCATATTCGTTGAATGAGGACGAAGGAGAAGAGGAAGGGAGGGTGGGGAGAAGAATTGCAGGTGGAGTAACTCGTATGGAGAATTACATACCTACCTAGGTAGGGAGATAGAAGAGAAGAAAAAAGCATACGTGGGTGGGAAATAAGTGGAAAATCCCACACCCGTGCTGTGAGTTGGAGGGCGGTTTAGACTTATGGTTTGGCGGGTCTCCAGTTGTAGCCTCAGTACGTATCCGTACTCCGTACTTTACGGCTACCGTAACCTTCATCTCATCCGGCCCCTTACAAGCGCTGGACGAACGAGAACACTCATGTGACCACTGTGGACTGGGCTTGGCCACAGGAAGGAAGGACTCATCCTTGGATGCTTCGCTTCGAGATGACAGATGACCCGAGACAGAAACGGAAACAGCACTAGTGTAGTAATCATTAGACAGTGGAATGTCAGCCAAGTCAAGTGACGGCGGTGACAGCCGGCTAAGGTACTAGGCGTGATTAGGTACATGTACCTAGGCGTAAAGTACTGTACTCTAAACGGGGAGAGGCAATCCTGGGGTGCGCTTTCCATTTGCAAGACACTTGGAACGTCTTTGATACAAGCCACTTTATGTACAGAACAGCCAGCCGGGAAAGTCTGTTGTAAGGTATGTGTTGAAGGACTCCGAAACAGACAAGGTAGGCACTACCTGACTACTACCTTACTACTGTAATACGGAGCATATTCCGAAGACTGCAGCCCTCCTTTTTGTTCTTTTCTTTCCTTCTTTCACCCTCTCAATCCTCGTGTCGTTGGCCTCGACTGCTCCACGGTGGCCAATCTCCTCCCATAATTGGACAACGGTGATTGGTGTGTATCAGTACGGATACGTAAGGTAGCACCTCACCATGGGTGTCGTTGAGCATATACAACGTAACATCGGTGACCGAAACTGTCTGCCCGATATAAAGGGACGCAAAGGGTTATACGGCCAGAACAGATCACAAGCTACGTAAATACGCAGAGGAATTGCATGCTTCTTGGTATCTAGGAGGCATCAGCAAACACACATACCTACCTTACGTAGGAGTGGTTTTTCGAGTTTCAGGATATCTACGGAGAGTTCAACTAGACCAAGGAACGCCGGACTATATATATTACACAGGGATTTATTTGGAGGGTGTACTGGTATGTACAAAGTAAATATCGAGACATCCGTCGACCTCGGGACTGAGGGTACACTTAGAAGCACTATATCATCAGTGTCATTTGTTCCTTCCCGACTCGGAGGTCGAGACTACCTTAGACTCCTCCGCTCTGTCATTCGCGAGTAAAGGGCAGCTACGTCTCGGACGCACCTGTTCTTTTCCTCCTAAGGTACTTAAGGCAGGTAACTGCCAGCAAATATCCTGGATACGGATACTCCTTCGCCGCCTTGGCCTGTCCTTTCCTGTCCTTCACTTTGGCGTGCCTCTGACATTATCAATTCCCCTCGCCTTCTCCCGCACACCACCTGAGGCTTTTGACGTCTGGACAAGACCTTGGACATAAACCCAGCCCTCGCTCGTCAGAGGTCACAAAATTTCAGCTCCCAGAAATCGACACCGACGAATTGAGCATCTTTGCTTTGCCGTTCCCTCCTTTCTTTCATGTTCATGATATTGTCTTGTGGATAGACACACAATGATGGTCCTCGCTGCAAGCCGGGGCGCAGCGTTCTCTTAACTTCGTATAAGAACATGAGGCAGGCTTGGATTGGCACGTAGACGTAACGTCGCGCCGCGCTCGACCGGACCGAACTTTGAGAGATGGCCCTGAATTTCGCGATGGATGCCTTAAATCGTCCGCTCATCACCGTCGAGAAACGTCGAATCGAAAGTCTGTTATCCATGATCACAAGGTCTTTCTGTTTTCTCGCTATACTGTGGTGTCTTTGGCTGTTGGCGACTTGTTCAGACGGCATCTCAGTTTGCTCTCCGTTACGCTTGGCGGCTGGCCTGTACTTCCTCTCATCAAGAGGCTTGCTTTCGATGGCCACGGCAACCAAGGTGTCGGGAAGCCGGTGAGTAGATCAGTTACTTGGTCGATTTCTCACAGTGAGTGTTCGGCGAGCTTCACGATGCTTTGCCGCTGAACTGAAAACCCTTACGGTATCCCCAAGTCCGGAGAATAATAGTAACCCGCCTCCGTCCCAGCCACGCTGGAATCCGGTCGGGGTGAGAATTCAGCTCCCATGGCGGATGGCGACGCCGACGGATGTGGCGCCTCCGGCCAATCTATTGCGACCGCCGGGTGAACAGGAACAAAAGTGGCCTTGCCACTATTATACGCGCACGCTGTGGTGGCACGGGGCCAACTCGACATCGAACCCTCGTCGTCGTCGCGGCACGTCCACAGCCACTCAGGCAACTCCCCCATGTCACTGGGCACCGAATCGCTTTCACCGTCGGCGTCTTCGTCGTCATCGCATCCTCGGGAAATGCAAGCCGACTTCTCCGCAAAAGCAGCAAGTCGATCCATTCGGTATTGGTGTACCCGCTCAGCTTTGTCAGGTCTCCCCGTCTCTGCAAGCAGCTTCTCCAGGTTTGCGAGGGCCGTCATGGACAGGCGCTCGTCGGCGTCAGACGTCAGCGCGAGCCTTGCCGCCGACTGGAACGATATGATGGCCGCAGACAAATTACCCATGCGATAATACTTGACCCCCAACTCCAGGTTGATGGCAGCTTCCTGCTCCTCCGTCATCTTATACGCGTTCATATAGCCTGTCAACACTTGCACCGCCTCGTCCAAGCGGCCCTGCCTTTCCTTGCAGGCTGCTAGGATCCCCGCGTGGGATAGCGCCATATCCCCCAGCCACGCATGCCGCTTCCCTGACGCCTCTGCTCGGGCGAGGTGCCTGCTCAGCGTCCCCTCGCAATCCTCGGGTCCATGTCGAGCAAACACGCAGTCGACGTAGTCACTGTAGAGCAGGTGGGTTAGGAAGTTCGCAGGGCCGGCCCGCTCCTCGATCTGGGGAAGCAAGAGCGAATACAGTCGCATCGACAACTCGTGATAATCGGAAAAACTGGTCGCGCTCAGTCGCCTCCAAATGTGCGCCAAAATGTGGTGCGGACCGAGCACGATGGGGACCAGCCCAGCCAGGTAATCGAGCACCAGCCGTAAAAGGTCATGCTTGTGATGCCGATCAAGGTACCAGAGGAGACACACCGTCCTTGCTACGAAGTCGGGACTCTCTGCTGCCACAATCTCCTTAAGCGACTCGAACGACGGGCCGAGAACGCTGTTGATATTGATCTTGTCCCCCCGCATCATGCACCTGTTTACCAGCGCAAAGCTGGCAATAATCCTTTCGAACAGGTCGTTGCTCCGGTTTCCTTGGTCGAATCGGCTGTTTGTGCAGTCCACATCGTACTCGCAGTGCCAGGCCCCCGACGAGAAGGAGCCATCAACATAGTCTCGGAAAAGGCCCAGCACGTTCTCCACGTTCTGCAGTTCGGTAGGTGGGCCGATGCCGGCATGGGGACTGGGCGACGGGGACGGCGTTCGGCAGGTGACCTCGCGTGTCGTCTGACTACTGGGCGCATGGCCAGCGCGGAGCTTAGCCATGAGGGACGGGTTTCGCTTGACGTAGCGCTTGATGTTCTCGAAGTCGACCGGCTGACCACGGATTCGAAATTCGGACGGCTTGTTCAGCGCATCTCGGTCTCGTTTGAGGATGAGGATGGCGAGCACCTCGTCGCCTTTCAGTTTCTTGTCGAGGCCCCACTTCCAAATCCTGGACTTGTACATCTTGACGCTATCAACGAGAATAAGAAAAGGCCACCCAAATCAAGCACACACACACACACACACACACACACACACACACACACACACACACACACACACACACACACACACACACACGTGGTAAAAGAGGGGAGGGGGGAGGGGAGGGGACTCTCAGCGACCTACGTTGCGACAAACTGATGCTCCCTCTCCATAATATCCATAACCTCTTTCAACGACTTCTTCTCTTCCTGGTACAGCCTCGTAATGATGGGCCGTTTGGCCTCCCAGATTTCCGTGGGTACTCGCTTTCGGGCCTTGGTTCGCGAGCCCAGGCTAGCTGTGTCATCGCCATCCGAGTCGGTGGTAGAAGCCTTTCTTTTGGAAGGCACGATCAAAGGAGCCTCCATGGCGGGGTGGGCTGGCCCGGGTTTTTCGATCGGTCGTGAGATACTGAATGTCGGTGAGATGAGTTGAACGTTGCTGGCTGCGCATCGATTGAAGAAGCTGGGTAATTGTCAAGCGAGAAAGCCTCTTCGAAACCTTCGATGATGAACGAACATTACGCTGTCGCTCCAGCCGTTTCGAGACAGCAAGGTCGCTTGGTGGAGGAGCAGGGGGACGGGGGTAATTATATGAACACCTTCGGACATGGCAAGGAACAGGGGGGTGTTCCAGGGGATGAACACGCAGAGTACAGTATGTACGAATACTTCATACCTACACAGCACGGTAACTGCTAATGTACCATGGGGGACCTAGTGCACGGTAGGGCGCCCGGGGTCTTGTTCCCTAGCCCGGAGAACTTGCCCATCTAGGTAGTGCCAGCTAGTCTTAGTCGTGCCAATCAGGGGTAGTCACTGGGCCTTAGCGCCAAACTGTCCATGTCTTCATGATCGAAATGGAGGGGGTTCAACCAGGGATGTTCAACATGTCTCGCAGGAAACCCCCCACCCATGCACTCGTTCGTGATTGTTTCTCTGGGATCTCTCGGACCACCTTGGTGTACAATGTACGTTGTACAAGGTCCGGGGTCGGGACATTTTACCTGCCATTCTACGAAGTACTAGGCCACATGGATGGATTGCGATGGGAGCCTGCAAGTGACGCAGAGCAACATACACGTTGGTCCAGATGCGAACATGGCCTGACGAGGAAGAATGGGGTTGCCACGTCAGAACTCTTTCTTGGTGGTTAAGCGAGCTGCTGCTTGCGACCCAAGCGCGATTCGGTCATCGGGCACCTTATGTACTGCGGATGTCGCGAGTCGTACCATGCAGCCCAGCAAAGGCCCAGAGGAAGGAAGACGCCGCAGTCGTTTATTTCGTTCTGCACCAGCTTCAGCGTCAGCAGAAGCGCAATATGGGCCACCGTAACCCCCATTTAGCCGCCATATCCGCAAGATTGCTGCTGGCTGCATAAATGATTATTCCACTCACCCACACGGGTACGGGATTGCTTCATTTACGGGATATCTACTCCGTACCCCCATACGATCAGTCTCATTGTGCCGTCAAGGGAGCTGTGGCGGGCACTTCGCCTGCTTCTGCCAGCTATTCATTCGACTTGGCTTTTGCTGCCGTATTCACACGAGTACGGAGTAGGTAAGGCGCTGTGGCTTTCAGAATGACTAGAAACAGCAGTGTTTTTCCCGCCATGGTGAATGTAAAGAAGTCACGGCAAGTATCTTGGTGTTGTTTGCAGTCAACGCAAAATAAACTACCTAGCTGACAGGTCTGTACTGCGAGAACGGGCGGGCGGGCGTGCAGTATTTCGTACGAAGGAGAGCCTCATCTGCGCAGCAACCCACGAAGGCAATTCATGATTACTGGACGGCATCCAAAGGGGAATCCGCAAAAGCCTCGGCTGAGAGTTCAGGAAGTTGCAGTCTTCCGCCCCCCACCACTACGACCGTTCGTCCATCCCGGCTTCGGCGCCTGTGGCAAAGATCCTTTTCTCATTTCACGCCTTTTCGAATTTTTCCGTGTGCCTTGCATTGGTTCCCTACACATTAAGCCTCGGCAGCGTCAGTCAAGAAGAAAAGGATCGATCGTCGTCTTCCGTACCTCTTTTCGCCTCCTGATGGTCTTGTATCTCCGATTGACTGCGAAAACGCAACGGCAGATGTACTAGAGGCCGTGGTGCGCACGGATAAGTACTACCCTGGAATTCTTTGATGGGGGTCGCTTTACTCTCCTGGTCTAGCGAGTTGGAATGCCCGCTTGACATAGTGAGACTCGCGACCTTGCAATTGTGAGACTACAGGAGTCAATGATGTGAACAATACAATGCATGCAGGCATACATTCAAGATTTCATTGATTTAGCCCCAATACGTAGGTAGCTACCTACTGTAGCCTTAGGCGACCGACCATCGTCAACCCTACACACGGGGTCGGATAGTTATTCTGTCGAAGTCGGCGAAAAGTCCAAGACGATGCGACAGTCGACGAGAAGGGACGACGGTCCTGACCAGATTTCGGCCCCTCTGGCACGGTAGCCCCCCGCGCCCCAGGTCCCCTGTAATGGACAAACCCGCTGGGTCGCTAGCTGGTCATCCTCGGCTTGGAAGAATTGACGGGTGCGGAAAACGACGAATCAAGAAACCCGAATCTTTGCTCTATCCCTCTCTAGGACCATGCCTGGCAATTAGGCAGGGCGAACCAGCCCATGTTAAATACAATCACTAACTAATTACTCCGTATACCCCGTGGTGCTGACAGTTTGCGTATTCCGACAAACTGGCCAAGCTCTCTATCCTATCAAGCGCACACATGATATGTCACGATGGGACTTTTGTTCAGCCCACTTACTCAACTTGGCTATCTTGATCTGACTTCCCCTGGGCCCTGTCCTGCATCCTCCTGCTACTCCTCTCTCGTACCCGTCTCTTTCTCCGTATACAACTGTACTCCGCTCGTCTGTTGCCCGTCACTCACATCATAGAGAATCACAGGGAGCCAAGGACGCGCCAAATCTCCCGGAGAAAGCCCCCGAAAGTCCCTTACTTTTTGCTCATGCGAGTTCTCCAGCTATCACTCGTCGCTGATATCCAGCATGCCGGTTTTAGGCAGGTAGAGCGCCACATTACGGTTGGGACTTGCATCTTCTTTGGCTCGTCTTCCCTCGTCTACACCATCGGCCGTCTTTGCAAATTGGCCAAGGGCTGATCGGTTAGACCCAGTACAGGAGCCGATTTCCGCTTCTTGATATTGGGATCCTCTCGACAACGTAGTCCACTCTGAAAAGCCTTCGCCGCTATCTTGTCTTGAGCCACGAGCCGACAAAAGGGCGGGGCAATATCCCGAAGTTCTTTTCATCTTTTCTTCGTTCTTCCTCTGTCAGTCAAAGTCGACATCTCGGCACTCCAAGCACAAAGTGCCCTTCCTTATTCGGGGGCTGTTGTTGAAGGACTATATATCAGGTCCTTCCTCCGTGGTTCAAGACGATGTGGCAGCAGTCAGACAACCCGCTTCACTCACCTCCCCATCCCTCGAACCCTTCGACCGACCCAGTTGGGAGCTCTGTCTTTACAAAAGAGGAGGACGACGACGCCCTTCTGCGGAGATTGCAAGAAAACGCCGTAAGTGCTGTATTGGAGAACGTCGATGCCACCGCAGAAAGCAATGACAAAAGTCATAAGAACTTACCATGCGGTAATGAATGTTAACTGGCAGGTACTCGCAGACCGCCGCGCTTCTCGACGTTACACCGAACGCTACAGCCATGGATAAGAACGGCCAGCAAACGGGCACCGTGAAGGGAACCAGATCGGATAGCAAGGGAAACCAGCCAGACCCGTACGTGGGCATCTTCGACGGGCTCCTCCCCAGGATCGAGACCCGCGGGCAGAGCAAGCACCCCCCGAAGCGCGTCAGCAAAAGACAGGAACACGGCTCTCGTCAAAAGTCCGTTGGGCCAACCAACCCCCACAACCCCACCAGTCAAACCGACGAGAAGGCGCAGGAGTAGCACTGATACCGATACTGATACTGATACGGTGGCAGTTGAAGATGAGGCTGCACGGGCGGCGCCGAGCCCTCCCCAGCGAACCCGGGACGGACAAGCGACGACGAGGAGAGAGAAGAAGACACGGACCGCCAAGCACCAGCACCAAGGACCTACGACATGCGCTCCTCCGGATCCTCTTCTGCTCTTGCTGCGACGGCGATGGTTTGTCCCAGCATGCCGCGCCTGCCCCGTTCCCTCTCGAAAGCTAAGCGCGCGTATGTAACGCATCTCCTGCCGCACACATGCAGCAAAGCCCAACAGGTTTCCCGTTGTTGGAGACGGAGGGGATGGGATGCTGGTTTCTTATTGACCCGCCAGCGGCATTCCTGCCAGGATGGAGACAAACAATTCCGAGGGAATGACATGCAGCATCAAATGCAGTGGGAGAGGACAGAGAGAGGGTGGGTGGGCGGGCATGCTAGACGCCGGACCTGGTAGGTGCTTGGGTTGGCATAATGATGGAGATGTGACCAACGAGAGAGAGGAGGATTTAGGGAGTGGGGACAAAGGAAGTGTGGGATGGATACAACGTATTTTGTAGAGCCCCGGATTCCCCTGGGGTTGAAATTGGGTGGGTACCTTACCTAGTGGTGGAATGTTCCAGGCTGGGTTGGGGGCTTTAAAGGGCAGCTGGCGGCTTGGCCGATTGCGGTACAGCGGGGAAAGGGAGGAGACTGGAACAGTTATCCGTACAACGTACATAAGGGGGGTCATTTGTACTCCTATATTAATAATCCCCCCTTTGTACTCGAATACTTTCCTCTGCTTCGGTTCTGAATACGGGGTTCAGAGGCGACGGACAAAGTAATTAGTACGGATAACCAACCAAAAAAGATGGGTTTTAGTAGGAATCAAAAATTAATAGACACTCGTGTTAAAGAGTAGAGGGGAAAGGGGATTTGAATTATAAGAATGTCCCCAGTTAGTTCCTCAAGCTACATACCTTAAGGTAGTTACAGTACCAGGTATTCATCTTCTTGAATGTCCCCCACCATTTTCGACCTACACGCAACACCCTAATATCAGCGCAGATTCTCCAGAGTTGCACAGTGCCGGTTCAACCGACAAGCTTGTGGTGCCCGTGATGTCTAGTAGAGGCTGGGTTTCAGCCGTGTAGATCGAGCTTTCAGTTGCTGCTGCGAAGCAATTGATTGTCGGCGACCTTCGAGAAGACGGTGGGTAACAGAGCGGCGGCGTGTCCGAGAGATATTCTACTGTACACGCGTAGTAGAGGGGTCCATATACAAGCGTCGACATAATTTTGACCGCCGGAACACTCGAATTGTTTCAGTCTTCGTACCGCACGGAGTACGCACATATCCGTACTTCAGAGGGAGGGTGGGCGGTAGTCGTAATGACTTCTACGATCTAATCGCCCGAAGGAGGGGATTGTTCAGGAGTCGTTCAGTAATGCCGGAGCCATCCGTCTTTTCGAGCCAGACCGCAGGTGCAGATCGAAGTTCAGGCAGCAGGCGAGCAGGGGGTAAATCATGGCATGTCAGCAGGGGTGGCCGCTGTGGGACTACGCTAATGCAACCAGATAACATGAAATGTCGGCTGTAACCAGCCTGCCCAGCCGGCGAGTCCGACTGTTTGAGGAGCGAATATCAACTGCCCATTCCCCAAATGAAAAGCAACGCGATGACTTATTACGGATACATACATGTACATCGCAGGGGCTCAAAACGTCGCATACTGCCGCCTATTCTACACGTGTGTGTATGAACAGATTCCCCTGTTCCCTTTCCCGGCAAACTTGCTGTGAAATGAAAAGAATGAAAAGGGTCCTCTTCTCCGCCTCGGCCTTACTCGCTCCCGCCTCTTCCCCATGCACTCCTGATCAGAGGTAGGGCGGGCAATTGCGGGGTGGTGAAAAAGGGGCCCCAATCTGCCGCTTCGCGATCACATGTCGGGACTACAGGAGACGTAAGTACATGAGGCGGTATTGAGGGATGCTTGCGGCTGGTTGGTAGCTATACGACGCTTCTCGCGGAAAGATCAAGAACGAGGCCCATGTAGGTAGGTGGGTGTGGTAAGCTTGATGGGTTGGCTGAACGACGAGCCCCTTTGTTCCTCTCTGTCAACGAGCACATGACGTTGCGCATCGATGGAGGGAACGGGACGGCACGTCGGAAGAACACTAATTAATTACTGATATACCGGCCGAGACAGGCGTCTTTGACCGAGTTACCGTAGGAGGCCTCGCTTATTTGTCTACTGTCTCCTCACTGGTTACCTGGTTGCTGGGTAAGTGTACGATCCAGCGGCATTACATCACGGTCTGCATGGGAGATTTCTCACTCATCCAGCCTGGTACGGCAGGTGAAGCAGGCCGTCCGCACACAGTTCCTTCGGACGCAGGTGGGCGGCCTCAAGCCTAGGTTTCCAAGCCAGTCAGGTCCTTATACCCAACGATATAAAGGCAGATATATAGCAGCATCACGACAACGTCACTCCTCACCCCCAGAAAGCGATTCATACGAGACGTCTTCTAGCACATCACAATCTCCCCTGTACTGTGTACAGACTGCAGAGTTGATGCATATGTACCAATGCCAGTAAGGTCGATTTATTGCCGCACCGAGGACCAACGCCCTCTAGGTACGTCAAGGCAACGGAGTGTGGCTACTATTACTCTTGATTCGATAGCATCTCGCTTCTAAGCGCCTGGCGGCTTTCCCCGGAAGACGCCGACACGCGATCTGGGAACAGCAGAAACATCTCTTCTTGCACAGCCTTCTTTCGCCAGCCATGGTTCTAGATTGGTTAGTTCCAAGGACGCACACCATCTAATGTTCCGAACACCATACTACGCTCCTTCTGTGCCGCTGAGATGCATGGAGGTAGGCACCAATACCTTACGCTGTATGCATAAGTTACGGAGTATTAACTGTTTCGAAGCTGACCCCCTGCCCCCCACGGAACCCCCGAGCCCACACCAGGTCCATTTCGCGGCGCACCTCACTCCTAGTCGGGTGGGGTATTCACCGAGGGGGTCTACCTCCCATCTCGTAGATATGTAACTCGACCACGTTACTCCGTGCTCATGTACGTGTACTTTCCACTTCATGATCGCCGCGTCTGGCAAGTCCCGTTTCCCCGCTAAAAGAATCCCAACCATGAATAACCCCCCAGGTAAAGAACAGCAAGTTTTATCGTTTTGACAAGCAAAGATAGATGGAAGTGGGGGTCGCGGTGCAAACCAAGAGAAGCAGCAAGAACCGTCGGACGAGGAGCTCATTCATGGTACGGACTAATTACGAAATACGACCCTGCCCCCCAAAACAATGGTCGAGCTTCCTTCAGATGCCGAGAGGATTCAGGAGTTGGACAGGCAGGTATATCATTTGCCTGCCCATGGTCCGCGCCCCACATCACTCTCGAAAGGATCAAGACGAGGGTTGACGCGCAAGCAGTTCATTTCATGCGCACGTTCCTCACTAAGGTACGAAGTAGTTCGGACGAAGCAGGCAGGTCCATGGCCTATGCCGGCGCTTAGCTCGCTACGGAGCCGCACTCGGCTAACGTTCTAAGCCGTGATAGTATTGACTATCTGTATGTATCCGTAATAAAATCGTTAGCTTTTTCACCAGCGATTTAAGGCGGTGTGCCCGAGCCGTGTGTCTCGGACTTTCAGCCACATGAGGGCACGGCAGCATTTCGGAGCTCTCTTGAACCCGTTCCTGATGGCTATCGAGTAACGGATAGACACTACGAATCACTGGTACGAAGTACTTATATACTTACGATGCGGGTCAAGGCGCCTGGATAAGGTAGCAATGAGTTGCCAACAGTTACGAAGTACCTGCAAAAGCAGTCTCTAACATATACGAAGTCTGCACCGCTCTCCTCTCCTTCTCGCGCATTATCTTAGTAATACCGTACTCGGAACTCTCTCAAGAGGAACGTGCACGCTGTCTGTTCCCGACGCCCGTCCTGTTGGGATCGCACGGTGACACAAAACTGACTACATAAACAGGGACGGCAGATCGGTCTGCTTGGCGTCTGCTTGACCGACCTGACCGGGGGCAACGAGCTCAGCCCCTGGAGTCTTGACCAACCGAGGCTCGTGTTGCTCAACCCGCTGGTTTTGGCATCTTTGTGGCGTTTTCTCGACGTTATTAGCAAGCATCTCGTTATCCAGCATCTTGAGAATGCTGGTCCTCCGGGGGGTTCATGGTTTCATTGCTCGCGACGCTAATCCTCGCGTACCGTCATGGGCGGCTCGTTATGATTGAATAGACTGGGTGAAGCTCAACGAGTATGGCAACATCATGGAAGGAGCTTATCATCTAAAAGATATCCGTAATACACCTCGAGGGACCTGAACAATCTTCGAGAGCTTGGAGAAAGGAGATACCTAGGTACGAAGCATTAACCCATACTGTACCTTACGTAATTCATTACTTCGTACTCCGACTTCTCTTTAATAATATCCCGAGTTGATTGATTACATAATGCATGGGGTTTTCGCGTACCTTGCCCCGCAACGCGTGCCGTCGCGTCCCCGATCCATAGACGCCATCTTCAGCTTCGCGTTAAACAGACCACTGGGTAGATTGGTCTCTCATTTGCTCAGGTTGTTTGCGATTTGTGAACAACGGGAACTGGATTGACATTTCCAAACGGCCAGAGAGGACGACACTATAGCCATTCACCACCCGACTGCCTGCCATCTTCCCTCTCTCCAGTTGCCCGTCATGTTGCGACCAGACTACAACCGGATCGATCCTAAGAGGCGCAACGTGGTCGACCATCGCAAGAAGCAATTTTCCGAGGCTGCATACAAAGAGCAGAACTACCCCTATCGCCTTAATTTTTACCCAGATCCTCCTACCGCCGATATCACTCTTGAGCAGTTCGAGCAATGGGCTATTGACCGGCTACGAAGTACTGTTGAACCTTCACCATTTCCCCTAGTGTCACAACCCTCCTTGTCTTCGGGCACAAATATAACCTCGTCAAAGCTGACATATTTCCTCTCTGCCTCAACCCGCAGTCCTCGCTGAGCTGGAAGCATGCTCTTTCCGCAACAAGTCTCCCGCCGAAGTAGCCACACATATGAAACCACTCCTCGACAAGCATCTCCCTCTCGAATCCAACTCGTCCCAGTCCTCCCAACTCTTCGCGCAACGTCAGAAGGATCACTACAGCCATTTCATCCTCCGCCTCGCCTTTGCCTCCACCGAGGACCTCCGCCGCCGGTTCTCTCGCGTCGAGACCATGCTCTTCCGCCTGCGCTTCAACTCGGACGATCTCGCCGAGCGTAACGCCTTCGTATCCAGCCTCGACCTGGACTGGTGGGAGACCGTCTCCGAGGACGAAAAACGGGAGTTCGCCTCTCAGTTCGCGAGCATGAACTCCACACGAAAGGCTGCGGCCGAGGAGGAGACTTGGTTCAAGGTGGACTGGCAACGAGTCCCGGAGCTGGTCGAGCAAAGAAGGGTGTTTCTAAAGGGCGGCAAGGCGTTCGTGCCCAGCCGTGAGCAGGCCAGCATGGTTATCGGCGAGTTCAGTACTCGTCTCGAGAAGCAACTTGAGGTGCGTTCAACCGTTCCGTTCGCCCATTTCCCTCTCTCTCGTGGTAGATCGAAACCTTCGGAACGTTTTGGAACGCTCTTGGTCGGGGACGGCGACAGGGACTAACCTGCAAAATTCTGTGTAGCTCACCGCCCGTGCCCTTCCTCGCTTGGACGAGGACGAACGTCTGACGCCCATCCTCGACCACCTCTCCAAGAACTTCATCACTCCGGATGCGTCCTATCTCTCGGGGTCTGCTACCTCCGTCGGCGGTGATATGTCGGCCCGCAACGTCGACTCCCTGTCTCAGCATTTCCCTGCCTGCATGTCCCACCTTCACCGCTCTCTCCGCCGCGATGCTCATCTGAAGCACTACGGCCGCCTTCAGTACACCCTCTTCCTTAAGGGAATCGGCCTCAACTTGGAAGAATGCTTGATCTTTTGGCGCCAGGGCTTCCGCAACATCACGGACGACACTTTCAACAAGGAGTATCGCTACAATATTCGCCATTCTTACGGCGATGTTGGAGGCGACTCTAACCGTCGGGGCGGAGGCTATAGTCCCTTCAGCTGCCAGAAGATTCTCACAGAGCACCCGCCCGGTCCCGGGGAGGCCCACGGTTGTCCATACCGCCATTTTGACATGGATAATTTGAACACTCTAGTGCAAGCCTTGGGCGTGTCGGATAGGAATGTGCTACAAGGCGTGCGAGAGGACAAGGAAAGCCAAAAGTATCACATGGCTTGTAATCGGTATGTCACTGGCTCGACTTTTCTTTTTTTTTTCCTTTTTTTTTTCTCGCCGCGCTATCCTCGCGCCCGTGGAGTGCAACGATTTATTCATCCATCCCCTTCCCTCTTTTCCTCTTGCGTCCGTTGCCAAGGGGGAAAATCTACCAATGAGGGATCAATTTCCAATATCCTCCGATGCTAATCGTTTGAGCCAGGGTCTTCGAACACCTTCACAAACAGGAACTCAAGAAAGCCAAGGACGAAGGCATCTTCACCTCCGCACAGCTCGAGACCATCGTTCACCCCAACGAATATTTCAAGCGAAGTTTCTTGCTCAAGAACCTGGACAAGCCCAAAGACTCATCAGATGTCAAGGTGGAAGGCTCCTGATATACGTGAAGCACAGACTGTGGTTGCGTTTCTCCAGTTTATCCATTGGGTTTATTCGGATTCCACAGCTGAGGAGCACACCCAACGACGCGCAGTCCGCAGTCGGACGCGTTGCGGCAGTGTCCTCGTGTTACACTATGATGGTGGTGAGATACGAGTCCGCACCTATGACGAGTCGCGGTGTATATTAAGAAGCGATCAGCTGCGCTGCGTGAAAGGGGCCCAAAAGGCCCAACTCGTTCGTTTGGAGCTTGCATCAGCGGCAAGAAAGTTGGCATGCATGGGGGTTACAACGCTTCCAAGAGAGATTAGGAAACGATGAGCTTTGGGCGTCTGGATAGTATGCACCGCTGGTGCATCCCTGGCACGGGTACATACGGCTGTATAAGACGGAAGGTCAGGATATCTTTAAAGGCAGGACATATTACGGCGAGGGATGATTTGTCGGGAGCTCGGCGTTTGAGGCGTCCGCTGCTAGGCCTTAGTCGGTTTTGGGAGCAGCTTATTCTTTATTTCGAACTAAATTCAAATGAATCCCAGAGTCAGATGCATCTCAGGTCGTGGGAGGTTTTAGTGCCGACGTACTCTCATAGCAATCTACCCAGGGTCTCCGACACTGAATGCGTTGGCCATAACATCGACGGAGTGCACAGCCCATTAGTTAGACTTGGACAAATGACCATCCGAGATATTCACTGGTTTAAGTGGAACGAGGACACCATCGGGAGAGACCATAGACAGATCCACGAGTGATTCACGAGACGATGGTTAGCCTTACCGACCTGTGCTTCATGCTGACCGAGTCCGCTGCGTTAAACGGAGACGGAGAAGTTCGCAAACTAATCATCACCTACCTCCCGTATTTCTGCCTCTCATCGTGGGAAAAACGGGGAAGCGACGGCGCCATGGGCGATGACCGGGCTGTCCATACCATTCAGTTTGGCCAAGCCCACGGCAGCCCTCCCCCAACCCCTTTCTTGGCCGAATCTCGTCGAAACCTGTAGAGGAGGCAAAGGTCCGGACTGCGTTCAACGAGCCAGTCCACTGGACAAAACGACGGAGCCAGGTCCGAAGCAGGTCAGTTTAGTACACCACGAAAGTGGACCAAACTGGACGAAAACGGCTCGCTACGTTGTACATCCCGACCCCGAAGCTGGTCCGACGGGGGTGGAGTATAGGGAATTACCTATAGGAAAAGGAAAGTTCTGGGCCCATCGGGATCGGACGATGCTTCTAGTTCCACCGGTCAACACACTCCACCATCTTAGCGCCGTGCTACCCCGGAGACGGAGGAATCGGCCTGAATAGAGTCGGATCAGCTTTTGAAACTGTTCAAGGCCCCTTTCTTCTTCTTTCTTTTTCTTCCCTTGCCGATCCTTCGAAATGATTGCAAGGAACACGGGAATACACTTATTGGGCATCCATGGGCCAAAGACTGCGAAGCCCAGAAAGGCACAAGATCTGCATCCCCCGATCGAATCGACGATGCGAGTTGAATAGGAAAGGACCGGCGCTAAGATTGCTTATAGCGGTCCCCGAAAGGTGGGTTCACATTCCGAGGCGAGGAGGGGAGTTCGGAGCCGTGGAGTTGACGGAAACCCCGAGAATCATGGACTTTAAAGTACCTATTCAAAGTAGACTTGAGAGTGGCCGGTGACGGGAGCAGAGCTTTGGTGGCTCCTTAGCGGCGACTCCTTGCTTTGGAGTCGGCCGTCTTCTGACCTAATCTCGAAGCGGTCGCATTATGTATACCACCTTTTGCAAGCATGAGACGAGGAAGGCATGCGCCCGTATGTTAGAGACAGGTTTTACACCTGCACCGAAACGAATGCTCCAAATACACCGTTTGGTATAGGGTCGGGCGTGTGTAAGTCAAGTCCCCTGGTCGGATGTAGCAAGAGACCCTGCAGAGTGGAATGGGGTGGATTGGTGCTCCTATTGGTTCCAAAATAATGTCAGTGTGTGACCTGGGCGACGACTTGGGAAGCCAGGGCGTCGTTGATCTCGATAAGACGCGGGTTTGGACGCCAAGTGGGTGGGTATGTTGTGAAGATCCTAAATCATTAATTAGACTGCGGGACGACAAGAGCAATTGCGCCCGCAATGGACGTGTGGCCTGTTTCATCTGGTTACCGGCGACTGATTAGATAACACCGGAGATGAATGAGCCATATTCTGCTCCATCCGAGTTTCCGCTGAAGAAAGGGGCCCATCGATGTTTATGACCACTGATCGTATCTTGTGTGCGCCGAGATGGCTGTTGATGAAGCACAGGCCGCACAGCACGAGGACCGATAAGCCCGATGCTGCGATGGCGAGCATCTATCTGCCCGATGATTGGATAACAGACAAAATTGGTGGTGAAACCGAGAGCACAGGCGAGCGAGACGATAACACAGCAGAACGGAAGACGAGAAGATCGAGAACGTGCAATTTCCCAAAACAGAGGCCATGGGGCCCTTTCAATGATCGAGAAATTAGTGAGCCATCTGGACGAGTTTTGACTTATGGCGCCTCCGATTGGCCGCTAGCCGTATGCGTCACCCGTTTCCTTTCCGTTCTTTTTTCCCTCCTCTTTTTTCCCCACTCTTTTATACTCTTTTTCATTGGTAGGAAAAACACCGGCATGTTTCGTGTCTTGATGGGACGATGACACAATTGGATCCTACAAACATGGCAAAGTCTGTTCTCCGCTGAGAGAGGGGTACAATACAGCGCCCGGCAAAAAGTATTTGAACACGCCGATGTACCATCGACCCACAAAATGCCAGGCTGCGGCATATGGGCTTACTATCTAGCCTCAAATACGTAGGAGTGTTCAAATACTTATTTCCCCCCACTGTACGTCAGGGGCCATCCCAACCGTTCAACAAGCAAAAAAAAGTGTGTTGTAATATTTGCACTTCTCGTAAACTGAGGCTGTTACACAGACCGAGAAGAAGGAGGAAACGCGAGGGAGAAATCGGGTGATTACACAACTCAATCAACACAGCGCCCAGCCTGACGGTTTGAGCGGATGGCCTGATGACGACCCCGTTGCGAAATGACAGGGCGGTTGAATTCATGTTATTATTTTGCGAAGCGGTACTTAGGCAGCCCGTTCCAGTTCTCGGAGGCTTGAAACGTGTCCCCACAATCAAGTCCATCAATCCCGCGAGAAATGGCATAGGGATGCTTGACATGACTGTACCTGGGAAGTATACATATGCCATCCAGTTCCTTCAACAGGTTACAACCGAACCCAAAATCTAAGGTAAGGTAGGTTGAATCAGTCGTCCAAGTGTCCATCGTGGACAGGCCAGACCGTTCATATTCGGGCTGAATAGTGTGGGAGCTAAAAGGTGGGTCCCAAAATATACCTAGGTACTATTGGACCAAGAGGACAATCCATGGTGCCGTCTTCGTTCGCCATTCAGCTGTTATGTCTGGTGTGTTACCTTCAGCCTCTAGTTCCTCCGTGGATCAGAGCATCATACACACATCGTACATAGTACCTATGGCGATGCCCGATGGTGATGCTAATAGCCATGTTTTCTGTGGGTGGATAGAGCCATGGCCATGGCCAGGCTCACCTCCGCTTTCTCTACAAAGTATGATCATCCTTACAACGTACTTGCTCGGTACATGGATGGCACACTAGCTCCAGCCGTTTGTAAGCTCCGGTTCTCAGCACAATTCTTGGACCTCTTGGCCCGGATTTGATTGTGGTGCCTAGATATACGGGTATGTGTCGACTCCTAGCATTACATCGTACGTGTACGAAGGCTATATCAATCCAACCTTTCCTCCCACGCTCCCGTCGTACGCATGTTACAATATTACCTGTTCCCCCCCAGTTCACACGAGAGGCGAAGGTTCGGAACGATCTCTACGGCCAAAATCGAAACCCGCTCGGAATTCTAGAAGTCTGCCAGGCATACAAAATCGGCAAAGACTGATACCTACCGGTCCGACTGCAATTGTCGAACACAGCACGTCTCTAGACAATATGAATCAGCTGGGCCCATCAGCTTGACCACGACTCAGGAGACCACCGCTTGCAGAACTGCAGAACCCGACCGTGTGAAAACTTCACTTCCTCTCAACTTTTTATTAGTGCAGCACCGCACCCATCGCAGCAAAGAGCCAGACAACTTCTTACCCTTACGGCTTTCTCTTTCCGCCGCCTCCTGCTTCGTTACGTCGCACCTACATAGCGTACGGAGTACACGAGCTGCGAGTTATATCCGTATATATATATATATATATTCCATCTGCGGTCTTGCTGCACACGCCCCCCGGCCCTCTCACCCCCCCGCCTCCTATCTTCTCGTCGCACTCATCATAAGGTTGCATCTTACCTTGGACCTAGGCAACCTTGTCACCACACAATTCCGCAGAAACTTCGATTTTAACTTACGGATAGAAAAGACCACTGGGCTGTCACTTTTCTTCTTCTACTTTCTTGTCTCGTGGTTTTCTTTATTCTCATCTGAACCCTTGGCTCGCCCCGGGCTTTCATTCATCTCCCTTATTCTTTCTGCCTGTGGCCTGTGCCTGACAGTGGTGTACGGATACATTTCTACAAATAACATCTTACGTCTTACCCCCCGACCTTGCCCGACGCAACCCTGGTACCCTTGTCAGTGCCATTTCCTTTCGTCCTCTTTCTTTTCCTCCGCTGGCAGGTACGTAGTATCCCCACTATTTCGTATCTCCTCTGTACCCCTGCACATTGTTTGGGCGCAGCCCTGCCTTGTGCTGCCTTGCCCCTGTCCTTCTCCACCAGTGTTGTCACATCCTGTGTAATAAAGCATATGACCCCCAGGGTCGATCTTTCTTAAAGCCCCCCCCCGCCTTCTTATCCTCTCCTCACTACGCCTTTCTTCAAGCCTCTCTGTCTCTACACTATCTCGACGAAACACATGGACAGACCTCGCATCCAAAGATAAATCCTAATCATCACGCACAGCCACGCCTCGACCAACACTCCCAAATACTCCTACGCCTACCCACTCCATCCCCACGATTGCACTTATCATGTCTACCACCCGTCCCGCGGCCGTTCACATCGGGAGTTCCTCATCCTCATCCGGTTCCGATTCCGACCTCTCTACGACATCAAGCCGTTCTTATATTCCAAACATGGACTCAGTTCCCGTCACGGTCTCGGTCGAGACCATCCGCTGTATGCGTTGCGCCGCCTCCATCGAAGTGACGTCCACCGATGACCCTGGCATCTACGGCATGGTTCGCATCTCAACAAATTTATATTACTGCGATCGTTGCGCAAAGAAAACTGGCTTCAAATGAACTCCTTTCCCGACAACGAAATGCTAGAGCAAAACCATTAGTCAACATATCCGAGGCTTAGCACGATCAGCATCATACCCGCTCGAAGTATATTCCCGCCGAAAGTCAACCACCCGGCCGAGCCTTCTCCGCACCACACGCCATTTGAGTCGACACTGACGGATGGCGAGGCGGTGACATGAAAAGAAAAAAATAATAAAGATAAGACAAGGGAAACCCCGGGCCCTCTCCCGACTGCCTCATGCCGGTGCTTATCGAGCACCTGCCATCGTCACATGCGGATCTGGTCAACCAACATCTCAAGCCCTGCAGAATGCGCAAACCTCCGCATGCCGAGGAGGAAGCCCGTCCAGGTTCGCCGAACTTGCTACCGCATTTGGGTGCGAAAAGCGGCAAATTCAGGGGCTAGAGGGCGGAAAGCCCTGCTCTGCCGCCAGCGCTGGGACTACCATATCCTACGATTGTGGGCCATCTACAACAACGACCGCTTCGACGTGGCCTTCCACAGCGATAAGGGCGACAGCGACTCAGGGCGGCCCATTATGCGCCCTTGAACAAATGGAGCGAGAAATAAAATCCCATCTCCAAAATGGCATCCACCGGATGCATGGACTGTCCCTGACAGTTGTTTGCTCCGGGACATCCTATTGGCCACGTCGGGAACAGTCGTCATTTCCCTCACGAATCTCAAACGTGGCAAAGTACCGGATAGCCACAAATCGATAACAAAAATCCACGTGATTTTTGTTCTTTTTATGCGCCTCTCTCCCTATCTCTTCTTTCACTTATGTTGTTCATTGAACATTCATGTAGTGTTGGCTGAAGACAAACCTTCCAAACATCAAACGGTCGCCCTCCTTTGTTTTCGGTGCAGCCTTTACACGTTGCCGGGCCGTGCTGTATGGGGTCTTGGGGCAGTGCCAGGTATACATCATCGTGCATGAGCAATTCTGTCTGTGGGCGGGGCGGGCCCTGATTGGTCCCCTGCATGGGTTGAACCAAAGTCGAGCCCAATTTGTTTTCGACGCGGGCCTTCGAGTGGAGATCAAGGGGGAAAGTTATTGGACGAATTTATTTCGGAGGGATTCTCCTGATGCTTCCTCCACGATGGCCTCTTTTCCTGGGCCAGAAACACGAGAAATTTAAAAAAAATAAAAAATGAAACAGAGTACCCGATATTCGTCCCTCGTCTATTTCGTCCTGTTTCCTCTCGTCGATTGTTCCGTCTTTTTTTTTTCTTTTTTTTCTTCGCGTCAGTGGCATCGGCTCCGAGCAAACCCAGCAACATCTCTCTGACGCCCGCACCTGGTTATCGCGTCATTATTTTTAGCCAGTTCCTTATTTCATTTCGACCCGCCACTGACGTCGCCTTGCATACTGGTCAGACCAAATCTGGCGGTGCGGGACTGGTGGGGGATCCACGGAATGGTCGTTTGGCTGTTTCATGTACGAAGTTCACGGGACTCCGATAGGGACCCTGGAACTCTTTTGACTGGATTCATTGCCTTGGTTTTTCTTGGGGGTGATTAGGAGGGAAATGGCCCGTGCAGAGGCCGTTTGCATGTTGATTGCACTTTTGGCACGTTTTGTTCAAGAGCGAATTGACGCCGCGGTTTGAGGCAGGACGACCTCAGTTTGACATGAGAAATGAGATACCACTATTTAGCGACTTCGCGATGGCCTTCTGGAATTGAAATCTAAGTTGTTAGCTCCTATAATTTGAGCGACAAACTGTTCTGGAGTGTTGTGTTGCTATTGTCGGGGGAGATAGGGAGAGAGAAACATCTTGGCATGCATTGTCAGATCTGTTGAAGAAAAGCTCACCGCATTGATCTACGCGAGGTCCAGCCTCATCTTTGTCTGATACTTTTGGCACGGAAATGTAATAATAATAGCGTCTACGGAATATGTGGCATCTTCTGCCACGTTACAAGAGTGCGGCACAGACTTGGTAGCTGGGCGCATTGCCCTTGCAAGGACATTCCTCTGCATACATACACACAATTTATTGTTATCTAAAAATGACCGTCTCGTCAACCTTGAGCATCCATGGCACTCGCGCCTCCGCCGAAGAATAGGCAGGGATCAACTCCGGTCTACGTGTAGGTGCCTAGGAAACGAACCAACTGCCTTAGCTATAAGCTTATTAACGATGGCCCATCTGTTTTCGTATGCAATGTGTCGCTTTTGGAGCAATTTACGACGTAATTCCTTCCGTGCATGTCAGTCAGCTACCAAGTAATTACGGTATGCCTGTAAGCCTATATATGCCTGCATTCCCGTGCACTCCGTAATGCCTCCGTACACTCTCCCCAAAGTCCAATGGGAGTCCAAGTGGCTTGCAGCAAGAAAGGCCAAAAAAAGAAGCCAAAACCAGGGCTCGTGCAGCCAGCTTAGGGCCGTTTCGAATTATTCAAGAAAAGAAAACAAAAATGTCGAGGTTGCATTTGTGCCGCGCGTCCATCTTACTCCTTTGGTCCCTGGTTAATTAGGCTGGCGGGTTGCATATGTGGCTGTCTGCAGATGAGCTTGTTTGGCTTGCAGGGGGGAGGGGACTTTTTTGATGCCGATACTATCGCGAACGAAGTAATATTACAGCGTGTACTGATGACGATGAGAGCTGCGAGGGCAATCCTTGGGGAACAGACGGACGACGGATTAAGCTATGGGGCTTATTAGTTAGCTGGTACGTGTACTGTTTTACTCGGTAGACTAGACTGGTCCTCTTTTATTTTATTTTGTGGACGGTCTAGACGCATCTCCTCGGACTAAATTATGGGGATCAATCTCCAGAATCAGAACGGAGTACGAAGTAGTCTTTAAATTACCTAAGGTACCTCATATTATTCGCAGTCGCGCGTGCAACTCCCCAGGTCTATCGAGGACTGGATTGGCGGGTTTTCTTCCGTTGGTCAGCAGTGCTTCCCCCCACACCAACCCAACAAGCTCTCACACTTCACGCACTCACCCTCTTTGTAGAGGTAGGTATTCCCATGTGTCCCATGTGTCCGCAGAGTACAGGGGATCGAGATGGCCAAGCCAAGCCAAGGGACCTCTGATGGGCTTTGACTCGGCCTTTGCTGTCTTCATTCATGACATCCCATGGCTAAGGGTCATGTACCCCCATACCACCAGGACATATCACCGTAGTAGGTTCTACATAGGGTCCGGGGTGTTTTTCTGGCTGATGATGAGAAGTTAGAAGTCGGAGGGGGAGCATATGCCATTTTTACACCCACACTGCATCTCGTCATATATCATCACATCACGGTGTGGGTTTTAATTATGTCTTGACACCAATCAAGCAATCCCCAGGATGGAAGGGTAGATGTAACGCCCAAGAGCCCAAAAATGTACGAATACCTACATATTCATGCCGCCCCGGCATCTCCCCCTCTTCTCCCTCGGCATGTACGAATAGGAAACTACTCGCTGAGAAGCCTCCTCCGCCAGAGAACCGCAGCACGTCCCTACTTTAGTGCGGCCCGAAAGCTGCAAAGCGGATGTCATTGTGCGTCTAATCCTTGGTCGAACCTGTGTACAGTACGAAGCGAAGTGCGCCCCCGGTTTCGAAAATGCACAGACGTGTTCAAGGGGGGGTGGAGGTTCGACGGGCGGTCTGGTCTGGTGGGGTTGGGGGTTGGGGGTGAGGACGGCGAAGGGAGGAAGGAGGAATGAAAGGCTTTTAATATTATCACGTCTCCGCTATGTTTCACGCACGTTCTGTCCAGGAACAGCACAGCACATGTCGAGTAGGAAATAGTATTTATGCCTACGGAGTAATTTTAAAATCCGGACCTTTCGCCAGGATGGTTTACTCCGTCTCATATCTTCGCCCTAGCCGTTCCTATCAATGGTTTGCTGTACCCCGCAACCGTAGTACTAGGTACCTATCCGGAGCTCCCTACCTTAACCTACTACCTAGGTATGAGCTACCGGCGCCACCTTATCTACCCTGAACGTCGTGTCGAAGAAAAGGAGATGCCGGGGACCAGTGTCGTACAAAACATCCCAACGGCCTGAGTGCTAGCTCTGACGTCTCGGTGATGACTTGGGAAGAGGTCTCAGGATCCGTTGGGCTCTGTCGGCCCAAAGAAACAAACTAAAGACTGAGGTCTAGACAAGCATCGACAGAGACACATGTGCCACCATTTTGGGAAGAAAGGGGGGGGGCTTTTCGTCCGTTGAACTGCATCGTGACATACATCAGTGACAGCGGCATCCACGTCGGGATCGTCTTCTATAGGCTTAACTTTGCATTACTGGCACGACTGATTCCTTGTGTTTACCAAAATTACAATGTAATTACAACCCCTCCGTCCGGGTTCTAATATCGAACCCCGAAGGCACAACAGTCCGACATGCAAGACGCAGGACGATCTACTCGTTTCCCAGGACCTTGGAACCCGAAACTGCCATGATATGTCATATTTTGTACTTCCGTTTGTGTACTTCGTATTACTGTTCCAGATCTGCATTCCGTTTCGCGGGTTCGCTATGACGTAGTGAGAAAACGGAAACAAAGTGACGCCTGGACACCAACCCGAACTGGGAATAGCTTCAAGTTCCTTCCATTAAGACCACAAAAGCGGAAAACAGAGGTCGTCTGCGGCCGTGATTCCACTTTGTTGAATTGCTTGCTGGATACTGGTCCCCCGTCCATCCTTCGTCTGTTTGTGCAACCTCTCTTCACCCGGGTCCAGCGTCCCTCCCCCTACGTCCTCCACCCTCAGAACATGCGGCGTCGATTGCATTAATCCTGACATTCCCTAAGCCCTTCAGTCCCGTGTCTGTCGCCTCTATATGTCCTGGGGAAATCCGTGCACCCGTACAGTATCTCCGGGTTGGCTTTGGTTAGTTACCACGCACAAGGATTCGGGAGGCAGTTGCTAATCATATATCCCGGGGGATCTCCCTCATGGCGGCCCCGGGTATTCAGGTCCATCGTCCCCGTCCTCCTCGTCATCATCGGCATGCTCCCGGACGTGCGGCTCTCCCTCAAAGTACAGTATGATCTCGACCCCGAGGGTCCTCTGTACCATTTTGGTCAACATGGCGTACTTCTCCTTGCAGCGCTTCATCCACGGCTCCAGCCTGAGCGTGCTGTGGAAGCAGTACACGTTGGGCCGTCCCTTGACCCGGTTCGCCAACTTGGACCTCTTGAGCACCCGCCACGCGTTGAACGCCATCGTCTGATCCACCGCCTTCTCGGGGGACGTGAGGTAGAGCAGATACGACTGCGTGAACCGGAACGCGAGCGTCTCGCACCCGGCCGTGCCGTGCTCGTCCACGAGGCCCCGCTCGAGGGGCTGGAGCTCCGCGTAAAGCCTCTCCAGCTTGTTCGTGTTGACGTAGCCGTGCAGCATGGCGAGGTCCATCCAGAACCGAGTCACGTAGGGGGACTGCCGCCCGTAGATCTCCTCCATCTCGCCCGCCAGCGCTGGCACGCTGCCCCAGACAAGGTCCGTCAGCGCCGACGCGCCGTGTTTCTGCTGCACCTCGTACAGGCAGTTGAACGCCAGCCGGAGAGGGTGCATCGTCTCGTACCGGGTCGTCGTGTACGCCGCCACGTACTGGGAGACGGCGAGCACCAGGTCGAGGTTCCGGTGCGCCATGGCGAGCACCAATTCGCGAAGCCCCTGTGACGAGAGCTGCCGCAGGTCCAATTCCAGATCCTGGAATGCCCGCAACAGAACGTCGCCTGCTGGCCCGTTCTCCCCGCTCGCGAAAAGCCTCCCCGCTTCGAATATCATGTCGCTCGACCCGGCGCCCCATGTGAGCGTTGATGCCCACCCTCGAGGCTTGGCCGCCTCTATTTCTCGTTGCCGGAGATGCAAAAATGCCCGCTTCATGTTGCCCACGAGTAGTTCTTGTGCGTGCAGCTGGTCCGGTGGTCGCAGATAGGTCAATCCTGGCGGTGGCGTCGGTGTTCGGCACCGCACATGGGGAGGTAGTTCGGCCGGCGACGCGAGATCCAAAAGGTCGTACTCGGTGACTCCTTTCCGTTTCAAGTAGGTTCGTAAGTTGACCGGCTTTCCGTTACGGATGAACTCGGTCACCTTTCCCCGGGCGTCTCGTTCGAACTTCATTGCCAGTAGTTTTTTTATCTCATCCACCGTGTTGTTCTTCGCGAAACCCCACTGAGAGAACCTCGTCTTGTACATCTTCGCTCTAGGTACTTCCGGCATCAGCAAATGGGTTATCAACGGGGAGGACCTACAACGTAGGTGAGGTAAGGGGGAAGGAAATACGTACGAGGCCTCGAATCCATGGCATTCTTTCATGATCTCCATCACTTCTTTGAGCGGTTTTCCCTCGTCGAGATACAATTGCCGAATCACGCATTTGTACGTTTCCCACTTATCACCAGGGAGGTATTTTTGGCGAGGTTGCCTGCTCTCTGTCCGAGATTTGGACAGATGACGGGGTTTGGTGTCGCTACCGAGTCCGGTCTGCCTCGGTTAGTAAAAAGAGAAGAAGAAAAAGAAAGAAAAAAAGGAGGAGGGCGAAAGAACGAAGATAAAATAGGAGACGGGCAAGTGTTTTCGGCAACTACGCCAGAAGTCAGGGAAATGGCTGGTGTCCATACTGGTGATGATATGGATTGTCTTGAATGCGCCGATGGTATATCGACTGGCTGTGTCGCGCCGACAAGGGAATGGCTGGCAGGGGATGATCTCGAAGGGAAAGTAGTCGGACCGGAAAAGCTTGTACTTTCTGCACCCCTTTCTAGTTTAACATACTCCTCATCCGGCAGAAAAGAAGGAGTGTGCGGCGACACGGTGTCATGTGTCCAGTGGTGGTCCATCGAGTTGGGCGACGCCGAGATGAGGCCGTTACCCATTCGCACCTGCATGGGTCCCGGCGGACTGGTGATATATTTTGGCGGGGGAGGGGCTCCCACAGACGTGCTTGCGATCTGGTCGACGTCGACGGGCCACAGGGGCCTGCATGTCAGCGAATCGTGCGTCTCGCCGGAGACTTGAAAGGGTAAAGCTGAGGCATTCGAGTGAAACGGGGAGACGGCGGTCATAAAGGACGCCGGCTGTCGTCTCTCATATAACAGGGCTTCGGGGCTCGAGTTCGCAGCCAGGGTCGACGGCCCCCAACTCAGAGACCCGCTGTAACCTTGGTGCTGAGCGGCGGCCGGGTAGAAGGATGGTCCCGACGACGCCAGATAAGGCGAATTTGCGTGAAAAGCATGGTGGGTGGTGTGGGCGGAGATATCGTGGCCGTGGATGTCATGGTCGCAGTCAGGAGGAGGAGGAGGAGGAGGAGGAAGAAGAAGAGCTGGTGGTCCGTTTACCGAACCGGCGGCCGAGTTGAACATGTCTCAATACAACGTAGGGTAATGAGGGTGTAAGGGTTCCGCGCTGTCGGGTCAATTAACGGTCCCGAGGCAATAGCCAGTGTGTTACACCGCCTTCTTCAGGGATCGACTCCAAGTCTGCGTCATGAAACGGTGCAGATGAGTCGTCTTCTGACGCCCGGCAGGCGCCGAAAAGAGGTCGATTAGGTACTCCCAATGAAATGAAAGATGATGAAAGAGGAGTGAAGGATTAAAACAAAAGTGCCTGGGAACGAGGGGCTGGTTTGGTTGGCGAGGAGTTATGTCCATGTCCATGAGAAGAGGGAAGGGGGGGCGACGGCCCCTGAATGGGCAACCTAGGCACCACCGCCAAGTGGATTCAGGGAGATATCAGTCTTTTTCGCGGGGGAGGGAAAAGGTGTAGCTAGCTTGGTCGACTTTTCTCCCACTCACAGGGCAAGAAAGCAACAGGGCACCCCCTGTGGAGTGGGTGAATACTAGGCGGGAGGATGGGTCTGAGTCTGAGACTGACAGAAGTTCCTTTTGGCGCCCTCTGACTTGGAGGATTTGGCTTGCCTGTACCCACCCACATGGTCTGGACTGGGTTAAGCAGCCCTACGAAGAGACATGACCTTCTCTTATGGGATGAATAAATGTGAATTCCGGCGAGGTTCGTGAGACACAGGCCACGCCAGGCACTGATGTCTTAACCCTGTGCGAGATGGATAGAGGGCATTATGCATGGCGATGATAATGGTGATATATTGGGTTTCGCTGCTACTCATCGCCTGCGGCGGAAGATCTCGCTTCACGCAACTCGACCTTAAAGCGGCTCTGGTTGAATATGCGAGGGGCTGCGGGCGACCAATTCGGGGATGGATCGGCCCGGGAGTCGTAGGGCTTGCACAGGCACGGCGTTAAACCATACAAGCTAGTTTGGGCGCGTCCCGCCGAAACCGGCACGGAAACGAACATTGTAGGCAAAGAGATATACATAGCTCGGTCTGCTAGGACCCCGCAATGCGTTGAGTTATCAAGTCAAGGGTCATAGGAGATGATAAACTCGAGGTCATCGAGGGCCTCCTGGGCCGAAGAGCTGTGGAGCGCCCGCACTAGACAGCCACACTAGCGATAGAAACATTCTCGGCGGTCTCTAGCTGCCGGGAATGCTCGGCATAGACGTTGAGTCCTGTTCCTCGAGTGAAGATGTGGCAGCTTCAGTGGACCGAATAGCTTCGGAGTGATTCGGAGTGACAGTTATTGGCAGCTTGTCCTAGGCCGGGTTTTCAGTCACCAATACTCAAAAGTATCCGTACGTAGAGAGCCTATAGACAGGTAAAAAGAGTTGGATAACACAGCAGCTGCCAGAGAAATGCTCACTCAATGTCTGGGATGAATTCACCCTCGGAGACTTCGTATTGGGATTTGCATCGACGTCTAGCCTGACTGGGCTGGTGGCTTGGAACCTGCATCGGAAAAAGTATATTGCTCAACCGGGGTTCGGCATAGAGGACCAATCAACTCTCGATTTGTTGCAGGAAACCACGTGCGGCTAGACAGTGAAAATACACAGTGTTTACTACGTACAAAGACAGTAGCAAGCACTGAAGTTCCCGACCCGGGGACGTAGTCACGGATCCCCCACTATCTGTCCTCCAGGTACGCCGTGACCGACGTCCGCAGCTCATTGGTCTCATTTAGTTCCCCCATAATTAAATTACCAAGCCAAATCTTCAATCAATAAGGTAAGGTCCTTCCCTGATATCATCTATTAGACCGTCTATTAATTCCATTTCCTAAGTAGGTAGGCTTTGAAGCTAGTAGGGCACTCGTTGCCCTCTGCAAACATGGCACCACGAATCTCACTTCGAGGACTATTCAATAATGCCGCTGGCTTTCTCTCGCGACTCTCATGGCAGACACCCTTGTCCCCACTCCCGAACCAGCGCGATGTCGTACACGTCCCTTACCTTGGCGGCGTCCCATCCTGTCCCATCGATGGTCCCATTAGCTGCCGCAACAACACTCCCGTCACTGGCGATACCTGCTGCTTCGTACATCCCAGTGGACGGTTACTGCTCGCACAATTCTGGGACCAAGAGGCTCACGTCCCCGGTGCAGAAGAGGACTGGACCTTACACGGCCTCTGGTTGGTCTCCCGCTCTTCGCCAGGAACCCCGACTCCAGTGTAACCTGGCTTGACCTCGCACCAAAGAAAGTCCATGAAAAAGCCTCAGCTGCTGATGTCCGCTGTGAATAGGCCCGATCTTTGCGATGGGAGCTACGAGGCTTACTGCGGCATGACACCGCATTTCAGCAACATCTCGGACATATTAACCCAATATGGCCAGGACGAGCTTCTTGCTCTCATGCACCGATACTGGGTAGCAGCATCGTATGTACAATTGCCTCCCAATGACTTCAGGGCCCACCCCTTCGGCCCTTCTTCCTCTTCTTTTTTACTCCCAACCCCCCCTCCCCCCCCCTTCGGACTGCCATCAGGTTTCTTCTCGCCAAGAGACCTCTTGACTGTTTGCGTGCCGCGTACTGATTGGTAACACTCCTCATTGCAGCGGATCTAACGAACACCTCTGGACTCACGAGTATAACAAGCACGCCAGCTGCATCAACACCCTCACGTCCTCTTGCTACGGCGGTGACTACCGGCCGGGCATGGAGGCCGTCGAGTATTTCACTCGCGCGTTCCATCTGTTCCGGAACCTGGACACTTACATGGCGTTGGCGTGGGCCGGCATCGTCCCAACCCACGAGAGCACTTACGAGCTTGCGGTGGTCCAAAAGGCGCTGGAGAAATATAGCGGTGGCAGCGTCGTTCTGAAGTGCAGCGGACATGAGAGGTCCGTGATGCATGAGGCGTGGTACGCCTTCTTCGTGCAGGGCAATCTGCAGTCTGGCCGGTTTATTCCAGCGAGAGGATACGGGGAGCACGGCGACGTTGGCAACTGCGCCGACCAGGTTTGGTATCTCCCAAAGAAGTGTCGGTGGCCTGGTGGGTGCGATAGGGGCGCGGAACTATGACCTGCAAAGGGTCAAGGAAGAGCAAGGAAGAGAGCGTGTATTTGAAAGGGGGGTTAGACCAGTATCACAGGCGACTTGGGCGTTGAGAACACTTGGCCATCTTGATCCACGCGGAGCGTTTTATTTTGAGACTTTTGGGAGTCTTGGAATGTTTCCTGTGTCAAGTCAGCTTGAACATTACGAGGTTCATCCCAGACTCAAAGGCTCGAGGCTGCCAAACACTGCTTGAAGCGATCCGGGGTTAGTTGTCAGCCTTGCGGTCCGCTCGACGTGATTGACGGAGAAAAGTGGAGGGATGCTGGCCTTATCGGCCCGACTTTAAAACGCCATAGCCTGAGACGAAACGGTGCCTGTGGAGAGTGTTAGTACGTGCTCTGCTTTAAGACGAATATAGATTAGGCTGTCGCTGGCTTTCCTGGAAACCCCACCAGACCACTTGTAATTTCACTGTGCTGGTGTTCCTTGCCGACAGTTTGGGAAGGCGGGTCGTCCTACGTAAGTACGGCGGAGTATATACCTACTCTAGTTTTATAGTTTCATCTCCGTAGTTCATGCTAACATAACAGTACGGCCTGATACGTATATGCGCCTTGTATCACTTCGCCTAAGATGATCGAGGATCGCCATCGGTTGGACGTTACCAAAACGCAACACCGGGGCCAGGGGTCTACACAGTTGCCGCGATGGTGTGACGTACACTAGGCGACAGTCTCGAAGCCAATTCACATTTTCCTTTGGATCAGAACTCGTCCTGTTGTTCTACTCCATAGCATAAGCCGTCCGGGTGGAGTTTCACGAGTCAAGATTTCTAATTCGTTTTGGCTTTCGTGTTTTTCAAGTATTTTTCGCGTCGTCCAGGACGAGTTATGGTTTAAATACAAAATTAAATACAAGTTGAAACTAACTAGAAGGTTACCTACCTACCTATCTTACATGGGAGACCGAGGATACTCGGGGTAGTGCTGGATTTGGAATACCTAGTTGGTTAGGACGAGGGCTCCTAGATTGCCTCCAAAACCAAGCCGAATATTGACCAGCGATTAGATAGGCGACTTTGATATTAATCGTACCTCGTACGTAGCAAGTCATGGCAACGGGTCAACGGTAGCTGTACAGGTGTCTTAGACTTAAGCTGACGCCAGAGACACCGGCAGCGCAGCGCAACGTCTTAGCTTTAACCGCAATCGAGTGACATGGGAGATTACGAAGCAAGGAATGATAATAATAAACAGTGCCCCCTTTCTCCCCACGTTCGCACCCATGGGGATTAGTATATTCTCGACATCCAAACACCTAAGATCGACTATAAAAGAACAATCTCATTCCGTATCGACTTGGCTTTGCATCTTTCCTTTTTACTCTTCTTGTCTCTTCTTTCTTTTGGCTGCCATCGATACGTACAGTGTGACGCAACTGAGCAACGCGACGAAGACCAACCGAAAAGATAACAAGACAGACGATATTGACGTGGAGGAAGTAGGCCGGCACTGGTAGGTTTAGTAGGTAAATAGCTGGCGAGTGCGAGACAACCTAAGGCAAAAGAGATTATGGAGTTCTGGCAGTAATAATGCGACGACGATATAGGCGTCATGAACCTTCATAGTGTGTTTTACTGAGTATCGCACAAGGGATAATAGCGCTGAATCAGCTTGTCAACGCGACAATACGTAGCACAGGAATAGCTCGATCGTCCAAGGTAGTCCTGAGTAAGAGAATAAGATAGACGCACGCACTATAGTTATTACCAGGCTAAGGTACCTGAGAGAATACATCTAACACAGTGTCCAAACTTTCTAATTACGTAATAGGTACGCAGGGACGGCACGAACTATTTGTACCTGGTAGACGGCAGCCAGTTGGTAAATTTTAGGTCTTCGCCAAAACTAAGGTAGTAAGACGCTAAGAAAAACTGTTTTCTTAGGTAAGGTACAACGTACCTCACGATCGGCCTGTCCGTTATGTCTCAACTGCTAACTCTACCCGCACTGTCCGTTCCCCTGTTACCATTGGCTTGTGGAGCTAGCCTGCGCCCCTGGACTTACTCACATACCTTACCCCAGTACTGGGACGCGGGCTACTTGTTCATTCTGGTCGTTCCCCCCGAGTCTCCATCCACCTCAACGGGGCCCGCAACCCGCCCTTCGTTTCCTTGTTCGTTCGTTCGTTCCTCTTCCCTTCCTCCACCTTTTTGCCATTTTCATTTCAACACTAAACATGCAAATTTCTAAACATCGCCATCGACTGGCCTGCCCTCAATGTGCTATTAGAAGCTGCTTGATGTGAGCTATCGACCATTCAAACGAGAACTCAGTTCTTGTTCGATCTCACCCCTCAACGAGCAGACTTCACCCACCCCAGGATCTCCATCTTTCCACCCCCGCGTTTTGGACGCAGCCAGGAGGAGTCCTGTGCCCTGCAGAAAGGGCCGAATACACACTGTCCATTTGTCGCCGCCTGCCCATGATTTGGGAATCTTCCTGGCGTATTCGGCCCATTCCACTCTCGATCTCCGCCAGCCTCCACTTCCTCCTCTCTGTAAAGCCTCTATAACCGTCTACGCTACGTCGTCAGGAAGCGTGAGGTTATCTCGCTTTCGGATTTACCTAATCGACTTCCCTTGCCTCCTGGGTTTACGGCCGAGGTTTCTTTAGAGGCGCTGAACTAACAAGACCGGCCGGACGGGGTAACCCACCAGGAGTGGGATCATCTCATCTGGTCCCGTCGGATTTCGATTCGGCCTCGGCCGCACTGGGCCACGACACGATATAATCACCACAAGGACGGACCCGGCAGCCATGACGCAGGCCGTTAAGAGAGCCTGCGACGCGTGTCACCGTCGCAAGGTCAAGTGTGACGGCATCAACCCGTGCCGAAACTGCTCCTCCGCGCAACTGGCCTGCACATACAATGCCGTCCCCCAGAAGAAGGGTCCAAAGGGCTCCCGCGCCAAAGTCATCAGTGAACTGCGGGAGTCGCAGCGGCAGACGAGTTTGGCGACCAAAGTTCACAACCGCATAAACGGCATCCCTAGTCCGCCCGATCCTCCCGGAGGCGCGCCGACCCCCGGTATGCTCGCTCCCGAGGTCGTCAATGAGTGCGTCGAGTTTTACTTCGCGAATCTCTACGACAAGGGCCCCATCCTCGACCGCCGTCATATCGATCAGCAAGCGCCGTTTGTGGAGAAGAACCGAGACTCGTACTGCCTCCTGGCTTCGCTATGTGCCTTTATGATGCTGCAGCCGGGCATGGCTCTCCCTCCGAGCGACTCGTACGGCCTTGAAATGGTCCCCGGCGCTACCATGGTCGCCAGTCAACTGCTCCTGGAGGAATGCCTGCGTGTCCGCAAGGGGTATGAGTATCTCGATAACCCGAGCTTGCATACGTTGGCCACGAGCTTCTTCATCCAGGCCTGCTACCACGCCCTCGAACTACACAACAAGGCTTGGTTCTATCTTCGTGAGGCTACTACTATGCTTCACATGAACGGACTGAACAAGGAGGAGACGTACTCCCAGTGGGATGCCACTGAATCTTCTAGGAGAAGACGTCTTTATTGGCTGTTCTTCGTTCTTGAAAGGTAAGGGTCTCATTGCGCCTGCGCGACGGCTTGGACTTTGCTCAAATGCTAATGATTCAACTCGCAGAGCCCATGCCATCCAGTGGCAACGACCATTAACGCTCCAAGCCACCATCAAGCCACCCTCCGTTTCGGATGACCCTACTGATTCTCAGGCCCCTCAACTGAACAGCTTTGTCATGCTGGTCAAACTCTTCCACTCTTTCGATGATTCGTTTACCGGCGTCTGGAACAAGACGCGGAACAACCAGTCTAGCGGGCACACAGCGGCTCTGCAGAAGCAGTTGAACGAGATAATACCTACCTTCCATTGCCAGGATGGCCAGCTAGCCGACCTGCAGACCAACCAGCAGTGGATCAAGACGACGCACTGGCAGCTGACGAACGGTAGCATTGGCTCCCACAACGGTGACGGTATCCACTGGCAGTGCCCGCGGGACCTCTCGCATGAGCTCCTGATGAAATTTGCCACTCAATTCCCCGGTCAAGGGATGGAACTGTTAGGCTCCGGGCTGGTGAGTGTTGCCCCGATGCACGCTGAGCCCGTTCTCTTGAGAACGGGGTGACAAAGGTTCTTCGATGACTTGGCTGACATTATAAACTCAGATTGAGAAATTATTTGACGTTGGGTCTCACATGACAGAGTACCTTGCCAATCAGCCAGCATCGCGAGATCCGTTTACGCTCGGCCCCCGAGAGCACCTGAGCCAACTTCTCAACGTGGTCGGCATGCTGCGCCACGGACACCACCATTTTCTTCCGTTGTTTTTCAGCAAAGTTCACCAAATGCTTCCTCGACTCACCAATCCGATGCTGGAAAACGCGCCGGACAACTGCCCGCTCGGCAACATGGACATTTTCGACGGGTTCGGAAACGCTGGCATGGCGCAACCACCGCCTCAGATGCAAATGCAGATGGATTCGGAGTACGAGCGAAAGTTTCCTGTGGCGGAATACGAGAAGAGCTTCGAGATGAGCAGCAGCGGAAGCGACGGGAGCATACAAACGCCTCCGGCCGCCGCGTCCCTCCCTCCTGCTCCGCCGCCGCCGTCGTCGAGCGCCACGGATATGGGCTCTCCTTTTGTCAGCTCGCCCGGCATCATGTCTCCTGGAGTGGAGTTCCCTCGCCAAAACCTCGGCGACTTCTGTGGTCCCATGTCTGATATAGTGATGAGCCCAATATCAACAGGGCCCGGCTCGTCGATGAATGCGTCCAACCAACACCCACACCATCCGCACCACGTCATGCAAAACCAGTACCTGAACTCTCCGCAGGTGTCCTCGAGCATGGGCCACCCTCATGCCCGCTCCCACGGACACGGCCACTCCCACGGTCACGGTCACGGTCACGGTCATGGCAGCATACAACCAGCAGGACAAGGCATGGGGTATAATGGACCATCGACTGCAAACCAAGGCGGTTTGAACACTGCATCCATGCCGTCTGGTCATTCCATGTCGCAGACGATGTCCAACGGGGGCAACGCAATGGTGGGGCAAATGCCGCGGCAAGCACCGCAAAGGACCAGCAGTTTTGCAATAGCGCAACAGACGCAGATTCCCAAGACGGTGGGCGATTTCCATGCACTTCAGCGATCCAACACGGGCGACCTTGGTGCTATGTCGGGGATGGGAGGTCCTGACATGGACTTTGGCGGCATGAGGTAGCAACGGCGTTGTGCCTTTGTCCAATTTTCACGACCTGCGTCTCGTATATATCGATTGTCAGTCTTCCTCTACGATTTAGCATCCTGGACCAGTCAGCATTTGGAACATTCTGGACCTGCCTCATCACGCATCACTCATACTCATCACTCATCACGCATCACCACACGAGCATCCGCAATGCCGTCGCTTATCCATTTTCATTTCTTTTTCTTTTCATTTCTTTTCATTCCCCCTTTTTGGATATTACAGGGCTGTCCCTAAGACACCTCTTCTTGTTTTGTGAGCACTGCTGTGCTTCGTTCTGGAGGCTGAGGTTCAGCATGGGTCTGGGTGTTTTGCGGTTCTCAACCAGGTACAGAACACCTGTGTTTGGGGGAGGGGTCTTGATGGGCGCCGAGATGGACAAGGCGCCAGGAGATAGGAGAGACAGGAGGGCAACAGCGTGACGGCGAAAAGGCTAGCATCCTTTTGAGAAAAAAACAAATGGATGGGGAAAATGTCCAAATAGTAATCAAAGCTACCTGAAATGACTAAAGGGTATCTCCTCTTGCAAGTATAGGCTTTTAGTATGGAATAGAAAAGGCAGGTTATTTAGACGTAACAAATATTTGTTGGGCCGTTTTCCTTTCAGCACTTGTAGGGTAATTATATGTATACGGTGAGACGAGCCGCTGACCTTGACCTTGATGGCTCTCCGCCACAGCCCTTCCGCGGTTTAGGTCTACCGGGTATTTAATTGGCGACGTCTTACTCGGTTAAACAGGGACACCTAATTGGTTACTGGCTGCGTCTAAGCACATTTACAAGTGCTTTGGTAACGGGACGAATAGGGGAATGCAAGATATTTTGAGGGCTGAGCTCGTGAAGAAAAAGCAGAAAAGCACCCCTCCCCTGGGCTTATTAGGGCAGGGTACCTTGGCCATTCTGCAAAGTAGGTCGCTTAGATGTAGGTGGGTGGTATTGCATGTAAGATGAATGCGGTTGGCTCGGCTCGGTTAGAACTTGCAGAGTAGCAGCTACATACCGGTGTAGGGCAGCGCAGCGCTGACTTCAGTGTTGTACTAAAAGGCACGAAGAGTACTTTAACCATACGCTTGGGTTTGTTCTTGTGCCAGGTAAGGTAGGCAGTACTTGCCGCATCCCCGCGGTCTTGTCGTACGTATTACCATTAGACAGGACGTATGGCCTGATGCAGCAATGCAGGAAGCTACCTTGGGTACCTTACTTTACCTTACCTAGGTAGGTACCTTAGGTAGATGATGATACATGATGATAACCCGATAATGGGGAAGAGGGGTCTCTCCCCTTAGAGGCCCTTCCTTTTCGTCTTCCTGCTAATAGCCTTATTTTACTGGCCTCACTTCTCCTTCTCCTTCCATCTCTTTACTGCCCTGGATAGTTATCTTCGATATCTTTTTTTAGTCCCCTTCTCCCTCCTCTATTCCTCCTCTAGTCCTCCTCTGGTCCTATACATACTCTGTACCTACCTATTGAGCCCTGTCTTGCCATCATATTTCTCAACCCGCCGTCGTACGCAGCGATGGCGGCGGCTGGCCATGTGCAGGCACTTTTGTCGCCGTCCACCTGGCCGACCAGCGTGTATGCTCTTCTGTTCACGTTGCTGGTTTACGGAATATCTGAGCTGGCCCGCCGGGCCCCCTTCCCTTCCAAAGCTCCGCGTCTGGTCGACTCAATTCCGATACTCGGTGCTCTACGCTTCTTCACTGCCCGCGGCCAGTTTCTAAGCCAGTCTCGCGACATATCCCCTTCGGGGCAATACTCTTTCTATGCCGGAAAAAAACAGATCATCGGTCTGTCTGGGCCTGACGGCCGGCGCACGTTCTTCGAAAGCCGCGAGCTCAACTTCCCTGCTGGCTATGCCGTCCTGTTCAGTGCGCAGCCAGCGGTGAAGGCCGGCGACCCGTTTTACGGAGATGGCGCCAGTGCGAAACTGCTGCGTTTCATGAACAAGCTCCTGAGGCGCGAGTTCCTCGGCCAGCGTGTACCCATGTACGCCAGCGACGCCCGCGAAGCGATGGAAAGCATCGTCAAAAGGGGGAGTAGTAGCGGCGCTACTGCTGCTGCTTCTGTCGTCATGGACCCTTTCGAGGATATGTACCGTCTCGTGTATCGGCTGACCATGCGCACGGTCGGCTGCGACGAGATCGCCACCGATCTGGACCAGCTGCGCACCACGCTCTCCCTCTTCGAAGCCATCGATTCGGGGGCTACCGCGTCCAGGATCATCTTCCCCTGGCTCCCCACCCTGGGCCAGGCCCGGCAGCTGTGGAGCGGCTATCGCATGTATCGCATCCTGGAGGGCATCGTCGCCGACCGACGCCGCACCGGTCGCAGGGGCAACGACGGGCTGCAGGAGCTCCTCGACCAGGACACGGATATGTTCGGCATCGTCGAATCGATCATAGCGTCCCTGTTCGCCGGTCTCGTCAACAGCGGGATCAACGCCGCCTGGATGCTGTGTTTCCTCGCCCACGACCGCAAGCTTTCTCTCGGTGGTGGTGGTGGTGGTGGTGGTGGCGGCGGCTCGGGATGGTACGACCGCGTTCGACGCGAAGTGGACGCCGTCGTCGCACGCCACCGGGTGTCGGACGACGAGACGCCCGCAGACGCGCTGGCGCGACTCACGCTCGCCGACTGGGAGGCCGAGTTCCCGTCCATCGACCTGGCCCTGCGCGAGACCATCCGCTTCACCATCACCGGCTGCGGGTTCCGCCAGAACCTGAGCAACGAGGACGTGCCCATCGGCGACTCGGGCGAGGTTATCCCCCGGGGCGCCTTCGCGGTGTATCACTTTGATGACGTGTTGATGAACTCCAAGTATTACCCGGAGCCGGAGCGGTGGGATCCCGGCCGGTACTTGCCGGGTCGCGCGGATGACAAGAATGCCGGCACGCATGGATACATCGGATGGGGCTCGGGACGACACCCGTGTCTCGGCATGAAGGTGGGTTTGTATTGTCGTGTTTTGGTCCTGCCCTTCCTATTTTATCTCTTTGCCCCCTCGCCTTTGGTCGTTCTCTGTTTGTTTCTCTCGGGGGGGGGGGGGGTTTCTTTTACTGACTTGTGATGGGTGGTGGTGTAGTTTGCCAAGATGGAAATGGCCATCACGACGGCGATGTTCGTTGCCTGCTTCGATTTCGAGCTGTGCGACGAAAACGTACGACATATGACCTCGCTGGCTGGATTAATTGATCGAAATAAGCATTCAGCAAGCAAACCAGACAAGAAGATGTATTTGAAGGCGACTCCCAGGATGTGATGCGCGGGTAGTGGGTGGAGGGTGGAGGGTGGAGGGGGAGGCTAGCTGGACGAATTATGTGGTGTGGGTGAATCCACCATGGGATATTTTGCATTTTGCATTACGGCACATTCATCCAGTTGCATAGTCCATGCATGATGCGACGAATCCTCTCGGGTTTGCTGGAATGATGTTCTTTTCGCCCGATTTGCTTGTCAGAGCCAACACTCCAAGTTACCACAACCCGAGAAAATGGTATAACCCACTTGGAAATGGTGATTTTTTCTTTTTCTCTTGTTCCTTACGAACGAGTGACTGATTCGAGTGGCTTCCCGGTTGCATGCGGCGATCCTCCGGGGCGGCCCATGTGGGTCTGCCGCGGAGACTGCCGCAAAGTGTTAAATCGGCTGCATCGGCAAGTCCGGAGACCGTTCGGACATGGCTGCCCACCACCTCAACTTCTCCCTCCATCCATTACCTTCAATTGCCTTATCTACGTACTGAAGGCGCCAAGACAATATAAGCTGCGCATCTTATCTACGGGTCTGGTGTTAATAATCATCCCGCTTCGTCCCGGCCGGCGCTTGACTGCCCGATGGCTTTCCTCTTTCATCTGCGGGGGTCTTGTTCCCTTTATCCATGTTTGTCTATGGCTTTTTCCTTCTTCTTTTTTTTCCCTTTCTACTTTCCACTGTTCAGCATTTTCTCTCTCTGTGATACCCTCCCTTTCCCTTTCCCTTCGTCCTTGTTTCCTCCTTCCTATCGAGTCGCCAGGGGTACCCGGGACTTTGCATCCGTTTCCCAGTATACTCCGTACATTGGACCAAGACTTGGTCGTCGGTTTTCGCGCTTCGTCCCGTCCTGCTCCTAAGGTGACCATCATTCCGCGAGGCAGCCAGCGTATCTCCTCCGCAAAGCTCGCACGCCCTCACAGAAATCTGTCCAACTGTCCCCGGAGCCCCAGGGGATTTTAGGCCTCCTTGGCCAGTACAGTCCAGCAGTCATGACCCCCTCAACCGGAGAATGCGAAGTAGTCCAGCACTCCATGTTCGCAGACCCAGGCACCACCCCCCTGATCCTAATCCACGACGGCGGCGGCACCACCTTCCCCTACCAGTGCCTGGAACCCCTCCACCGCCCCGTCTACGGCATAGCCAACCCGCACTTCCGCTCCGGCGCCCCCTGGCCCGGCGGCCTCCCGCAAATGGCCGAGACCTACGCCGCCATGGTCCGCCGCACCGTCCGCTCCCCGTCCTTCCCCCAAGTCACCGCCTCGTCCAGCAAAAAGTCCGTCGCCCGCTCCCCCTACGGGTCCCCCCTCTGCCCGGCGCGCGCCCGCATCCTCCTCGGCGGCTGGAGCCTGGGCGGCATGCTGGCGCTGCAGATGGCGTGGATCCTCCAAGACGACCCGGACGTCGAGGTCGTCGGGCTCATCCTGGTCGACTCGGTCTGCCCGCTGCGCAACAGCCTTGATCCGGCCCCGTCCATCGACTCGGTGCAGCTTGCGGGCGGGAGGAAGGTGGGCGGTCTCTGGGACGAAGAGGAGAGGGAGCCCGTGCGCGTCAACGAGCGGCTCGCGCGCCGGGCTATGAGAGCGGCGGTCGAGATGGTGAGGAGGTGGGAACCCCCGCGTTGGGGGTGGAAGGTTGTCACGGCTGAGCCGGAGGTGCCGAGACGGTTGGAGAGTGACGAGGATTGCGAGGACGACGACGACGACGACGACGACGACGACGACGACAACAAAAACAACAACAACAACGACAACGACAACGACAACGTGAAAAGTTCGAGACCAACGACAAAGGCGACGACGACGACGACAACGTCCTCGAAAACATCCGTGCCTTCGGTTCCCCACGGACCCCCTCCGACGGTCTTCCTCAAAGCAAGAAACTACGTCCCCATGAAACGCAAAGGGGAGATCTGCTCCCTGGATGTTCTGCGGGAGTGCGACGACCTGGGATGGAGCCGCTACCACGTCGGGTTCCTGGGGAAGATCATCGAGATGGACGGCCATCATTTTGACCTCTTTGCGTGGGCGAGGCTCGCGGGCACCACGGAGAAGATTCGGGACGCTTGTGATTCGCTCGACGGGAAGGGGACGGCACGTCGTCCGTAAGGGAGTCTTGGAAGGAGGAGACAGAGGTCCCAGTACCAGGAAGTAATGGCAAAAGAAAAGGAGTAATAATGCCAGGGGGTATCATATTTACGAACGGCTACCTATACTCTATACACAAACTCTCGTCCAACACAGCGCCAGTCAGTCTCAGTGTGCCGCCCGTGACCACTTTCCGCCCCTATTCAACTTTGCCCACCAAAACACGATTCCAATGGACAGCAGCCTGCATCCCTGGAACCCCAGCGCGGTGTGTAAGTATACTTCATGGACCCCCGAAGGTCATCAAGGGCCTCGGACCAACTTCCCCAGCAGAGCAAACACCACGTTGTTACATGGTTTTTTTATGCTTCGTTGGAAACAGTAACCAGCAAGCATGCCCCTTTCTTATCGAACGTGACCGACGAACATGGGGGTGAGAGTATCGTAGTGGGCGGCCGACGACGCAGACGACGCCGAACTGGAAGGACTCTCCTAGACGGCCTCCCAGTCCATGGCGTCGACGATAAAGTCGAACTCGGCCTCCTCCTCGGCTATTCTCTTGGCTTGCATGGCTGGAGTCCAGGCGTCAGGGACCATATCGGCGCGGCGGGCCAAGTCGTCGATCCAGGCCTCGGCGATGGCGTACCCCTGGTCGAAGCCGTTGAAGATGAATTTGAACATGGAGTCCAGATCGTAACTTTCCAATGGGGCACGGCCAGTGACGGGGTTGAGGTCTTCTCCTCTGGCACCGGCGCCGAGGGTCATGGCATGGGTCGCGGCCGCCTCTGCCGGGTCCTCGGCGTATTTCCAGCGGTTCCGCAGCTCCTTGGCGCGGCCTAGGTGCTGTCGCACTTCGCCAGTGCCCAGGGCCGCATGCAAGGGGTTCTGCTTGGAGTCCAGCGCGGCCAGCACGTTCTGATGGTACTGATGATGTGCGCCCCTTGCGGTGCCGTTGGCATTCCCGTCACCCCGGCCGTTGCCGTTCTGATGCGAACGGCCAGGGGAGATGGCGACGCCGAATACGCCGAGCAGATGGACAAGGGCTCTCTCGAGAAGCATATAGTACTCGTAGAAGTCAAGCTTGAACATCAGCTCGGCCTCTTGCTTCTCGCGTTCCTGCTGGACAAGCTGTTCCGGATCCATCTGGGGCACAAGGTCAGGATTGTGGCCGCTGACGGCCAGATGATAGCCGTACTGGAGGTAGGGCAGCTTCCACTTCATGCGGCGAACAATCTGGACATAGCGGCGGAACTCTCGTTGGGAGGACACGAGGCCGTGGTTGTTACTGCTCCCACTCCCAGACAGAGCTGTGGGACCAGGATGGACACCAGTGGCAGAAGGGGCCACAGCTTCCCGTTTCAATTTTGGGGTGGGGGTTTGCTCCCACCATCGGTCGTTGTTGGAGGGGGCCGAATGGACGGGAATTTCTGAATCTGAACTGATGGGGACTGCCGGATTGATGGCCGAGGATCGCGGGATGTAGTGGGAGGGGTCACGTGTGGCCCATGACGATGAAGAATCAGGGGCGGATGCCCACTTGGATGCCTTCAGGCCACCCGGCCTGACACCGCGTTGAAGGTGCATCATGTGGGGGGAAACTCGCTTGCTTTCCAATGGCACGACCCTGGTGTTGTTATGTCTTTGTCTTTACCACCCCACTTTAACCAGGACGACTGGCCTTTTTCCCGTTTTTATGCTTAATTTTATCGCTTTTCTTTTTCTTCAGGACCGCGTGGGATAATGCGTGGGAGCCAAAGATGATAGCGGCAAGGGAAGAAGCAAGTCAATGGTTTCCGTTTTATCTTAGTTTGGCGAACTCCCGACCAGGTTGACGCGGCGACGGAACAACGACTTTGATAGCTTTGATGGACCTGGGCGTGGGGCGGGCTGTCGCATAGCAAGGGTCCTGGCGGGAAGGGAAGAAAATGAAAACCGAGTGACAGCCTCGCTGTATGAGGACAGAGCAAAAAGCTGGGTATAGAGGCGCTCGCTGAAACCAGATATGAGAATGAAAGAAAGAATATACTAAGAGAGAATGAATGAAAGAGAACGAGATTGAAGCGTCGCGGGAGTCGATGTCAACTCGTCATGCTAGAACAGGAGCAGATCCCGGAAGAATGGTCGGCGCTGACTGCTTCGCGACGGGCTACGACGGAACAAATTCCGTTTGTCGAGTTCTCGAGTCGTCTCCGGGTTACGGACTTTCAGGCGCCAATGGCTATGTCGGCTCCTTGGATGGCAATAAATGAACTGGATTATGGGAATGAAACACGGAGAGAGAACTGAAGAGTCGGGCGAAACAAAGGGAACATAATTAGGCTCGTGTCTTTTCTACCATATTTATTTTTTATTTGATTGTTTTTCTTTTCGGATTTAGTCTAAACGCGATGCCGTGAGTATCCACTGAGCTGGGCCGTTCCTTCTGCTAATTATCGCCAACAGGCCTCTCTACCTTAGTAGTCCCTTCCCCTGACTGGCATGACCCCGCCCGTAACCTCCCTGTCTAGGCAGTCACTACCCAACAAAATCAACATCAACAGCAAGAACGAAACGGGTATTGACGTCAGTGGAAAAGAATACGTGCAAGTTGTGGACGACTTCCTACCTTAGTCATAACAGGGTTCTCCAGTCCGAAGAAAAGAAGCAAAAAGACGAAGAAAGCTCAATGGTATTGCCCGTCATCCATCCTCCCTTCACGCAACCAAACCCCCTACATCCCTCAGACGCCTGCTCTGTATCTGCTCGTACTGCAGGAGTCATTCGTGGCAACCAACCTGCCATTTCACTGTCCCAAATATCCTTGATTCCAGGTTGGGTCGATTTGTTTAAAGAACCGCCGCTCCAAATTCCACAGATAAAAGCAACAACGCCTTAATGCCGGTCATAAGAAAACATGCCTTCACTCGGCCTTCCCAATGCATCATCGCGAAGGAGAGGGGAAAGAGATTCGCTTCAATAGTATCCTCCTTGCTCATGCGGACACCTTCTTCGTCGCCTTGGCTGTGCCGATATGGGTATTGTGGACCTGTTTTTCAATCCGTCAGTCTCCGTCGGAAGGGGAAAAGGCGAGAGAAAGAAGGAGAGAAAAAAAAAAAAGGAAAACTCACCTTAGTCGCAAACCGCAGACTCGTCAAAGTCTCCTTGAGATGGACCTCCAGCGGGCTCACCATCACAAACATGAGCGTCTTGCTGTTACCTCCCAGCGAGTACTGCAGCAAGTGCGTCAGCTTGCTGTTCCGGTACGGCACATGTCCGCTGCCCCGTCCCAGCGCCTCGATAACATCCCCCAGGCATGCCAGGCTCTTGTTGATGCTTTGCGTCTCCTTCATCCGCTCCCCCTCCGCCCCGGACTGCTTCAGCCGTTCCGACCCGGCCAGGTCGACCAGATTCAGCGTCCCCTCGCACCGCTCCCCTGTCGCCTTGTTGTGTCCCACCAGCTTGAGGATGAACACGCTGTGCGACCGTGACGACCGCTCGTTCGACTTGGTCGCCGCCACCGCACGGTTCGCCGACGCCTGCTCCAGCATCGCCTCCACCTTGTCCGCCGAGTCGAGTTCCACCGTCTTGCAGTTTGTCACTGTCGTCTGCTTTCGCGCCTCGTCGTGCCGGATCTCCAGCTTCTTCGCCTGCTGACCCGCCCCCGCCGCTGACCCTGCGCTCTCCCGCCCGTGCGGCGACAGCAGGTCGTGTAGCTCCTCGTTGTATACCTCGATGAACGACCCTTCCATCGTGTACGTCCACGACTTCTCTTTCAGCTTGCTTATCGTCTCGTAGATCATGTGCGTCGCCCGCGGGATCATTCCGTCCCGAGATGACATGGTGTGCGTCTTGCCCGACCCCGTCTGGCCGTAGCAGAAGATGCACACGTTGTAGCCGTCAAGCGCGCTCTGCACCAGCTGCGAGATCTCGTCGAAGACGTCCTGGTTGGCCGCCCCCGGCGCGAACACCCGGTCGAACTCAAAGTTGAAGTTCTTCCGCGTCACCTTGCCCAGGCTGCTCATCTCCTCTGCGCCTTGCACCGCAATCTCCGCCCATGTCTTGTCGTCTGGGAACGTGATCTTGGCGCCTTCCCCGTCGCCCGGGCCCAACATCGGCCGCACCCGGCACATAACTCGGATGTTGCCCTTGAGCTCCTGGTACTTGTTGAACAGGATGCGCCGCTCCGTCTCCTCCTTGATGAGCTTCTGCCGAGCCTCCTCCGCCACCCGCAGGGCTTCCTGCAGCCGCGCCTCCATGCTGGCAAACGAGTCCGACTGCGCTTTGCTGTCCGATTCGAGGAACTCCACCTGCGACTTGAGCGAGTTGATCTTGGCTTCGAGTGTGACGTTGCTTGCCGCCAACTCCGAGATGCTGCCGTCGAGATTCTTGCGCAACGCCTGTTCCCGGTCGAGGTCCCCCTTCCACGCCTCGAGTTGCGAACGCATCTCTGACAGATCGCGGTCCTTCTTTTGGAGGGCGAGGTGGAGATCCTGCTGCTCGTTGCCGAGTTTAAGCCGCAGCTCTTCCACCTCTCTCGACTTGATGCTTCGTTCGTCCTCGAGCTCCACCCGGTAGTGCCGGTCCAGCGCTTCCATCGCCTCGCGATGACTCTTCTGCAGCCGCTCCGTCTCCTCCTCGAGTTCCTTTCGAAGTTCCTCCAGTTCCCGCCTGTGTCTCCTCGACTCGTCTTCCAGCTCGTACTTGTGATTCCGTCTCTCCGTCTCCAGGTCAAACGTCAGTTGTTGGAATCGCTCCTTCAAACTGTCCAAGTTTGCCTGCAGCGTCTGGTTGCGCCCATCCAGTCTGTCTCGTTCGGCTTCGACTTCGGAGGCTAAGAAGGGGGTTAGCTCACGTCTTTCCAGCTGGTGTCTTTCCCCACTGGCTGCTGTAGTCCAACAAAAAGCAAAAACCCACTTCTCTTCCTTTGCCATTCCAAAGTTTCGTCCGCCGCCTTTCGATCGGACAACGAGGTGTCTATGAATTCTTTCATCTGTCGAATCTGATCGTCGACCTCGCCCAGTTTTTCGTTGACGTCTAGGGCTACAAATCCAGTCGTGTTAGTATACTTGGTCAAGAACTCGGTTTTGATAGGAGACGGTGACTTGGTGGGCGATGAATTGACCAGCGCCCGGCAAGTGTCAGCCACCCAGTCCATTTTGCGCTTCATGCGCTTGGTCTCGATGGCTGGCGCCGGATGAGGACGTGATTTCCCACTCTTCTGTGACCCCTTGGTCTGCGCTTTGGCCAGCATGTTCTCTTTGACCCCAGCCCGACCTGTGTCATGTTGCGTATGCTGTGTTTGGGTGGGTGTAGTGAACTGGATGCTTGGCAGGATGCCATCTTCGCTTTCAGAGACCACTCGGTCACCTGCGGACAACATGGCTGTGTCCGAGTCGCGAACCGACAGGGCACCGAACTTTTCTTCAAGAGAAACTTCTCTGAGGTTGAGGTGAGGTGAGGGCGAGCGTGACGGCTTGCCGGCCTTCCTGCTCTGCACCTAGCTGGAGCGGAAAGGTTGGGGCTGACACATTTGTGATGGGCTTGCCGTACCAGTATGCCCAGTTCCTTCAACATAATAATCATCTTCCGCTCGATTCCCATACGCCGTATGAGGTCGTGCGGTTGCGGACGCGGACGCGGACGCGGTTTTGGGTCGGCCGTAGAGGGAGCGGTTATTCGAGGCGGCCGTCTTCGGTCGATCGGAGGGGGCGAATCGGCCGGGTCCGACGCTACTTGCGAAGCTGCTGCTAGAGGTCTGTCGCGATATCGCAGAGCTCGGGGGCCCGGATGTGTGTCGAGAGGAGTAGAGGTTCTTGAACTGCAAGAAGGGGTCTGTCAGTGTTCGTGTCCATGACGGGCATGATTATTTTGTCTGAATAATGCGAGAACAAAATATACAGAAGCAGAGGCCCCGGGAATGCTCCCCCCCGGCTCGTCGTCGTCTCCTCGAAGGACTGGGTGTCCGGTCAATGGGTGTCGATCGTCGGTCGTGGGCATGAGAACGGAGACGGATCCTCTTGCCGAAACTTCGTCCCCCGGGTCGTCCTGACGCAGTAATAGCATGAGCTCACCACTCAGCTCTCCGTCCCTATCGACTAGGTGCAAGGGCCGATGAAAGCGATACACCTGCCATTGCGTCCCTCTTTCGCTGGTTCCCCCCGGTGGTAATTGGTTGGCGACGATATGTTGGCGTCTCAGCGGCAATATCGACGGAAAATATTGCCAAACGAGACGCTCAGCCCGACCCCAAACGAGACGCCCAGCCAAAAGAAGGGTGCCTGCCATATGAAGCCAGATCCAGTACTGGAATACCATCGTCTCGGCAAGATGGCACGTGGAAAAAAGGTCGAGCGGGGGATCTGGAGAAAAGTCGACACGGGAAACAGGACCATCGCTCGACGTATCTGCCCTGACGACATGCGATCGCAAAGAATTAATGAAAAGGGTAGAAAGCATCCGTCAACTTACCGACGATAAAGACTGGCCTTTGACGTGGCCGTTCGGGCGGGGGACAGCGTTGATCCCGGCGGCTGGTGGTTGCTCGGGATATTCGCCGGCTCTTTCATGGGCCTTTCGTTTGGGTTCTGGCTGGTACACTGCAGGGGAGAAACAAGACAAGTCAATGACGCGCCGCCACACACAGACACAAACGCAGCACTGGAAACAAAGGATAATTGCAACGGCGCATTGTCATACCAGGCTGAGGGGTCTCTCGCTTTGGAATCCCTATCTTGGAGGGTGGTGGGCGATTGGAGGGAGGAAGGCGAGAATTGCTTTGAGAATCGCTCAGCTCAGTCAGGCCGAAAACGCTGCCTGGCCGCGGCAGTTGGCTCCGTTGCATTGTCGAGGATCGCAGACTCTATAGCAACAATGGTTAGTCAAGTCAGACGAAGAGAAAGGTTGAAGAGCGGCCTCCAAGGGACAGATGAGATAACAATGGCCGAAGTATGGGCGAGCGTCCAATGGGGAATTGCGAGTCAAGGTAGGGTAGATCAATGGACGGGTGGCGCACCTGATTTTCCATGTTGCTTAATCTATAAAGGTCGGGAAAGCGATGCCGAAGAACGGGAATCAAGACGAAGCAAAGCAGGAGCAGAGCTCCAGAGCGACGTACGCGAGGGGATGACGTTGTGAACAATATTTGTGTGGTTTGAAGTGCACAGCTCGTACAATGGTCGAGAGGAGGGTTGTTGCTTTCGCGTCCTAATTCGGTCTAGAATGGAGTTGGGACATCGATAGAGGGGGCGTGGTCCTCACTGTGTGTGTTACGCGCTTGTAATCTGGCGTTGGATATGGACATGGACATAACGAATGTTTATGGTTGGCGCATAATGGTCCGTGCTTGTTGTCTGGGCAACGGTGAAGGACACATTACAAGGTACATGCAAAGTAACATGGCTTCGAAAGTGCTGCCTGAGGCTCAAAGGTCACCCAGGCACGTTGTACATACGTTGTACAACGTACGGTACCCTAAGAAGTCCCCACCAAGCTCGCTCTTCATTCACATGTCAAACCGTTAGCCCCACCGCCTTGATGAGTAATTTACGAGGCCTTGGGGACGAAAACTGTCAGTATCGTCAGTTGGCTTCCCCTACCTCAACCTTACCTTTTACCGCCAAAAGACCAAAATTACGTCTGAAATCAGATGAAGTCGACTCTCTAACTACCGGATCAGCTAACCACTTACTCGAGCAAACGAGACGAAAGCTCTCCATGTTCATTGGTCTCGAGTTAGTGGTCTGATAGCTTTCCATAACCAGCTTCCTCTCGTTCTTCTGCCTAAGTTCGTGAAGTTCGTGATACCTTTCCGTCGACTATCCCCTCTCGGACCATTATACGCGATTCTTTAGCCATCGGCCTGCGACGACCAGAGGGATGGAAAAGTACAGCCAGTTTCGCGACCGAGGGTCGGGCATCGCGCCCTTCATCCCCGTGAAGACGCCCCGGTCCCGCCTCGCGCTCCTCACGCACCTGACCATCTTCTTCCTCCGCCTGCCCATGTTCCTCACCATCGCCCTGACCTATGCGCTCTTCCTCCACCACCTGCCGCTCCCCGCCGTGGTGCGCAAGGCCTGCCTCTGGTCGATCATGCTCGTCCCGGGGATCTGGTGGGTCGACCTCCAGCTCGACGGCGTGCGCCGCGGCACCCTCGCCGAGCAGCCCCGCAACCGCGTCCCGCACCCGGGCTCCGTCATCGCCGCCACCTTCACCTCCCCGATCGACACCCTCTACCTGGCCGCCATCTTCGATCCCGTCTTCACGCGCTCCTACCCGTCCACCCGGCAGGTCGAGCCCCTCTCCCTCTTCGGCGCCGTCGCCGCCAGCCTGGCCCCCGTCCGTCTGCGCCCGGCGCCCCGCACCAACCTGGTCGACCTCGGCGCCCTCGTCGCCCGCCACCCGGACCGCGTCATCGTCGTCTTCCCCGAGGCGTCCCCGACCAACGGCAAGGCCGTGCTGCCCTTCACGCCGTCCCTCCTCGGCGCGGCGCCCGACACCCCCATCTTCCCCGTCTCGCTCCGCTACACGCCCGCCGACGTCACCACGCCGGTCCCCGGCCGCTGGTTCAGCTTTTTGTGGGATCTCCTCTCCCGGCCTAGTACGTGCGTCCGCGTTAGGATCGCGGAGAGTGTCTACAACACGTCGCGGGGTGGCACCGACGCCGCGTCTTCGGCCAGGGAAACGCAGAAGGGGGCGCAAAGATACAAGATGGGCGGCGACGGCGACGGCGACGGCGACGGCGACGGCAACGGTGGCAGTGATAGTAATCATCCGCAAGACGACGCCGACTATGCCCCCGTTTCTCATGACGAGCAGCTTGTTCTTGACAAGATTGCGGATGCCCTTGCGCGGTTGGGCCGGAATAAGCGCGTCGGCTTGACGTTGAAGGACAAGACTGCCTTTATCGATGCGTGGAATGGACGGAAATGAGCCAGGATGACCTACGAAGGGCACGGATTGAGGCTGGAAGAGAGAATCGTTATGTGGGCATTTGGGGGCGGAAAGTGAGCGAGAATGTTTTTTCCAACGGAAAAAAAAAAATGCATAAATTGATGAGATGATACGAAATGATGAAAACGACATGCATCACTTTCAGCGAGGGGTCATCTTTCGTCCGGCTTTATCCTCATCACTGCTGTTTTGCATTGCTAGGAGTTGGCGGTAGTATGGAACTTTTTCTTCTTCTTCTAACCTCAAGATCACCCAGAGCAAACAACAGAGGGCAATAACAAGTTATTGCGTTCAGGGCAGCGGCTTCAAGTACACACTCCGATGTAAGGCATATAAGTCTGTTTGTATCTGTATGTTAGAAACACATCCCAATCCTGCCAGGTCATGTTCTGAGACAGGGAAAAGAAACAAACTGAAACTCCATTGATCAAAAATAAGGTACATATTTTCCACATCCGAACAATGGTATTATATCACACTCTTCTTATCATCGCCCCTCTATATCTTCCCGTCCGTCACGCATCCCGAGCTGGCGTCGGTGACCAGGCTCGCGTACTTCTTCAACGTGCCCTTGGCGTACTTGAGCGGCGGCGCAGTCCAAGCCGCCCTCCGCTTGCTCATCTCCTCCTCCGACACATTGGTGTCGATGACGCGCTTCTCGGCGTCGATCACGATGGTGTCACCGTCCTGCACCAAGGCGATGGGACCACCCTCCATGGCCTCGGGGACAATGTGGCCGATCAGGAAGCCGTGGCTGCCGCCGGAGAAGCGGCCGTCCGTCAGCAGGGCCACGTCCTGGCCGAGGCCGGCGCCCATGATGGCGGAGCTGGGCTTGAGCATCTCCGGCATGCCCGGGCCGCCCTTGGGCCCCTCGTACCGGATGATGACGACGGTCTTCTCGCCCTTCTTGATCTCGCCGCGCTCGAGCGACGCGATGAAGTCGTCCTCGGCGTCGTACACGCGCGCCTTGCCCTCGAAGCGCAGGCCTTCCTTGCCCGTGATCTTGCCCACGGAACCGCCGGCGGCGAGCTGGCCGCGCAGGATCTGGATGTGGCCCGACGGCTTGATGGGGTTGCTCAGGGGGCGGATGATGTCCTGGTTAGCAGGGAAGTCCGGGTAGGCGTCGACGTTCTGCGCGAGGGTCTTGCCGGTGACGGTGATACGGGAGCCGTCGAGCAGGCCTTCCTTCAGGAGGAACTTGAGCAGGGCGGGCGTGCCGCCGATCTCGTGGAGATCGGCCATGACGTACTTGCCGGAGGGCTTGAGATCGGCGAGGAAGGGCGTCCGGTCCGAGACGGCCTGGAAGTCGTCGACAGTGAGCTTGACGTCAGCGGCATCGGCCATGGCGATCAAGTGCAGGACGGCGTTGGTGCTGCCGCCCAGGATGTTGACGACGATGATGGCGTCCTCAAAGGCCTGGCGAGTCAAAATGTCGCGCGGCCGGATGTCCTCCTTGAGAAGATTCCTGATGGCTCCTCCCACACTCTCGCACTCGGCCTTCTTGCTCGGGTCCTCGGCAGGGCTGCTGCTGCTGCCCGGCAGGGTGAGGCCGAGGGTCTCGATGGCCGTGGCCATGGTGTTGGCCGTGTACATGCCGCCGCAGGCACCACCGCCGGGACAGGCGTTGCGGATGATGTCGAAGCGCTGCTCCTCGGTGATCTCGCCGGTGATGTACTGACCGTAGGCCTGGAAGGCGGACACGATGTCGATGGGGTCCCCCCTCATGCTGCAGCCGGGCTTGATGGTGCCGCCGTAGACCATGATGCTGGGGCGGTTGACGCGGCCCATGGCGATGGCCACACCGGGCATGTTCTTGTCGCAGCCGGGGAGGGAGATGTTGGCGTCGTACCATTGACCGTTCATGACCGTCTCGATGCTGTCGGCAATGATCTCACGGCTCTGGAGGGAGTACCTCATGCCCTTGGTACCCATGCTGATGCCGTCGGAGACGCCGATAGTATTGAATCGGTAGGGAATCAGGCCGGCCCTGGCGACGGACTCGCGGACGATGGCCGACAGGTCGAGCAAGTGCATGTTGCAGGGGTTACCCTCGTACCAGACGGAGGAGATGCCCACCTGGGCCTTGTTCATGTCTTGTTCGCTGAGGCCGGTGGCGTAAAGCATAGCCTGAGAGGCGCCCTGGGACTTGGGTTGGGTGATGGTGGCCGACACCTTGTTCAGCTGCTCGTCGGCGCGCCTGGACGCCGTGGTAGAGAGAGAGCGACTGGGAGGGGGGAAGAAGAAGAAAACATGTTAGTCGGGTGCAAATGGTCGAAGAAAGCAGGGGTTCGAGAAGGGCTTTCTTACGCATAGTTGGACGACCAAGTTCTCGAGCACGACGCTCGAAGGGCGGGCGACCTAAGGCCGCGAATTGCTGACTGGGACAGCATCGTGGGCACGAGGCGGAGGAATCGGAGGAATCGAAGGAATTGGCTTCTTCTAGAGGGAAGAGTTGGAGGGAAATGAACGAAAATAACAATTGGACGAGACTCAAAGCATGGCGATCTTTATGGTGGTAAATTCAGCCCTGTATGAGTCAACTGACAGGGGTAGAGAGGTCGTGGATGTCGGAGAGAAGTGGTGAAGGTGGTGAAGTCACAGGGACTGAATGAAGCCAGCAGTTAATAATAATGTCAACTTGGGCATTGCGATGTCGGCGCTGGTGCAGAAAAATTACTGGGGGCAGCTCCGAATGAATGAATGTCTGTGGCAATATGCATAGAGAACGTGTATATATAGCTAGCTAAGTGACTATCTAGGATATATATATGGCTAGCTAAAGATATAGTATATAAACCTGTCACCTAACCAGCGTATATAAGCTATGCTATATAGGTCTAGTACCCTTATATAGGACCTATGCCTATAGTCTGCCCCCTCTCGAATTAAATAACGTCCTCGTCGTTATATAACGTCTTAGATCAGTATTTAATATTAAACCTATTAAGCATCTTTTATAGCAGATTCTTCGCTTTCGTTATCTTATCAGTAAGTTCGTTAAACTATAGTACGGTTATACGATTTTTAATCTCCGTTATATCCGCGAATAGTTAGTTAAGTTAGTTAGCAGTATTATCGTAGCGGAGTTCTACTTAGGTAAGATCCGCCGCGAGAGTGCTAAGCTAGTCCTATATATAGTTTAGTACGGTCTACGCGTCGGTTAGGTTAATACTAGCTTAGCTAGGTTAAGTAGGAGCGACTTTGGCGTCTTTTCGGGCAGGGATATTATACTATTATAGCTGGCGTATAAAGTAAGGGAGTAACTTAATTATAATTTATAGGTATTTATCGTTACCTATAAATCTCTTAGGGATCTTTAAGGTGCGTATGATAGTATTTATAATAGCCTAAATATACTCTGGTTCCGGAGTATAAGGTTTAGTATCCAGTATATGGGTAAGACGAGTAACTCCAGGCATATTAGATACGCTCCACTTATTATTACGTGCTCGTATTATTTTAGTATCGTTAACTTATAGCATTACGTAACGCCAGGGACTATCCTTATCTAAGTTTACGCGGTTCTTAATCTAGTTCAGGCGTTCCCTAACTATAGCATTATCGAGCCAGTCTTCGTGTATACCCTAGGTCTAGAGAATAAGTTCCCTGCACTAGATAATTTTAATAAGGTTATCGTTATAGAGCTTAGCTATCTTATCAGTTAATTAAGTGTCACTTTTTTTACGGGGGGTGATTATTTTCTTAGCAGCGCGTTTACGTTTCTTAGTAGGCGTATTATAGTCGTCCGCGGTTTAGGTAAACTATTCTTATTTCTCGTTATTAGGATCGTTTTTAGTAGCCTAATACTAACTATCGTTTTTAGTAGCCTAATCTTAACTATTATTATAGGTATCGGGCGTCTCGACTTAGAGGGGTTTAGTTAGGAGGCCGAGAGTATCGGTTTCCTCTATCGTATCCTAGGGGGGGAAATTATTATATATTTTCGTTATATTTAGGGTGTTATATTAGAAATATATAGTAGTAGGAGATAGGTAGGGAAAAGGGATTAATACAGAGAACGGTAAACGTTACTAAGTGGAAGAGAAAGGGGAGATATACTATATAAGTTATTAGTAAGGTAAGGGGGATAAATTAAGAGAAGAGTTTATTAAAGGTAAGGAGAAATATTTATATTAGAAAGGGTCGGCTTATTTAGGCAGGTAAAAGCAGTGGTTATTACCGAATAGTGCTCTTACCTTATCCGTGTCACGAATAGTATTAGTACTACTATTTAGCAGCCGTGTTATATTCGCATAATAACTCTACTCTATTATATTAGCGTATAATAGCTTCGTGTAAAAGCCATTAATCGTATACGGCTAGAAGGTTTGCAAAACGAACTAAGTAGTTACGGCGAGTCTTAGATTATCTTTCTATAATAATCTTTTCGATTAGCAGTATCTCTATCATAACAGGTTAAATCGGGGGAATATATCGGCCGTACGGGTTAAATATAGCTGGCTCCAAGTAGTCGATTAATATAACGTCGTGTATCTTCCACGAGTCCGGAAGCTTAAGTCTATATATAAGGCGGCCGACTCGTTCGGTACTCTCGAATAGACTGGCGTATTATTAGCCTAGTTTAGTGGATATTATATAAGATACCGGAATTAAGTATCCCTTATATAGCCTAATATACACTTTATCTTTAATATTAAAAAACTTAGGCGTGTATCGGCGATTATAGTATCGTTTTATAGATATAGCCGCTTCTGCGATTGCATCTACGGCTTTAAGCCTGGTTATAGGAGGTACGTGCAGTTCTATCTTAGCTAGTATTATTATAATAGTATTTAGCATAAAGCCTTTAACGATTTCTATTAGGCTATATCCAGTAGTGCTGGATCTTATTATATTATACTCGAATTATAGTTAAGGTAATGCTTTTTCCTATATCTCGGGTTATTCTAATATATCGATATAGAATCGTAATACGGATTCGACGATTTATATAACGCGTTCTATTTAACTATTAGTTTACGGATGGTATACGGTAGTATAAAGCAGCGTAGTACCGAGTCTTTTCCAGAGTTATCGCCAGAATTTAGACAGGAATTTAGGGTCTCTATCGCTAATAATAATTTTAGGTATACCCTAGTTACTACGGAGTAGGGTGTTAAGATAAGCGTCGGCCTATTATTCTGCTATCCAGTTAGTTGTACCGGGCACTATAAGAAGTTCTTTTAAATGCTTATCGACGCTTATAAGTGCCGAATTATATCCGTCCGGCGATTCGGGCAGTACAAGCACGAAGTCGATAATAACTATATAGTACGGGTATAGTAATGGAATAATAAGCTAGAGGCTACCGTAAGGTTTATAAGGTTTATAATATAGCTTCTAGTAGATGTTATATATCGGGTAAGTTAAAAGGTATCGCCGGAATTCCTTATAGCCTTAGTGGATATAAAATTAGTGTAGGAATTTTACGAGTTTAGCATATCCTAGGTAGTTTCCGTGGTGGATTATCGTGAAGATATTAAGCTAACACGTCCGTGGGATATAGAGGCGGGGAAGGCTATTAGATATATACTAAAGCAGGCCGTTAGTTTACTATTGGAATAGTAGTTTAGCTCGGTTATATAGCTCGAGTTCTGTGTTTAATTAGAGGGTTACTATAATATTTCGCCAGAATAGGTTAGTATTATAGCCTTCCAGGATTTTACGTTTAAATTCGGGTAATATCTAAACAAGTAATATCGTTACTTTAGGTGCCTGAATAGGCAATTATACTTAAACTCTAATATCGTCACGTATATCGTTTAGGTAAGCTTTAGTGGCTTCGGTATTAGGTGGGTATAATCGTATAGGTGGTAATATAAGGTATACGTGTTTAGGTCTATCCTAAAGTAGTTCGTCGAGTTACCCTTATCCTGTTTCCGTGGTATCGGGTATTACCGGTAGTCTACTAAGCGTATCAGGGACTATATAGTCTTTACCGGGTTTATAGATAACTTAGAATTCGAATTATAAGATATATTCTATAGCCCTAAGAATCTTTTTATTAGCGCCCGTTCTCGATACAGTATTAGCGATATCCAGTTAACGTGTTATATTAATAATCGCTTAGTGGTCGGTGATAATAATAACGGGTAGATTTCTAGTGTTTTTAATCTAGTAGGATATTTTAGAAAGCGTCTATACTAAGCCTACGATCTTAAGTTCGGTTACCTAGTACTTCTTTTCTATCGGGCGTAGTATTCGAAAAATAAACGCGATAGGTCTTATAGCGGTCCGAGGCGGGTAAGCCATTTTTATAAAGTCTATAAGTATCTTTTCTAGGGCTTTTTTCTCGACGTGATAGACGTAAACGCCGATTCCGTTATATAATACGTCTATATCGATAAAAAGTTTATTGTATAGGTTAAACATAGCTAACATGATATTTTAGTAAAGGGTTTATTTCACGACGTAGAAAGCTTATATCTCACGTCCTATCAGGAGTAGAATATTAATTAATCGGGCCTAGGCGGTTCGGGCTAGTTTAGAATTACGTTTAGCCGTTAGCTTCGGGCCTTCTTAGGATTATATCTATATCTATTATATTTTAGTTCGGCGGTATTATTTAATAAGATTCGCCTTACATATTTCAAGTAGTTCTATAAGCATCGCGAATTTAGGAACGTGGTGCCGAAGCGATATTATAAGGCCGATCCAGTGCTCTAGTTACTTAAGGGTTTTAGGGAATTCGATTATACGGATAGCCTTAAGTTTCTCTTCGGGCGTTAAAAGGCTCTATACGTCCACGAGCTTACCGAGAACGATAGCTAATAGACAGGCTACTACCGATTTACGAGCGCCTATAAATAGGTTAAAGTACTAAAGACGGTAAAGGACTTCTAGAACGTCTTATAGGTGCTCTTCGAAGGTGGTACTCGCTACTACGATATCGTCGCAGTAAGTCTTAGCGGCTATACCCTCGAGTAGGTTATCTATTATTCGTTAAATATAGGCGTTCGAATTCTTAAAGCCTATAAAAGGATATTTAAATATATACTATCCCCTTACCGTGGTAGCGGTGAAGGCCTATCTATAATCTAGATAAACTTGCTATTAATAGTAGAAACTTATAGTATCGAGTATAGTAATCTATTTTTTGCCTACGATGTGTTATAAGATCTCGTCTTATATGCGTATAGGGTATACGTCTATCATAACAGTATCGTTAAAGGGTCGTACGTCCACGACTATTCTGCCTTTCTTTTTCTATTAATCGTCTATTTTATTCTATACCACGAATACTAGCCAGGAAAATAAAATATCGTGTATAGTTTTATAGGCTTTACCGTGTTTAATCAGCTTATTAATAGTTATATCGATCACTATTTAGTCCTCTACGTTTATTAGATACACTCGATATCTTTTAGGGATACGGTTATACTAGTCGGGTCGAAATTTCACCCGTATTTATAAATCTTCGGGGACGTATACGAAGCCCTTATCAGTAAAGACGTCTTTATAGTGTGAGATTATATCGATAAGCTATTCTAATCCTTCGCACTTATATAGTCTAACACCTATTTCGTGTTTATATATAGCCGTTTCGTCTAGCGTAGCGTTTTAAAGAATATAGCGGGGTTTATTAGAAAGTTATCTATCACGAGACTCGCCTTTATATACCGTTCCCGTTACTGCTTCGGCGTTATAGGCTATCTAAGCATAGTAATCGCGGTCGATCAATATTATATAGCTAACGTATATACCCGACTCTATAAAGTAAACTTCGTCCGCTTAGTTTTATAGTAGGATTAATTAAAGCTTAGAGTTACAGAGTATAGTGTAGGTCTATAACGGCTAGGGTAGATCTATAGGTTTGAATATATAATCTTAGTAATCCGTTGCTTTATAATTAACTATAGCAAACCTCGCTAAATACAGGGGAATTTTAACGGGGCCGTATATAACGACCTTAATTCGTTAACGGCGTGTGTGTAACTGATAAAGTATTAGGATTTCGACTTAATAGTTATATATAATTATTATATTTATACTATTTTGAATGTTAAATTACTCGGGTACTATATAATCTATGCCGAGGAGCACGTTAGCTTTAAGGTTATTAATAACTAATACCTCTCTAATAAATATTATAATAATAGGCTACTCGTTATATATGCCTTTGAATCGGAATAGCAGTAATACGTATTCTTTAGTAGTGTATATATTGGTGCCTATACCACGAATAGTGATAGGTATAGCGCGATATCTAATTTAAAGGTTAGGGTAGCCGTTACGGAGGAATATACGGTCGATAAGTATCACGGAATAGCCTATATTAGTATAGATTAGAATCTTATCCTTTATATCGGTAGTAATAGTATACTTAAGGTAGGTGTAGGATCTAAATCCGTAACCTATACTTATATCGTAGCCAGCGTTAACCGTAGACCGTCTTACTAGAGTTTCGGTCTAAGGGCGTGTTTCTACGTTATTATTCTATAGTATAGGTGGTTAAGTGACTATCGAGTCTATAATTTCACGCACTTATATGACTTAGTAGACTTATTTAACGTGTTTATATAATTTATTATTACTTAGGAATAATTCTCGATAATAGTGGTACTAGGGCTGGTTAAGAGGTATCACGGGAACTATTAGTATTACAGGTATAACGTGATAATTATAATTATTTCTATTACTTCCCTCGTCCTCTAGAATAAGCTATTAGTCATCACCTTATTTATAAAATTCTCGATCGTAGGCATCGGGTATATCCTCGGAGTTAATGTCTTAAGGTGGTTCGTTATCGATAGGGTGATACTCGATTATTTAGTTTTATTATATCTATTATTTATTAGGTTTATTTATATTAGCCTGATAAGCTTTAGCCGTTAGCTTTTATTACGAGCGGTAGTTAGGCTATGACTTACGTGTGTTCGGCTAGTTACTCTATTAGTTACGGTAATTCGACGGCTAGCTTCCCTATAATAGTTATTTTTACGTGGGTTATTAGGGACGGGGTCCGGTTATAGTGTTAGGTATCGTGTTATACCTATTAGAGTTACCAGTTTATATAGTAGTCGGCATGATATTAGGTTACTATCGGAATTATCCACCGGTATATAGTAACCAGTTAAATATAGAATAGCCTAGTCTATTTTATTAGGCAGCGGCTATATTATAACGGTTAGGTGGCCGATATCCCTCTCTAGCAAGTGCAGTGAGTATATTTTTACGCTTCTTAATCTAATCTAGCTATAGTTCGGGGTGGTATCGTCTACCGGCGGCAGGATTACCGTTTAAACGAGTCTATCCATTTTATTATAAATAGCGTTAAGTCTGCCTACTTCACCTATATTGGCATCGCGTACGGCATAAGGTATCTTTTATATAAAATCATCGATCCTATTACCCTTTACGATATCTATAATAGTATAGTTAGATCCCTACCAGAAAGCGAGTGCCTCTAAGCGATCAGGCTTAAATTCTTCGATCAGTTTCTCGTATACTATCTGGATATCGGCTTATTTAAGTAGCTTCCTATCCGGTTAGGTTAGGAGATATAAGTACTATTTCAAAGCATCTCCCTTAAGGCATTAAGTCCATATATCCCGGAGGGCTTGTAGTTTATCGGCGTGAATTTCAAGTAGTCGATCCGCAAACGCGTAAACATCTATATACACCGGGTTACCACCTTGTGTAATGATACCCGAACGGTCTGGGTCTCTGGCTCCCGGGTCAAATTAGCCGATAGTTCCGAACTTAATGTCTATTAACTGTGTGATAGATCCGAATTATATAACCGTTACGGTGAGTCTGGTAAGGGTGGGAGGCTTTGAGGATCGTCTTATAGCGGGTTTCGATATCTATATAATCCGCGTTATAGTAGGGGTAGTAGAGGTAGAAGGCTTATTCTACCGAACCAATTTATCTATATGGTTTAGGCTTAGGATTAGGGTGCTAGCGGAATAGGTGTATCTTAGATATTAAGGGTAGTAATACGTTAGGCGAGCGGGGTAACGGGCATTAGTGCGTTATATAGTGAATTATACGGGGTAGTGTGTGTAGATGTTAACGTTACGTTATAAGTCTGGGTGGGTGGTTATAATTAGTTAGCAGAAGAGGGGAGGTTTATATAGATTTATATGAATTTATATCGAAAAGTCCGAAGTGGTCTATGGATACTAGCCACTTATCCTTTAACCCACTCGATCGGGTAAGGGATCTCGTAGTCGGATAGGTCTAGATTTATAGCATTATTCTATTATAAAACGAAGCGAATTACCTATCAATCGTCTTACGTGATCTCTATATAGTGTTTAGCGCGGTTCTGATAATAACGTAGTAAGTATTAAGCGTAGAGCACGCCCTCCGGCTATATATAAAGGAGTGGAAATAACTTAAAAAGGGAATTTAGAGGTCGAAAAGAAGCTGGTATCTATTATAGATTAGTGTCGCGATACGCGGCATTTTAACGATCGTAAAAACGACCAGTTACTACCAGATTATAGTAATATATATAGAGAACGTGTATATATAGCTAGCTAAGTAACTATCTAGGATATATATATGGCTAGCTAAAGATATAGTGTGTAAACCCGTCACCTGACCCGCGTATATAAGCTATGCTGTGGGTCTAGTACCCTTGTGTGGGACCCATGCCCACATATAGGGACTATGCCCACACTATGGCCCCACCACGTCCTCGACCCCCCAAAAAAGTCCCCCCGCATTGAAATAGGAGCTTCATGATTGGTCGTGTCGGTGTGTCGCGGTGGGAGCTCTGGTCCCCGCTGAACGCCCTCGGTGAGAACGGCTTTGGTGAGGACAAGAGAACAAGAGGGCAACTCTGCTAACCCCATCAAGTGCAGACCATTTCTATTTCGTTCGTATATGAAAGTTCGAAGGTGCTTCGACATTCAATTGTGATTTATCCCCTATGTAGGAAATAGGCCCCTTCCCTATGGTCGTGTTTTATGCGCATCGTCCTTCTCCTTCTCATCCTTCTCTGTCCTCCGGGTCAGGATCTCATCGATAACCCCAATCTCCTTAGCCTCCTCTGCCGATAAGTACTTGTCCCTCTCCATCATGTCGTTAACCTGATCAATGTCGTACCTTTCGTGGCCGACAGACTTGTTAAGGTGGTACTGCATGATCTTGTTGATCTTCGCCCGGACTCTCTGTATTTGGTTGGCGTAGATGAGGATGTCGGAGGCCTGGCCTTGCGTCCCCCCGAGCGGTTGGTGGATCATGACGGAGCTGTGCGGGAGCGCATATCGCTTTCCGGCTTCTCCTCCCGTCAGGAGAAGAGCTGCCATGGACGACGCCGCGCCGAGGCAGACCGTCGAGACCGGAGACTTGATGTATGTCATTGTGTCGTAGATGGCCAGCCCTGATCAGTAATGTCCCACGTCAGTCCAGCTATTTCTTCTTCTCTACCCCCACTCAACAGGGTGCCCGCGTCTTGATGGTTCCTGATGGTTCCTGATGGTTCCTGTGCGCACGCATACCTGAGGATACTGAGCCTCCCGGGGAGTTGATATAGAGCGTGATGGGCTTCTCCGGCCCGTCAGATTCCAGCCATAGCAGCTGTGCCACTATGGACGCGGATACTGTGTCGTCGATGGCACCATTGAGACAAACAATTCTCTCCTGGAAACACCCGTCAGTGTCTGGGACCTCACAGCCGCGCTCCCAGGAGACGACAGCGCAGATTCAGGGTACGGATGGCCAAGGCGGTCTACCTGGAGAAGTTTGGAGAAGATGTCGTCTGGGCGCATCGTTCAATTGTCAGCCATGTGCATCGGACGGGATATAATTATCGCCTCGTGTGATCTGTACTAACATGTCCTCCAGCCGCTAGACTGCGCAGCATCTCGTTAGTATACGAGCAGAATGCAAACAAGAAAAAGGACACAGAGGGATTTGGAAATCAAGACGAACCGAGACCTCAGTGATAAATGGCATCGGAATGGAAGCAGTCGGATGCTGTGGTCCGGGACCGCCAGGAAAGCCGGGGAAGTGGGAAATTGTCCGGATCGACTGCCTGGGGAGACATCTGGTTCTCCCCAGCACTCTTGTCAGAGAGCGTTGACGATTCATGGTTGCGCAAGAGGAAGAGGCAGCACAAGGGGGGGGGCTGACACTGCTGCGATTGAAGGTCGTAGCAACTTTGGGGAGTTTGCAAGCTTCACGCCACAGCTGCGCCACAGTTATGACGCCTGCACGGTGTACATGTAGCCTAACGTAAGGTATGTACCTGAGGAAAACACGCTAAAGCCACTCGACAGAAAGCGCATGCCAACGTCTCTGGGGGACGGGGATCCCCACTTTGAAGGAGCTTCAGGGTACGTATAGGTACGTACCTGCAGCGCGACAGCTCCGAGTGGGAACGAGGCGTCGAGGTCCGTCGTCAAACCCTGAACCCCCTTTCCCTTTCCAGCATTGTTCTCCCTCGCCCTTCCCGTGCCATACTCCTGCTTTTACGACCTCCAGCAAGCTGCATGTATGGGAGCATGCATGCCTAAGACAGCCATGAGGATAAGTGCTCGACTTCGTACGACCGTCCCAGGCCTGGGCACTACTCTCCAGCCATGTCAATGCCGAGCTATCAGCATTCAACACGGCGACGCCCACAACCAGGCCAGAGGGCACCGAAGAGCTGAACTAGCAGCCAGGATCAACCAGTCTCTCAAAGACGACGAACATGGCAACCAACTCGAGCTCCACTCAAACACAAAAACCGTCTCTACCCCCGTTGGCGACCTCCCTATCTCTCCTGTCATGGATCCCGCTTGGATGGAAGCCAAGGAGCGCTTCAAGACGCCCAAGGCAAAACCAAAACAGACCAAGGGGAAGGACGGTGGTCGTTTTCGCAAGAAACTGTTCTTGAACCCGTACGGTTCGTCTTCCTTAACCATTTCCGAGAACATTCAACCATAGTCACACTTCTCTGTCGAGCGTCAATATTGATTTGTCGCATCAGCACACGCACTCGCAACCCCGTGGCGGTCTTGCCCCATCACCCACGTCGGAATGCCCCGATACTTCTTGCAAGAGTTTGACGTCGTCGCAAACCCGGCCACGGGTGATCCATGGTGGATACCGGGCGATTTAACAGAGCCTACTTCCCATGAGGATCCGTCCGAAACCGGGGCACAAACAGAGAGAGACCGCCCTTCGCCATCCCCCGTGGAACGCAACGTTGAGGTATCCCCGAGAGAGCAGAATCACGCCGTATCCAAGGCGCCGCGGGGCTACGCAATTGCCCGAATGGACGCGTTGAAACTTATCGGTGCCAGTCGCCAGGAGTCCACGCTGGGAGGGCAACACATCGCCATGATCGTCCGGAGATCGAACCTAAAACGCAGCGGGATTATTCCGCGTCTCGTCTGGAGACGCGACATGCACCTCGTCGTCCTGGAGAACATGCGCCGTCAGGTCGTCCAACAGCTCGAGTATTTCGCCGGGCTGTGTAGCAGCGATGAGAGATCCTACCTGACACCTTGCTCCAGCTGGGACGCCATCAACCGGGACTTGATCCACCGTGGCTGCGTTCTCTGGCGCTCACAGTCAGATGAGACGCAAGACGCTACTACGACAGGGGGGTCCGCCGCGGGGGGGAAAGGCCCAAGGGACGATGGCTCACCAGACCAACTGGCAACCCTGGATATTCCAGATGCCAAATACGAGAAGAAACTCCCCGTCTACAACCTCGACCGCCTGTTGGGTGAGGACCACTTAGCGATTCTTTTGAAGACACCGCTTTTCAGGCATAACCCACTGCTAGTCCTTGGGAGGAGGCGGACGATCCCCTTACAGCTCTTGCTCTGGAAGCTCCAAGGTTACCTTGCTGAGTATGATTAGAGAGAGGACCAGTGGGGCTTCTCTTGAAAATGGAAAATTGGGCGGTGATGAGGAGGTAGCCATCGAGCTCTCGGTTCAGAGGCGCAGGCCTTTGCCTGTCTGTGCTCTTTTGAGTAAGAGACCTGCGGCTCCGGCAGATGCCGATATCTGCTACCCAGGCCCGCCTTCGCATGTACTGCGTTCTTCGGGAACGAATTCGTCAACGCAGGGGACGGTTCAGCTCTGGACAGGGGGCACGCAGCTCCGGGGCCAGGTGAGGAGCCAGAACAAGGAGCAGCAGATGGTGCTGACAACCCTGCAGTGAGCTTCATTCTTTTCTTCCTCCGACCTATCCGTCCCGCCCTGTCCAGACGCCTTTGGCCGTCCCCCATGGCATGCGACATGCATAGCAACGCTCCTCCTAGTTAAACCACTCCTCTACGGAGACTGGGACTCGGCTGTTCACGTTTCTCTTTCGTCTCATACGCTTCTCTATCTCCCCTAACCGGCGCCATCTCTGGCTCCGTAGAAGCCCCTACCAGTTCAAAAAGAAAAGGAAAAAAGAAAAAGAGGAAAAAAGAGAGAGAAAAAAAAACCCCCGACATCATGTGGATGTCACCTTGGCTGCAGTTACCAATACCTACGTCTTATCTAGGCGATGATCCTACGTTGGTTCCCGTAACGTATGCGTGGGTTCCAGATGAAGACCGCAATCGCGAACGCGAGAAACAATATGTCATCCCAGAGTTCCCAGAGTCCCTCCCAGTCCACCACTACTTCCACTTCCACTGTCCGATGGAGGTGCAGGCACAAGTCCAGGAACGGCCGTATGAAGAGTTCCCAGAATGCCCAGGGTGCGCCGTTTGTCAAGACAAGAACGCGCAACGTCGTCAGCCACTCGCTTCTGGGATCAATGTCCAGGCAAACCAGGATCCCCACGACCACCAAGTTCGTCACACAAAGGTAGAGATGGAGGAGCTATAAGATGAGGATCCGATCAGCGCCGCCATTCGCTTTCTTATCATTATATCCCCCCCTCCTCCACACCCACACCTCTTCTTCCTCGACTCACCTCTCTATCGCGTTCACGGCGGGCTTTCCAAACCTTAGAGAACAACGCCGTGTCAGACCATGAAAACCTCCCCAGCTAAACAAGAGTTAAAACGAAGGAAAGTGCAGAACGAATTCAAATACCTGTAGGCATAGCCACATGTCATCCAACACGAGTTGCTCCCGATCTTTCGGGAGGGAACACGTCATCCAGGAATCCCAGAATCGACCCATGTCTTCCTTGGTATAAGATTGCCAGTCTGGAAGCTCAGGACGCCCGTCATAATAGGAGTCATCGCTTCTTATGAGATGCCCGAGCCCTCGATCCCTTAAGATGGAACGTAACCACCGGCAGACTGTCCCGGGGTGTTCGGGGTATCTGCCTCGGAGAAAATCGTCGAAGCGCCGACTCCAAGCTGGAGCCAAGGGGGTAAAGATGTCCCAAATTGTGTATGGATGGTTCACCATGGTGGTTCTATAGCGGCCATCGTCTGTGTGTTTGCCTTTGTGCGAGTAAATGCTGCGGGAGAAGGGGGGGGGGGGGGGGGGGGGGGGGGGGGGGGGGGGGGGGATCTATTTAGCTTATACCATCTGAGGAGTCTTATAGTTGTAGCCTTATATAATGCCATCCCACTCCTTGGAAACATTATAGATTTAATGAGACTTTGGTAAAAGAACGAGACACTGCCAGATGTATCCATATAGCATGGGCGCTCCAAGGTAGCTGTTCCAACATACTCACAGACGCGTAACAATAGAACTTTCCAGCTCGGCAAGGTCAAATATGGATATGCAGAAGCTGGTTTCAGACACCAGTCTGGCTTCCACTGGCACACTGGCACACTGGCACGTAGCTGAAAGAAGCACCTCTTGTGAGTGAGAAAGCCATCAGATGGAACTAGAACACCACGGGAAACAATTTACTTTTATCATATGCAGTCATAGTAAAGGCTTTAGAGCTACTTGTACGCTGTCGCTGGGTATCCCACGCTCTCTGCCTGCTGTAAATATTGCAACAAACAAGGAGCGACAGTGGTCCGAAGAAGCAATCCATCAACTAAAAATAATATAATACGAAACCAAGAATGAAGGACGAAAGAAACGAAGAATCATAGTAGGTTGGTCGGCCGATATGTAAAAGCACTTTGCTATCTACAAAGCGACACGCGATCGCCCTCCACCCCCCTTGTTGTTTATCCTTCCTGTCCCAATCGTCTAGACCCCTTCCGTTAACCGAATCTCACCAAGTAGAACTTAGGATCATAGAGCCTTGGCATCGTCATGCTCGGAAGTGATGGGGAGGAATCAATGGAAACCCCTTGACTCTAATCCGGAGACACCACAAGATCGGGTGTTGACCGTGACGCGGATAAACACAACTGCCGCTTTCCCATCGTATCCTTCCTCATCACCCGCACCCTACCGAGAGACAAGCGTCGCAAGCCTTGCATCAAAAAAAATCAGAAAAGAGAAAGAGAAGGGGGGGGAAAGCATTGAGCAACAAATCCTGAACTCCAACACACGTTTCGTTCCCGAACCAACCAAAAGTTGAACGTCCCGAAAGCGCCGGAACCGTCCTACCGCATCGCATCATCAACCCAAAAAAAAGTCGTTGATATCGCAACCACAGTTAAAACCTGCCCAGCTTGATTGTTTCACCGGCCCGATTTGTCGCCTCCGCCGCTTCCTGTCCCGAAATCCGGCTCCGGTAGCACCTTCTTCTCCTTACGCGCCTTGATGACAAACTCCGCCATGATCTGTATGTGGTCCGACGGGAAGTGGTAATTGGGAAATGCCGGAACCCGCTTGAGGCACTCCGCGTCGGGAGGTCCCAGCAAGTCCACCACCTCGAGCGTATTGGTCGAGTACCACAGGTAGTCGATGACATCGACGAAACCGGGCGTGTAATTGGTGAAAGGGAGCTCGTCCGGTGTTCCCTGGAGGTGGGCGTAGGCGTCGCGTAGACTGAACGGGTGCTCGATGCCGTCCCTCGTGAAGCTGCCATACTGGAACTTGGCCAGTTCCAGATGATCCGGAGGTACCCGGCCCTGAGACAGAAGCTCGTAGACCGAACTGTCGACAGTCGAGTTGAGATCGCCGCATATTAGGAGCGGAATGTCGGTGTTATTCCTGTATTCTTGGCTCGGCGCAGGCTCTTGTGGCGTCGCCGGACGAGTCGCCTCGTCGCCCTCTTTCATCGGTGTCGAGAACGAAAACAGTCTCTTGTCCTTGACCGCAGGCCAGCGCACCCATCGCTCCGCATACTTGGCAATCTGCTCCATAAGAATGCCCGTCTGGATCACCTTGACGTCCGCGAGAACGGATTCCCAAGCAAGGTGCCCGTTGACCAGAATGACGCGTGCGCCCGTGGCGCGGCTTTCTAGGAAGCAGACGACTGCGATGTTGTCCTTGGGCATGACCCGGTTAAACACGTCGTGCTGGTTCTTCATGTCCGGCCTGTTGATCGCGATGGCGGCGAATTCGATGACCTGCTTGTCCAGTAGGATGTACTTGCTCGCCTTGAAGAATGTGGCGCAACCGTCAACACCAAGAGCGTCCTTTTCGCCCATGGTCTTCGCTCGTGTCTTGGGCCAGTGCACACCCTTATAGTCCATTTGAGCCAAGGCTGGGCTGAGCTCTTCCTTGAATGACTCGGTCGAAATCTCTTGCAGGCAGAGGAAGTCGGCGTCCTTGTCCCGGAGCTCCTCCATGACGCACTCCTTGCGATATTCCCAACTCAAGGCACCTGTGGGAGTATAACCGTATGTCTGAGGGGTGGCATACTTGTCGCAGAGAACGTTCCAGGAAAAGACCTTGATCCGCTCCAAGCTCGCAGAGACGTCCTCTTGAACAGTGATGAACTTTCGGGGGGCCGGAGGAGGAGGGACTAGATGAAGAGTAGGGGTCAGCAACAAACATTGCAAAAAAAAAAGAAGAAAAAAAAGAAAGAGAGAGAGAGAGAAGGATGCAAGGGCAGCCATACCAGGTGACTGTTCCTTCAGAAGATTGATAAGGCTCTTGGTTCCCCTCTCCACGATTTCCTGTTTGAGATCTGGGCTGAGAGGGTTCCCTTCGATGCCGAGCTGCTCAAGAAGATGCAGCGAGCCCAGCTCATAGGGGAGTGTCCGGATGTTATTGTTGAAGAGGAGGAGTTCTTTCAGGTACGTGCACATGCCGAGCTCGGGCGGCAGCTCGGTGATCTGGTTGTAGGAGGCCTCGAGGTGACGCAGCTGGCGAAGCTGGCCGATAGACGCCGGAAGGTGCGTCAGCTTGTTGGATGCGATGTACAACTCGCTCAGGAAGGAGTAGGCAAACAGGGCGGGGGTCAAATTGCGCAGTCCCTGGCCGCTCATGTCCAGGTTGTGCCACGCCTGATGGTTTCTCGCCCTGTCGACGCTGTACGGGCGTCTCCTATCATCCGTGTCCGAATCGCCGGACGAGGCTTTGCCTGCGGGGGAGGGGTAACTGATGCCCTTGTTTTCGGAAGCTTTCAGCCGAGCATAGTAGTGAGGCTGGGCCTGTTCGGTCATGGCCGCATGTGCCCGTTCCGCCTCCTTATGCAGTCGCAGCTGTTCCGCCCAGTGTTCGTTGATGGGTTGGGCCTGGCCACCCCTTGTCGTAGTGGACGTCCCCACGTGGCCGTTCTGGAGACCGGAAGGGGTGAACGGGGTCGCATTCGACAGCACGCCCGACGAGTAGTTCGAATGATGGCCTACGGCACCGCCGTTGCCATTATGTCCGGTGTGGTCTTGCTGGACGGACTGGTGGTGCTGAAGGTGGGACTGTTGGTGATGCTGCCCCTGCTGGTAGTTGAAGGGCAGAGGGATGCGCTGGCCGCCCAGGCCACCACCATTTAAGCGGGAAGAGTGGCCCTGTTGGTGGTTTTGAGAGAACATGCCTCGTACGTTGGCAGCCTCGTGGCCTGAATGTGTAGGGTGGTGGTTCTGGAGTTGAAATCGGGAGAAGAGGGAGGATGTCGCTAGAGATAGGTTGCTGCGGGAGGTGGTTTCTTTGGGCGATATAAGAGAGCTGATGTAGAGATCTCGAACAGACTGCTCGAAGTATGGGTGACCATCTGCCATCTACCGAGCATACCCAGGATGTGGAGACGGAGTTAAAAGATGAGACGGCCGTGGAGGCCAGGTGTGCCGCAGCTCATGCAAGTCGGGTAATGAGGGGCGGATTCGGTATCGCGTCGGTGCGGAAGATAGCAATAAGACGACGGTGGGATGCTCCTGCATCGAGTGCCCTGTGGAGGGAAAACAATTCGGACGCAGTTAACGATTGCTGGGAAAGCTTCTGTTGGCCTTTCTCAGGTATCCATCGAAGGGCCGAGAGCAAAAACAAAAACAAAACAAAAATCTTCGTCAAGTGGTCGGCCGTCTCGAAAAAAAAAATCGGTGGTCTGTCAAGTAGAGCTCCCCGACCCGCACTGGTAAAGCAGTCAGAGGGAGGTAATATACGAAGCGAAGAAGCATAAACCCACAAGGAGGGACCGTGTCTGCAGGTTGTCGAGAGAGCTGGGAAGCGGAGGGGTTGTGTTTTTTTGAGTCTAGAAAGACAAGAGGAAGTCAGTGGTAGAACTTTTGACCGAGCCTGACCAGGCTGTTGGATTGATGCAGATGCTGCGGCAGGAGGCTGGGAACTAGGGCAAAGAGAGACTTGGCTAACAAGCGCCGTTTGGATTGTTACGAACCTGAACGAGTGAGCACAGTGAGATATGATATCAATGAAGCATTGAATAGATACTTGTGCTGATCAATGCCGTCGGGATTATGTCGATGATTCAAAGGCAGAGCATGGTGTTGAGTAGCCGTCGGGTCGTCCAAGTGCCCGCTAGACAGATACTAGCGGACATCACGTGCTGATATGTACGTACCATGGCAGGATGCGTGAATCAAGCTTTTCACAGTTAGGAAGCGGGAGAAAATCACGTGAACAAGGCTGAAAAGTGGAGCTTTAATTCAGCGAGGACACTGTCTGGATCTGGATGAAGATGCAAGAGATATGGGTTTAAACTACCTACCTAAGGTATGAGTACGGGGTATTACGGGGTAATTATGGAGTTGGGCTGGTAAGAGATGGGAATGAATCTAGAATCTGGGTAATCATGCTTTGCACCGCTGTGTAAATCACATTTTCCCCTCCTGGATCCGCGTATACTCCGTAGTACTTCTATGGGAAGATGAATAATGGGCAGAGAAGTCACAGAATTGGAATCTACTCCGAAGTGAAAGGTCCAAAGAATTAAGACAAAAAGGATACTGTGTACCACGTCGTTGCCCCTGGCTGATTTCTTCAATCCTGTCCTCAATGATCAGTGCCTGCTAATATCAGGTAGAGAAAAAATAACCACGCCATACAATGGGTGGAGAAGAACAGTGTTCATCCTTCTTCATCAGAAGGCCAACCATTGATTAAATTGGCCTCTTTCAACCTCACAGGCCCCCCGATAAGTCTTTCGGGAGTGATACGACCGTTTAAGATGTCCACCAAAATTAAAAGCCACTCAGCATGCAATGAGTACTTCACTGTTCCCAATCGGTCTTTACTTCCAAAAACTACATAAGCACCCAATTGCCAATTCTGGCTAGGTTAAAAGCATGATCGATGGGCCGAGGAAACAGGCACAAATCACTGCCACGGAATCTCGACCGAGTCTCGTCTCGACCTGTGCTCCGTACAACGTACGCCATACCTAGGTAATTACTTCGTACGGTCATTACCTTACAGAGTACTTCGTACACATGGTTGGACTAACACAACATACAACGTATAAGGTACCCTGAGGCCTAGATCGATAATCGGCACGGATCTTGGAGTGTCTGAAGGCGCGTCGCAGTCAGTGTCGGAATGAGCCGCTGCACTTATCCGGTCCATTCAGGGGACAGCATGACTCGGAGTCATGGATGGCGATATCTAAGGTATTGATTGAGCTGCCTCATTTTCAGGCCCATCGCCCAAGCAGGAAACAATCCACGATGGTCGTTCACGGACGACTGTCTGTCCTACGAGAAAATCGAAACTTTCAAATGCTCCTACCACAAGCCGACAGCACAAGGATATACCTTAGGCAGAAGGCGGATTGGCGGGAAGCACCATTTGACGCCAGCCTAAATTGGCACTGCTCAACAGATCCGCTTGGTGGGTAAATCAGTACACGTACACACGGAGTAATATGATTACAGAGTTGATTATTACGGAGTTTACGGAAGTCATGGTGGGTTATAATTAACTCGTGAGTGTTGGTCCATGGGGAATTACCAATGCCAACACCGTCGCCCTCGCCCTTTGCCAAACGCGGGGTGGGGAGAGCCCCGGAACGTCACTGATGCTCCCCTAATAATGCACTAATTATCCGTATGTACCTTCGTACGAAGGCATACCGAACACCAGGTTGACCCAACGACGTTGGCGCGTCCTGTTCCTGGTTGCGTCGAGTTTGATCGGCCAATGGCGAGGCACGGAAGTAGCCAGGCCTGACCTTTTCGTGCCGATATTCCTCGCAACCGAGCACCCCAAAGGCGGAGATAGCCATACAGAAACGATCCCTTGGGGAGGTTAGATGCGGGGGAGGGGCTCAGACGTGTGGAGAGTGCGCTTTCCGTAGCCATGCGAGTCGCCAACCCCATGGAACCCTCGCCTGACACCGGCCCTCTTTCTAGACTACCCCGAATGATCGAGGCCAAGGACGTTCGTGGACGTGAAGAAGAGACCCGGAAAGGCACCAACATCCTAAATAGGTACTACGTGAAGGATTCGGCGTATGGGAGGCCACTCCGATGCAAACCTATATTAGCAATCTGTCTCGTCCCCCCGTCTGCATTTCTTATTTTTCCTACGATTTTTCCTACGGAACTGCCGTCTTTCAATGCCCATGCTATGACGGCGTTCCTGTCGCTCTTGCTGTTTCTTGTCGGTTCGAGTTCGAACTTCTTTATCCGACGGCCAAGGATCACTTCTTTGTCCGACGGCCAAGGATCGGCCTGGTAGAGAAGTAAGCGTTGCAGCCGTGGTCAACCAGCCCCGAGGTAAGCTTCCGATCGCAGCCATCCCAATGCACAGTGGGCTAAGAAACAATTTCAGATCCATGGTTGCAGCATTTCCCAGCAACAAAGACATGACATCCAGCAAACATCCAGCAACGTGGCCGACTGGTACTCGACAAGCTGTTCAAGAGAATGTGTGAGAAAGGGAACGAGCTACAATTACCTACTGGAAAGAACAACTCGTCATCGTACGGATACCCGCGATTCACCATTCTTCTACCTCACCAAGGACGAAGTGTCAGCACCAAGGCACCACACACCGGCCTCTTCCACCCACCGCTAGCCACTAATTAACCCAACGACTTGTCACAGCTCATCTTCAGCCGCCATTTGACGAGTGACTCGGGGCTTCTGTGAGCAAAAACAGTCAGCTCTATCTGCGCAGAAAGCCGCCTAGGGAAAACGAGAAGGGAAAGAAAGAAGGAAGGACAGAAAGAAGGAAGGACAGAAAGAAGGAAAGAAATAAAAAAGATCATCCACAGGGTGGCACACTACATACCGAAGTCGCACTGGAACCTCGGATTCACTCGGTCAAGCATCCTGGCCGGTTTCGGTCTCACATGCAGCTTGGCGACCAACAGCACGCCCTCGCAGCCTGTTGGTGAGAAAGGTGTCAGTGGTACGGATATGAGCCACCCGGTTCCCTCGACCTCCTTCCTTCTAGAACAACGCAACCCCGACCACCGACCCACGGCTCTGGCGTACTGACAAGGCCTCCAATCGCACAGCAGGATTCTCAGTAGCCCGAAACAGGGTACCAGGGCTTCGAGGACTGAGAGGCTCATGTTAGCACAGGCGAGCTCATAATTCTGAGGAAGAAGAATTTTCGGTAGGTGCTGCAGGCAATTGCAACGGGGTTCGCCTCAATCGATCGAGATACCGGTACCTAGAGTCCCGGGCCAGTGGTTCAGTCGTCTCTCGTCTCCAGTCACCCAAAACTATTGAAAGACACGAAAGAACTGAGGTGCGACGGGTCAGAGTCTCTGACCTGGCGTCTGTTGCAGCGCATGCGATCATTGCGACGGTCACACTTCTCACCGGGAGGACGTGCTGTTCTTTCTGGTCTATTCTCATGCCCCTCCCCTAATCGAGGACCAACAGGACATTCGCCAGGGTGTGCCGGAAGGACGCTCACAAGGGAAACCCGCGCAACACGACAGTTCGGGACAGCGACACGAGAGACGTTCGATTGGTCCCGACGACCTGGGTGTGTGTAGGAGTCTGTCTGACCAGTGCTACGAATTGCAGTTCCCGGAGCCCGACTCGACTGGCTTGTCATTCGCACTTTTCAGAGGGACAAAAAAAGCCCAGCAAGGATTCAGGACTTCCGCCGTTCAAAATAGGCAGGAGTACGGTCGGTGGGATTTTCCTGGTTCCTTGCTCTCCTTCCTCTGCTGCAACGGAGACCGCCGACAGAGGGGGAGATTGAAGGGCGAAATTTTTAGCCGGAGTTTTAAGTCTGACTGACATTGCGAATTTGGCCCGTCCCCCCACCGAGAGGCGGGGCGCGACGGAGAGGGAACAGCGGTAGGAATCATGGCGGAATTCCTCGGCGGGTACATGTATGCCAGCATGCACCCAGTCCTACCTCTTTACAAGAGGCAACAGCAGCAGGTCGACGAAAACCAAGGCGATGGTACTCATGATCATGAAAATACCGAAGAGAGAAAGCCCATCAAGGCACCACTAGGGCTCAGACGTAGACGGGATCGTTCGACGACGCGGTCCCAAACCGAAACCAAGGAGCGGGACGAAGACGCAAACGGAGCGAAGGCCCGGCACAGGGACAGGGATAGGGACAGGGACAGGAGCCGGGGGAAAGCCTGGGAAAGGGCCAGGAGCAAGGATAGCCGCAGGGATGCCCGGAGAGAGAAGGAGAAGCTGCAAAAGAAGAAGAAGAAGAAGAAAATAGAGGAGCGTGAGAGGAAAGAGAAGAGGGGGAAGAAGGAGACGGAACGAGGCTTACACCAAGAGGGAGGAAACGAGGACGAAGAAGAGAAGGGAAAGGGGGAAGTGGAAGGAGAAGGAGAAGAAGAAGAGAAAAGAACGCCGACCTCACGAAGGGAAATTGTTGGTGGAAGGTTCAACCCCTTTCGCCCCGCAGCTGCAGCCCGTGCGCTGGTAGGACGGAGTAGAAGGCGAGCGGCTGGCAACCCCCATCATTGTGAAGGTTCCAGCGACAGTGAGGGAGACGGTCGCAGTTACAGCCACCGTAGCCACCGCACTTCTAGTTCTCAGTACAGCCAGTACAGCGAACACAACCACAACCATAGTGGGTTAGCGGGTGCTACTGGTCACGCTGCACACGCTACACACGCCGCTACACACGCCACTACACACGCCACTACACACGCCGCCGCTACAGGTACGCACGCGACAACCACCACCCCCACTACCACTACCACTACCACTACCACCACAACCACAACCACCACCGATTCCTCTTCTTCCCACCCTCCACCCGTGTCCGTTCCACTACCACCGCCTGCTGGACAACCACCACAACGGCCACTACCTCCACTACCGCCATCATCGTCAGCAAGGTCAATTCGAGCTCTTCACGGCGCTCCTTTGTCACCAACTGGCAATGCCTCATCCCCTCCATCCCCTCTAAGTCCAAGATCCTCATCTCGGCCCCAAGCGAGGGGAAGAGTTACCATTACCGCTCCCCCAAGCCCCGTCACCACCGCGACCGCGACCCCGCTTTCATTTCCGGGACCGGACAAAAACGACATATCGATTGGTGTTGAGTATCGTCAACGTCAGCATCAGCATCGGCATCAGCATCAAGCGCATCAGAATCGGCATCGTCATCATCGGAGCGAGCAAGACAGCGACGAGGAATATTTCGACCAAAGTGACGACTCATCCGTCCAAGACGCAGACGACGAAAACATTGGCTCTCGCACGCCACGGGCTCGGGCCCACCAACACCACGCGCTATCCACGTCCCCCGTCGTCGCCACATCCCTTTCGAACCATTCGTTTGGGCCTGGCTCACCACAATCAATCGGATTCTCCCCGGCCAGGCGCCAGCCCCCGCCCGGGCCACCCCAATACCTGACCAGTAGCCGCGATACCTGCGACAAGTGCTCCCCGACCCTTTCCCACCAGCAAGTACGAGCCCAAGTCCAAAACCAAGCTCGTCCTAGCATCTATCGCTCTCAAGATCAACCGAGTAGCGCCATCACTATTGGCGACCACAAAAGCGACCAAAGCGACCGAAGCGACCGAAGCGACCAAGGGGACCAACAAGGAGACCAGGGCTCCATTGGCACCACCGCCAGCCCAGCGCAGACCGCCGCCCGACCACCGTCCCCCCAACGGCTCCACACGCCCCGCCTGTCGAGCTCCCTGACATCAGCTTCTGCGGCTTCTTGTGCTTGTGCGTCTGCATCGAGAGAAAATACCTCTGCTGGTGGTGCTACCGCGTCTGCTGATTCTTTCTCCCCGTCCACTGTATCCGCCTCGGCACCTGCAACTGTACCCGTCACTGCCACTGTCACGGCACCTGCTGCAACGTCCCACCCCCTGCCCCTGGGTCTAGGTCTAGCCCCGACCCCGGCCCCGGCCCAATCCCTTTCAATCCCGAAAAATGTAACAAAGCTCGCCAACATGGGTTATTCTTCTTCTCCTGGCAAACCCACCACCTCAACTTCTTCCGTCACATCCTCCTCCTCCAACGTCTCCCCCTTCTCCTCTACCAAGATTACCGCCGCCACCCTCTCAATCGTCGCCCTGACCGAGACCATCTCTTCCGCCTCGGCCTCCCTCCATTCTGCCTCCTCGCGGGCGATGACCTCTTCGAACCATACCAATGCCTCCAATCCGTCTCTCGATGCCGCCTCCTTCAAGGGCAGCGCTAGCGCCATCTCCACGGCCCCTTCGTCGTCTCGCCCTTTCTACAACCGCGCCGGCCGCACCTACCTCAACGACCGCACCGTCCCTTATCCCCTCCCCGTCGACCTCACCGAACTCCACCGCCAGAGTCTCCGCACCCTCCTCCTCATCCAGATCTTCGGTGCTCCCGTATGCTCCCCCGTCTTCGCCCAAAGGCCGCCCACCCGCGTCCTCGAGGTCGCCTGCGGCACGGGCTTCTGGAGCCTAATGTGCCATCGCTATTTCGCCAGCCGCGGCCATCCCAATGTATCATTTACCGGAATTGATATCGCACCTCTCGCGCCCAGTGATTCTGATGGCGGTGGTGGCGGTGGTGGCGGTGATGATGGCGGAGAAGGACGGAGGGGACTGGCTGTCGGTGCGGGCGTAGACTGTTCCAGTTCCAAGCCGGGCCGGGAAATGAAATGGCGCTTGGTCCAACATGACATGCGCTATATGCCCTGGCCCTTACCGGACGAAGGCTTCGACCTCATCATGGTCAAGGACGTGTCCCTGGCCCTTCCCGCATCCCTGCAGCAGTCAGCCATGGACGAGTACATTCGTCTCTTGCGGCCCGGCGGCGTCCTCGAGATATGGGATTCCGATCACCAAATCCGCATGCTGCGCCCGCATGCCCCAGCCGCCGGAGGAGGCCCCAGTCGCATCAACGACCCCGACGACTCGTCCTCGGAGGATGAAGCCGACGCCGCCTCCAGCTTGGGGACCTACGTCATGACGGCCAACACGCCGCTCTCCGCCCCGTTGAACGGCTTCCTTGTCGAGTACAACGGCTGGCTGCACCGCGCCCTCAACGCGCGCGACCTCAACCCTGTCCCCTGCACCGTCGTCGGACCCATGCTCCTGCAAGAGTCGGAGGAGCTATGCGACGTCCGAAGTCGCCGCCTCGCCGTGCCGTTGGCCGAGGTTCGCTGGGAGCGCGAGGGCGTGGGCGGCGTCGTCACCAAGGACGGGAAGAGCTACGTCGAGACGGGGCGGCGGAAAGACGTGGTCGGCAGCGGCGCTGTGGGGCTGAGCAAGACCCTCACGGCCAGCCAGGCGGCGGTCCGGCGGACGGCCATGCTGACGGCCGTGCAGCTCATTCAGAGTCTCGAGCCCCTTCTGCGAGAGACGAGCGGCAAAAGCCAGGACGAGTGGGACACGTGGATGGGGAAGATGATGAACGACCTGATGCGGGATAACGGTGCCTCGTGCGGCGAGTGCCTCGAAGTGGGTGCCTGGTGGGCACGGAAGAAAGGCGGTGCTACGCGATCATGAGGCGCGGCTCTCATCCGGTCCGCCTGGGTTGAAAGTGAAAAGAAAAGACGAGCGCCACACACGGGGGAGTGCTGCAGTGGGAACGGCTTTAAGACGACTGGCCTTTTGTTTCCCGTCCCCCCATTTTTTTTTCTTTTTCTTTTCGAACTTTTCGGGGATACGAGGGGTGTGAAGAGGCATGGAACGAAGGGAACGAATACTTAGGATGGGATGCGTGACGGGATATTGTGCCGTGATGCTATATTGCGGATACCCTTTACATTCCAGCATGGGAAAACTTGTCACTACTCTTCTGGATCACACCACTGGGGGATTTTCTTGTTTGGGCATGTTTCTCTTTTATCTCGCTTGGCTGGACGGCGCGTCTTTGCGTCTTGAAGTACATTCCATTTTCATTATGTTCCGCCAGTCCCAGTCTTCTTCCCTCCCGTTCCCTCGGCTTGGTTCGGGGCCTCAGGGCTCAGGGCTCAGGGCTCAGGGCTCAGGGCTCAGGCCCCTGGTACATATCGTTTCCTAAGGGTGCGGTATCGTTTGAGATAGTACCTGAAGGGATACATATCAGCTGCTGGTGAGGAAAGGGTATAGAGAATTGGAGGCCAGGAAGGGGGCGGACAGCGCATGTAACCCGTCCACTAGTGGGCGGAACAAGCGTTGACCGCTTGGTGCTTCCGTGGTAAGGATGGGGGGTGGGAGGGAAAAAAAGTAAAGAAAGACGGGGTAGCAGGAGGAGAGAATTCTGGGGGTGCGTGTTTTTGTTCTTCTTCCCGGTACGGAACCGCGGTTTGGGGTTTTAGGGACTCAGTTTGATGCCGTTAACTTGACGAATAGACTTTGACTTCGTCCTCTCGAAGCGAGCCAGGCGAAGAATTCGTGGTGACCAGAGTAGACCAGCCGGTGCGAACGGGGTATTCGGGGGCTTGGAGGTTTTACGATATTCCTGAACGGACATGGGCAGGCAATGCAGGAAGAACTAGGACCCAACACAGAGCCATCCAGAGATAAGGGGAAGCCCTTGGGACAGCCGGTTGCAGGATGACAGGCACAGAACAAGAGGAAACAGCCAAGCAAGATGACAACGTACAGTGCTTCGATCTCTAAAGAACGATACGAAGGGAGATGTCGTCGTCAGCAGCGAGTCCATCGTGGGGAGCATAACGGGAGAGAACAATTAGCGGAAGAGACTCAACTCACCCTTCTTGACGTAGTGGGCGCGCTCGATACCGCGGCGAATGTCTTCTTCGTCGCGCAAGCCGGCATTGGCTTTGAAGGCGCCGCGAAGGCGAGGGCGGAAGTAGTCGTATCCTAAGGGGTACTCCCTTCCTAGGTAGAGGAGCTCTGGTATTTTAGAGGGTGACTTAGTATTGTCATTACGTGGATGGTGTGACCTTTATCCATCTGTGCTTGTTCAACTTGGGGAGGACTTCGATGACCCCCAGTGAAAAGGCAAGGCATTGCGTTTGCTCACGGTATTCCACAGCTGACACAAAGGAGTAGACCACAGGGAACATGATGCAGATGAGGTGTGCTTTGTCTGCCAGGACTCACCTTTATAGATGGAAAGGACTTGTCGCCTGAGCTCGGGGTTGGGGAAAGTCATTGCTGCTTCTGTACGCGATCCCAGAGGAGGAGGGGGAGGAGGACCAGGTTCGTCTCTGCGACAAATTGCTACCGCACATTGGCGGCCTTTGTTTTGTATCCGTGTTCAAGTTGCACTCTTCCCCGTGTCCAAAACGGACGATGAATCAATTGGCGGCTAGAGTTTCAGTCTGTCGAAAGACACGGATACGTCATGGGCGGACATTCTCTCCACGACGATCGAGGCCGAGAGAGATGACGTTCGTGGGACTGAAAGAACGGGAGGTGGGATATGCCTGGCTGTGAGCACATGGTACCAGCTGGTCGCATTGAGAGTGGTCTTATCTTATCTTTATCAGACCCCAGACCTCCTCCATCGCGCCATTGCCCAGCTCCCAGCTCCGCATCGTCAAGCTGTCCGTCCCGCGTTGTCCTCAGCACATTTGCACACCTCTTCTTTCAATCGTGAACAAAGGGCCCGTCAACTATGGCGCCACTGGGCGAGATGATAAGGCCCCGGCGGAATTTTCGATTCGTCCCAGAATACCTCCGACGCATCGGGAAATGCCTGACCTTCGGCTGCAACCCGGAACAGACTCGCGTAGCCGCCTCTATCATCCGCGACATCACCGAGAAGTCACACTACCTCAACGCCGCCGCGCAACTCTACTATCTTCGCCCGGGCCTCGTGATCCACCGGCTCCGTGTCCCGGCCGGCCCATGGTTTCCGTGTTCCGAGCCAGATGGCCGGACACAGCAGAGGGGGGAGACAAATTGGCAGGAGGTACCGTTCCCTCGCCCCGCGCCAACAACACTGGACCTTTGAGTAAGGTATATCCGAGGTGGTTATGTACTGGTTTACCATTACTGATTACCCACGGCTTTACTTATGTTCTTAGCAAGCACAATCGTCCGCTATAATCGCTGCGCTGGCCGAGAAGGGGCTTCCCCGACTCCTCCAATATGCCCACGAAGAAGCCCCTTCAGAGGTTCAAGACCACTGGGCCTCGTTCATGAACAACAGCACCCAACAAGGCGGGTTCAGGTTGGGTTCGACTAACGTGCAAGTTCACAAGGTAAAAAAAAAATCAAATCAAATCGCCAAAACCAACACCGGTTTCCCCGGGCTGGCTCGAAAACTGACGCAACCGCGTGCTTGGTTGGCACTTGCAGATCCCTCAACTCCCGGACACCGTCAGCGTCTACGGCCGCTTCGCCCTGCGCTATGCGCAGGGGAAAGCTAAAACGTTCGAGGTTGTGCAGACCATCTGGTCGCATTCGCAGATGGTGCCGCTGGGCACGGTGACCTATTCCCTGAAATCCCTCGTTGACAGAAACCAGTGGCTACCGTATATCAGGTTACTAGCGGGGGAGACGGAGAAGGAGGCCAAGGAGGCAAGCGTCGAGCTGGAGAAGCTTGCAGAACGGGTCACTTGGCTCGAGAAACAGACGTGGGATCGGCCGGATGCCGTGGAAGATATGGGAGCCGCGAAGAAGTGACATGTATACAAAACAAAACTTGTCTGCAAAGGAGAGCAGGCGCCAGTCCGCGCTGTGCCAGGTTCGAGAGGCCAGGTCGGTCTTCGGACACTGCGTCTCGAGAGGATTGACAGGCCGGCTCCCCCTCCCTTCTTCCCACGGCGGTAGTCTGATCTCTATCCAGTTGTGACTTGACTAGTGAGCGGGGTGAGCACTTGTCGGTCAGTGTAGGGGCTTTCGTGCACCCACCCTGACCCCCCGCATCATATATGTATACATGGTGAGAGCATTCGTGCCAACTTGAGCAAAAGAGGAAGAGGAACAACGATGCCACAGAAGCAGTCCATTGGGCGTGACGGGATGCAACAACACGTTCCTGCTCAATTAAGTCGGTGGAGAGTTGGCAGCGAGCCTGCCTTCCACCAAACATGTGCCGACTGGCCGTCCAAGAGCATTGGCGATCCGCCCGTTTGACGTGGGAGTCGCGGGGATGGAAAGCTTAATAGACTGTTATTGACGCCGTATGCGGGGTCGTCAGAACGAGGACGGAGTCGATACTTCGTGCTATACTATACCTTAAGGCTACCTTACCTACCTAGTTAGCTACCTTACTATTCTTCGTACATGCACGGTAATCAAACGTAATTTCTTCTTTGGTGTGGTAGTGTGGACCGACGATCAGACCATCCATCTCCCTTATCAGGCGTTGGCGACCTGCTCATATTGGTTGTCAGTGCCAGGATAACAACTCATTGCCTGTGCTCCCGTTAGGCCTCCTCCTCGAGGAGAAAGTGCATGTCGTAGCGGCGGAAAGCATTGAAATTACACGGCTATTCGAGAAACATGTCGTCGGAATTATTTGGCATCCGAGCAAGACACACGACACATGACGAGTCAAACACTGCAGATGCAGGGTTTTTCTATCATTCGGACTGAATGCCAGACTGCCGGAGAGGATAGGATGGGGACGGTCAAACGGTAGGTAGCACGGCATTGGGGGGGGGCGGACAAATGCCGGCAGCGATCGTCGCACTATTCCCCTTATGGAAGATGGAAGAGGAGAGGAGGGGAATCGAACGAAACGAGAGGGGGGCAGAAAAGAGAGATATTAATTGCGGAGCCGTTTGCATCGAAGCCAGTCAGCCAAACCAAGCTCAACCCGCTGAAGATTCGCATCCAGAAAAATGAAGAAAAATGAGGGACCAAGAAAAACGCTTTCCCTGATTCCCTTTGGTACGTACACTGGAATTTAATGGGCCCCTAATCTCCCATCCCGTACCTTTCCCCGCATGCACTTGCCGCACTACGACTGTTCTGAGATATATGGCCTGATATTCGTGTTTTCAAGGTAGAAAAGAGACGCGATATGTACAACGTACGTACACGTGTACCACAAGAAACCATCGGTGCCTGCGAATCCAGTGACACAAAGGGTGGGGAGGAATTAGTTACCTTATCGACGATGGGTGTCTAAAAGGTACGTATGACCTGAAGAGTACTTCGTACAGTGCGCGGAAAACAACCGACCGTCGATCGACACAGGCAGACCGGTGACCACCAGACAACGGGCCCGGGCCCGCAAATACGTCGCGTGTGCATGAGGCATTTGCATGGGCCAGCAAGCGATCGGCAAGAAATCTCAATAATGGGAGGGGGGGAGCGGATAGAACAAAAAAGGCCAAACTTGAGAGCATCTTTGCTGGGGGTTCTTCTTATTCCCAGCTCTGCCGAGTAGCTGCCGACCCGGGGATTAGGCTATGGGTTTTGCGTCCAATAGGAATGGCTGCTATCTGGACGTTGCGACAAGGACTCGCGGAGAATTGTGTGCCCGCGTTGTTCCCACTCATATGTACAGACATTGCATGAAATTCCATGGCAGCCAGCCTTCCTTGGCTGGACAGCACGGAGAGGTGGGCGGGACAGGTCAGAGGGCGTGGGGGTAGTTGGAGAAGTAAATCAGGATTAGACTCCGTCCGTTGCCTGACTTGAAGATGGATCATTACGGATACTATTGATCTGGCAGAAGACTTTGCCGATGATCCGTGACAGAGATGTGCTGCGTTGTGGTAGGGAGAAGTACGAACGAAGTATTAATTACTACCTTATGTATGCGGAGAAACTATACGACGGACAAAACATAGTAGAGAATTCGGTAGTACAATGCAACCAAAATCAAAGCTCTCGGGGGAACTTTGATAGGAGAGTCGGATATTAAACATCTCCATTGTAAGGAACGGGGCGCGAAGACAAGATGGGAAGGGAACAGCCAAGATTGGAACATCGACTGCCTGTACCGAGTACATAGAGGTCGCGTAGTAACGAATATTATACAATACTGCCACTAGGGACGCCTCTCGCGGAGCTAACGCCGACGAAGTTTAGACCACTACACTAGAAACGTAGGGGCCCAGTAACGGCAGGAAGAATATACCAGAGAGGTGCCGAGGAAGTCCGGGGAAAGACGAAAGACATTTGCCGTTAGATTTAACGAAATTAATAAAGATGCGAAAAGAAAACATTCTGAATCACGCGTTGAATAACTAAGGTACTCTGTACTCCGTACAAATCATGTAGCACGAAGCAGGTACATCGTGCAGACAGACAAACCCTTACTTGGTAATACGAAGTAATTACCTTATTCGGAGAATATTGGGACATACACGTAGAACACGGGCGCTATGCTATTTCGCTGCACCCTTCCGGAGGTTGGAGATAAGAGGTGGACGCAGGCACCTAAGGTATACGGATGCCTTGCTTTATTACGCATCTTACCTTACGGTACATTGCATCGCATCGCATCTTCAAAAGTATACTGTGTGTCATGAACGTAATTCCACTGTGCATGACTGGCAAAAGCGCCACTATCATACCTACCTGGGTTTAGTGGGCAGGTATTTGTCGAGGTACTCGTCAGCGTCTTCGCCCACCTACAAAAAAAATCCCTTACCTTAGGTAACCTTGAGACCGGGCAAAGGCACGCACGCATCTTTCTCCAAACTCCAACCATCCCGTTTCAATACCAACCGCCATCGTCCACTCGTTCCCACGCGGTATTGGGGCAACAACCTCGACAAGCTCCTCCCGCAAAACATCAAATCCGATTGAAATATTCGATACATCTTCCCCTACGATACCTCCGACTCGGCTGACGACTTTCCCAACGCTCCCTTGCCGGAGAATCCGGTCAGGACAGGCTTCACCCGCCAGCTGCTTCACAGGAAAGGTCGAATGACGACAAGAGCGTGACCCAGAAGGAGAGGGACCAATAAAATATCAAGAAAAGAAAAAATAGAATCGAAGAGAGAAAGTGGAAGGGAGCACATGTCGACGAAAGTTTATCTCTTGTGGATCTGATCTGGCCTGATTTGACAGCGTTCGCTCTTGGTGAATCCAGTACTGCCGACAACAACAAGACAACAAGCACAATCACACAACGCAAGAGGCATCCAGGGAATTTGTCCTGCTGTTGCTGCTGGTCCCGACCTGCTCCAGGTGCCTGGGTCGGTAGCAAGTCTCAGGAGCGCGCGCATGCCTCGTGCTTCCTTCTCGAAGCGACAGCAAGGCGCCGTGAACCAGCGTGATACTCGGCACGAAAATGGCCTGGTAGGCCCTGCAAAGCGAGTTCCCCCCAAGAAGAGCCTGCCTCAGCTTGATGGGCTCGCTCGGTCTGCGGCGTCAGACAACAATGTTTCCGGCCCTGTACCCCCGCCTTCCCAACCCACTGCAATCTTCCACGAGAACGGGGCTGCGGTTGCGAATACCAACGGTCACATCAGCGGACCCCTCAACGGATACGCAAGCGACCGCGCCAACGGTCACGTCAACGGTCACGTCAACGGTCACGTCAACGGTCACGTCAACGGTCACATCGATATTAACGGCAAACATCATTTCGAAATGGCTGCCGACCCGAGGTCTGGTGACGCCGCTCCAAGGAGGAGCTCCCTAAGCGCCTACTCCGAATCCTCCTCTTCTGATTCCATGGCCTCGCAGCAGGCCGGCAGTGGCTCCGGTGCCGAGACGCTACATCGCCAGATCGACGTCAATGCCACGAAGAACGCCGACGTGCACCGTGATCCCGGCGGTCCTTTCGAGTTCGCCGCCACCGTGCTACGCGCCCTGCCCCTGTACGACACCCTCGCCATCCTCATCCTCCTCATGCAGGTGCCCACTGTGGCCCTGTCCGGCATCTACATGGCCTTCACCTTCCTCACCTTCGTACCACCTGTTACCACCAGCTCGGGTATGAACATCAATTTCGCCGAGATTTTCGACTACAATTCGACCATGCCCTCCCTCGTCACCATCCTCTGCATGGATGTCTTCATCATGCTCGTCTGGCTCTTCCTGTGGCCGCCTATCCAGGTCGCCATTCTCGATCTAGCCAAGCCCGTCATCGCCGTTACTCTCGGCGGCGGGTCGAGTTCGAGGGAAGGCACCTCGAGGAGCGTCACCACGTGTTTCTTGCTGGTCATAGCGTCGCACTTGTTCCGCGGATCTAGGTTACATTGGTCTCGGGCGACACGCCTGCTGCCCCCGAACTGGCGGCTGTCCGCCGGTGCCGACGATGCGCTTGAAGTGATGACGCCCGAATTCGATAAGCGAGGACCCCACAGTTGGATCAAGAGCGTGTTGGCTATTCATATACTCACACAGGGCATCGTGCGGTATATACGGGAGTGGTATCTAAGGAGGGAGAAGGGAAGCGGCCCGTTACACGGTCAGCCGGACCCCGAAGCAGCCAAGCCTGCGGATTTGGCAACCGAGACCAGTTTCAATGCGACGGACACCGAGGCCGCGGCACAGCAACACGCCACCAGTTCGACCAAGAAGAGAAGGAAACAGAGCACCCAGGTGCGGCTGCAGCAGCCCCTATGGGCTGCTTTGGCGAGCACGAAGATCGTGATGGTTAAAGAGTACGAACTGTCCCATGCGGCAGCCGAGTCGGCTGGGTCGAACGCCACCGACATCCATAACTTGGGGAATGCGCCGTTTGATTCCGAGGCCGAGCAGATATGGATTTCATACATTGGGTATGACGAAGTATGTTTCAACACCAGCCGTTTCGCAGACAATCTTGCCATGCCCGCCGCACAGATGGGCCACGCAGACCGGCCGGCCGGAGTGGATACGTCCAAGCCTTTCTACGTCCGAATCAACAACGCCTTCTGGCAACCGACGCGCATCTTCCGAATTCCGAACGAGGAAGGAGAGCAGGCGGCACAGCCCCCCGGCTGTCGATGGTGCGGAGACATCTACGGGCTCCGACCGCTGTCCAAGTACGTCTGCGAGTTCGTCGACACGCATACCGACCGAGTCATCTTCTCCACCAGCATCCGCACGACGCAGGCGCCGACAAAAGATCAGGAGGGCCTGCCGAGCCCCGCGGTCAGTGGGCAGCAGCTCCTCCGGCCGGATTCGCCTGCGACGACGTTGAAGAGTACGATCAGCGCGCAGAGCGAGAAGCTGGCGGATGAGAAGACGAAGCTCAAGAACTTGCGTAAAGAATGGAAGGGCAAGATCACCGCGCTCAAGAAGGAGAACGAGAAGCTGGACAACGCGATCCAGTCGGCGGGAAGCAACGACGACAAGCTCAGGCAGAAGATCATCCAACAGGAAACGCAGCGGGCGCAGGCGGACAAGGAGATCGCGCAGCTCGACGAAGCGCTCAACGCTTTCGACGCCACGCCGGAGGGCCTGCAGGAACGGAAAAAGCAGGCGGAGAAGCTGTGGTCGGAAGAAAAAGCGGTGTTCGACAAGGCGTCCAAGCGGTTCAAGGAGTTCAAGACACGGTTGGCGGCGGAAATCAAGGGCAAACAGGACGAACAAAGCATCCTGCAGACGAAACGCAATAAGATCGCGGCGCGCATTGCCAAGGTGGACAACGAAATTGCACGAATCACGGACGCCAACAACCGCGGACTGGACGAGGCGGAGCGACGGAGGCAGGGCCGAGCGGCGTGGGAGGCAGAAACCAAGACGATCGAGAAGAACTTCAAGGAGAGCATCAGCACCATCCAGGCCGGTAATGCAGCCAAGCAGGTGCAGGTTAACAATCTCCTCAGTCAGCTGCAGTCCTACCACGAGCAGATGAGCTTCAATAACAACAGCGGTTTCTCGCTGGACGCGACGTCGGCGGGCCCTCAGCAGCAGCCACAGCCACAGCCACAGCCCACGGCCTTCACCTCGGCTTCGGCTTCGGCTTCGGCGAGCAGCGCGTGGAACCCCAACCCCGCGGCCGCTCCGCACTATCCCGCGTCCATGTGGCAGGCCCCGACCGTGATTAACAACACCACTGGTGGCGGCGCACCGTCGTCGTCGTCGTCATTGCTGCCAGCGGCACCAATAGCGGGGGGTCCCAGTTGGGCGCACCCACTCCCGTCCATCAAGACGCGAGGCCGGTCCAGCAGCATGCTTAGCGACGTGTCTGGATTCACGCAGTCAAGCGGCGGGGACGAGGAGTACCTGTCGGTGACCAACACGCCCGCACAACAGCAGAGCGCCGGCCATCCAGCGCCCTCGGTCGGGCCGACATGGAGACCGCACGGCCACGGACGCAGTGCTGGATCCGGACTCGGCTCGGGCTCGGGCAGCAGCGTGGGCAGCGGGGGCGGAAGTGGCAGTGTTCGCGATCCCACGAGCCCGATTTGACGCATTGATCATGGCCGGCTGCTGCCGGTGGTGCGGCTCGGCAATGATGACGCAGATTGGGCTAGCCCGTGGGGTTCTTGGATGCAAACTCGCGCTGTTGGGGTAGTTTTGGGTTGTGGCTGGTCGATCACTGGGTTTCGTTTTCCTCGTTGGCTTCTCCTTGACTCGTCTGTCCTGGCAACATTGGGAGAAAAGTTGGGACCTTTGGTCCCCTCTGCGCTCTCTTGCAGCCTCGTCCCGGTTTTGGAGGGAACTCCCGATGTTGAATAGGCCTAAGCGATTAAAGATACTAGGTAGTGTTATGCCGTCGTCGTCGTCGTCATCGTCGGCGGGTCTAGTTGCGAAATAGCTGATGCGTTGCTCCATATCCTGGGTCCACTGCTAGTTGTAAAGTGTTTCCCATGTCTTTGTGATGCCTGTTGCTGGGCTAACGCAGCTCGTCTGTCTAACTTCACCTTCACTGCTTGCTGGACTTTGACGTTGTGGGATTTTTCAACTCCCAACTAGCCATGTCGTGTCCTTACTTTCTCCGTCCCTGAATTTTCCAGGTTTCCTATCCTGACATGAATTCAGAGCCCCCCGGGGTTGGAGCGCCTGTTCGGAAAGAGTGTGAGCTTGTGGTCCCGGGAGTCCCGCTTGGAGACGGAAGTCAGTATGACCATATCACGTCTCTATGGTTTAAGACCCTGGTGATTTGGTTGAGGGCCTAGCTGGGACACTTGGGAATATTTGCAAGAGCCGATGGTAAGATCGTAAAGGGAAGTAGGCCCAGGAAGATGGCGAGTCTCTTTGACAGTCCGTCCACTAGAAAAATACATTGGAGTTGTCAGGACCATGATGAAGCAGCATTGGGGCCCGGGAGGGGGGGGGTGGGGGGGGGGTTTAATTGTAGATTATAGATTATATGTGTTCAACTATTGACTATAGTAAATGTAAAGTCGTTGGGGGAACTATGGGTTTATTCCCGAGGGATTCCTGACCCTGCCTCTGGAGATTGTCCTATGCTGCTCGTCTCTGAACTGTCCTAGACTTCTGCTGCACTGCGGGAGAAGGCGTACAGTTTCAGATACTGGCGTATTACGACAATGCTGGCAACCGCAACGTTAGCCTTCCACTGCGGGAGTACAGCGAAGCTCTGAAATGTTGGCCGCTTTGATCCCAGTGTGAAACTGTCGCAGACCTGACCTTCTGCCCATAAAACGTTCCTGTGAAGTGCCAAAGTCTCCCATGGAGCAACAGACGCAGGCCCGTGTAGTGGGAGGCAGTCATGCCAGTGATCGGCAAAGCACACCATCAGGATGGCGAGAGCCAATGCTCCCTCCATCGTTTTGATGTTTGAGCCTACTGCGAGCCGAGAATTTACGAGTTACCCAACGAAAACCCTTGGGTACTCTGCGTTCGGGTCCCTACACGTCTTAGACATGGGTTGACAGCCAGCCGTCAACCTCCCAACATGGGATGACGTGCAGAGGGCAAGCTTTTGCCATGCCTTCGCAACAACCTTCACTCTGTTCCTTTTTTTTTCTCCCCTTCAAGACTCTCCTTCCTTGACCAACTCGGTGACAGTGACGATATCGTACCCCCGTCTCTTAATCTCGGGAAGGACTTTGCGAAGCATGGGCAGAGTCCAGCTCCGCCTATCATGGCATATAATGATGGCGCCGGGCCTCAGCATGCTCAGGATATGGTTCGCGTTGGCGCGCCACCAACTAATCTGCGGGTCGTGGGGGTATATGCCGCCCAGGACGAGCCGGTAGCCCAGCTTGTCGACGAGGGCGCGCATGCGGTCGCTGAAGAAGCCGGACCCGGGGCGGAAATAGTTGGGCGGCATGGGGAGGTCCTCGGCGACGTAGGCGCGTCGGATCAGGTTGCGGACGGCGCGGATCTCGCGCTCCAGCTGGGCGTCGCTCAGGGACCGCGAGGGCTCGTCGTGCATGGCGTGGTTGCCGAGCTCGTTGCCGTTCTGCACCACTTCGCCGAGGTAGTCCTCGCGGCCCTGGACCTGCGAGCCGATCACGAAGAAGGTGGCCCGGGCGTCGTTCTCCTTCAGCAGCTGGACGATCTCGGTCGTGTACTCGGAGGGGGCGTCGTCGATGGTCAGGGCGACGACTTTACGGGTCGTGTCGACCTGCCACAGGACGTCGGGCCATTTCCACTGGAAGTACCTTATCAGGAGAGCGGGCGGCTTGTAGATCACGTAGAAAGGAGAGGCTAAGAGCACGACGAGGGCGAGGAGGGTGAAGAGGGTGGCCATTCGGTTGCGGCGGACGCGTCTCCGCAGGCTGTTAGGCAGTCGGAAGAGGCGGAGACGCAGCATAATTCATGATTTCATCAGCCGCGATGGCCTTGGAGTAATCGAGGACGGGTTGGAAGAAATTTGGCGTTCATTAGTGAGGCATTGTGGCTGAAGTGGCTGCGCTTCGTGGCTGGACCATTCCGTAATTGCCTGTTGCCGTTGCCCGCCCAGTTTTGTGATCACGTGATCACGAGTACAATATAGAACCGAGCAATTGGATCAGGGAGGATCAGGAACACACAAGTGCCGGCCGTCCGCAACGTCACGAACGAGGGGATCCCGCCGTCAAACTTCTGGTTCAACATCGTTCATTACTCGTAGCCGGGCGAGTCAAATTTCCTGGACGAGCAGACGCGTAATTCCCCCCTTAAATCCAGTGGGGGACAGGCTGGAGAACTCATTCACCTTTGTCTCAACTCCAACCGCCCGAGTAGGCAGGTAGACGACAGCCTCTTCCGTCATGGTTTTGCGGGCGAGTGAACTCCGACGCCGTAAGCTCGATTCTAACGCAATGCGATGAAGGGACATACTCTCATTCGATGTCATCCGAACTTGCATAACGATGATGCGACTGCCCAGACCCCCAACAGCTCCGACGGCCCCTTGAGCCGCGAAAAAGAGAAAGGAGACGGGGAGAGCGATGAGGCCTTTCCCTTCTTGAGTGATCCTGATCTACCCCCCTTTCCCACCTAGGAAGTTAGAGTGGAAATGCGAAAACAACCCCCCGAGGACCGAGGTGATTCTTTCTCCCAAGTAAGCCGAGGCCTCCTTGACGCTTGACCAGATGAAGAGCCAATGCTGTGGAACGAGGGGGAACCCTTGCCAGAGAACATGCATGGAAGTTTCCAAGGCCAGGATGAATGCTTCTCTTGCAGCCCTGGCCGAACAAGAACATGACCGTCTGCCTATGGCGACGCGTTTTCGGAGACACGAGGCGAGATGCCAGACATCCAGCGGGCAGGACCTCCACCCAAGAGCGAGGTACGACCCTGCACTTTCGATCCCAATGGGGGCCCTTTGCTGTCAGACCCGGCACATTTGAGGGATGTATACTAGATACTTGGTAGAAGTGTATGAAGTACGTTGTAAATTATCGTCAGAGCCTTTCCCCCTGGACGCATGCGCCCCTTTTTCCATCACCCTTCTTCTTTTTGTTCTTGGATTTTGCCCCCGAAGGCATGTCGTCGGGTCCGAACCAATGGCGTCAATCGCTTCTAAGTGGGGATATGTCCGAATTTGTATTGGCGTCTTGCTAGCATCTGCAAGGCCCGGGGCTCGGGGGCGGTTCACTATTTTGCCCCACTCTTCACGCCCCAGGAACGACAGGGCCAAGCTACGTACCACACCTACAATGTACAATGCCGACGGTTGCTGACGGATTACATGGTGCGGCAACCACCATCATGACATCCCCCCATGGATCCCCCCATGAATCCCCCCATCCCTAGGTACTCTCTCAACAGGTCAACAGGTCAACAAGTGAACAATGCAGACGCATACGACATGGCCACGTCTTCACCTCGAATCCCAAAGCGCAAGCGCGAAAGAGGTGCAAGATGATTGCTGTCAAGCCACAGCAAGACGGGACTCCCCGGGCTGTTGAACGTCACCCTGAGGCTCTGGACCCTGCCGGCCCCGCGGTGGATTGCGACCCTTTTCCCAGTCCTCCCCCTAATCCCCCATCATGCCCTTGACCTTATGATGCCTTGGCCTTAAGCCCCCCCCCCCCCCCGGCGCCACATTCTTAAACGCGAGAGCGAGGTCGCAATGGGTTGGGGTTTCATTGTCGTCACCAAATTGTCGGTCCGGCCGACGATAGCATCTCTTCTTCTCACTCACCCTTCATCGCGCACTCCCGTCGGCCCTTTGCGTGTGGGGTTCGTTCGCTTGGGGGTGGATAGATGTGAAGAGAAAGAAGAGAGAAAAAATTATGCTAGTCGTCGTGACTCCTGGAAATGAATGGTATTCTCCTTTCCTCGTTCGTTTGTATATAGAGTCCCAGCCCAGCCCTGCAGTCCACCATGGCCTGTCCTCGGCTCGTGATCATTCCTTGCTGCGTTGTTTGCAGTTTCCCCTGGCATCAGTTCAATGGCGACAGCGCAAGTTCGGTACCGCCATGAGCAGCACCCGACCGTCATGAGCGGACCTTCTAATGCTCACGCCTACAAGCTGCATCTTCATCACCCTTCTACGTCCGCATCATGAGAACGGGCCGTCACGTCAAATCTAATCAACACACCTTCCACACCAGACAAGACGACCTCAGTGTCCGTATTCAGACTGGCCCCCGCAGACCTCTGTCGGATTCCTTCATCGTCCAAGTCCCCCGCGACTGGTCTCCCGCGAACAGTCCCGAGAACCCCGCGTGCAGCTCGTCGACGAAGCCTAGAGCCATGTCGTGGACGGGTGTTCACGAGTGGCTTGACGGCCAAGGCCAGGGGGAAATGGCCGACCCGCGTACCTTCCGTGAAGGGATTCCCGGGTCGAATACGGCCTCGGCCTTCGAGTCGGCGCCTTCTTCGTCCACAGACAGTCCCACGTCCGAGGCTACAGATGCCACCATGGGCCAGACATCGGGCGGAGCAAAGGGAGGGCCACAGAGCCAGGAGCAAAATCGTCCAAAGTCGGAGGACCAAGGGGCGTCAGGGTCCAATAACACCTCTGGCGCCGGTAGACAGGGAACTGATACCGGTGCGGGCGAACAAAGGCCACCGCCGAGAAGGTAATGTCACGGCTATGCCCCCCCCCCCCAGAACGAACTCTAACTCGGATCCAGACTCACACTGGGGCGTGCACACAGACGACCGAAAAAGAGACACCAACCTCTCACGGGTTGGTTCAACCTTTGGCTTGAGTGACCGCCCTCCCGAGGGTGGTCTCCAAGATAAAGAAAGAACATCTCACTGTCTATGAGAAAAACATCAAGTTACTAGAAGGACAGGGACAAACGAATGGTCCGACGGGGTATTACAGAAAAGAAAAAGGACGAGGAAAAGAGAAAGGACATCAAAAGTAATTGGGAATCGGTAACTTCTTCTTTTTTTCCTTTTTTTCTTCTTTTTCTTTCACGACAGACTTGATACCCGGCATGACGAGATGGACGACGATTACACACTGCATGAGCGTCGGCATGGCTACTCGCTGGACCAGACCTCACCGCGGACTTCACCAAGAGAACCAACCCACATGCAGAGGACGATAGATGTACGCAGAGAGACCTGAGCGGAAAAGCCCATGGTACCTATTTTAATATATACAGTGGGAGCAGAGACGTTTGATTGTCTGAATATAATACACATATGATCTATTTAGGGGTATGCTTAGGATATTTTCACGTCGTTGCAGTCATAGCCCCGAATCCTCATTCCTTCGTATAATGGCCGGCGATGATGCTCAGTCATGCGCATGATGAAACAACCGACACTGCCGCGAAGCGCCCAAGACCCTTCCAACCTCGAAACTACATGCACGACTTGAGATTTAGAATTAATTCATCGACTTTCAGATCGCATCCATCATCAATCAGATAGAAGCACACGGCGACTCTTTAGGCAACTGTCAGATGCCCATAGCCACCTTACCGACGTGTGACAGACCATAATATGTTAGACTTATAGGATACCTCGATCCCATATATCTATACTTATTTCCCCTTAATTTTGCTAATAGTTAGATATCCCCGTGAAGTACCACGAACTTCACTTAGATAAGTAAATACATACGCAATTCCGCGTACCTTATTTGTGTTCTGACAGTAACACTCGATTCGTTCCCAGTACAGCCCCGGGTACCTTACCTAAGATACCTTACCTAGGTAGGCAGGTAGCCACGATATATTGGATTCATCTCTTCCAGGCTACCCCCCGAGCCGCATGATGAGCCCTCTGTTCCCCATCCCCTGTCACCCCTCCAAAGGGTCACACAATGCCAGATTCCTGTAAGCTCACCTGCCATTTTACAGGTCTACCAGCATCGAACCCAATATTTCCATCTTTCCCTTCCGTTACATTTGGAGTGACGTCTCTTTCCCCGAAGGGATAATGCATCATCTTCCCCGCAAACACATTCATCTCGATTGCCGTGATGTACCACACCATGTCACGCGACAACCAATTGATACCGCAGCCAGGTCAATATATCCTGCGCACCCCGCACATTCGAATTTACACGAGGTACTGTACATACCTATCTAGCTTGTTCAATCGACAGATCTGCGGGGTGGTTCGCTTACATCAAGCTCTCTCCTTCACCTAACCCAGCCGGTCGAAAGGAATGGGCAGGCGGTGAGAGCGCCCTTCCGTTCCGTCCTTACCCAGAACGGCAAAGCCCGGGCGGATCATCTGCGAAGTACGGATCAAGTTACTCTCAGATCTCCGCACGAGGTGATAGGCAGATGGGCAGTTTGACGAGCAGTCCTCTCGGCAGGCTTGCCTCCGAAAAAGAAAAAAAAAAAAGGAAAAAAAAGACGCCGAAGAGTAAAGATTCGCAGATGCCGTGACGTCTTGGTGCATCAAGTTTGCAAGATTCACTTGGATGAGTTGGACGGCGCTGTATCAAGTATCAGGAAATCGCATTTACTGGTCGTTGTAAATAAACTCGACCAAAAGGGGATATATCCACATGAATCAAGTCCGTCCGGCGTCCATGCGTTCTCGTGACTCAAAAACGCCTAACTTTGACAAAGCAAGAGGGGCCATGTAGCCCCAAGAGCAACGGCACGTACGAAGTAGTCACATGCCTTGCCCCGTTTCCCCCTCCCAAAATGATCCATTGCCGCGCATGTCTCGCGACAGACTACCAGTCTCCCACTCTACCCCGACAAAAGAGATACATACCGCTCAGACGGTCGCATAGGTTGCCCGTGTTCCCTGGAAGGACGGGATGGAAGACGAAGGGAAAAAAAGGACAAAAAAAAAAGAAGAAGTAAATATGTACGTAAGAATTCATCCACCATGTAATGCCCATCGTCGCCATCATCGTGGTAGATTTGATAAGAAAAAGAAAAGTGCCGATGCTAAATCCACATGGCCGCCGCCGGCGGCCGTTCGAGTGGTGTTGGGTAGCCAGGCCTGCTGATATGGCTGGTTGTGCTGGTGGTGCCGTAAAACGTGGCAAAGAGGGCCTGCACGTCGCTCAAGTAGACTTCCGGGCTGATCTTGCGTAGGCCTCTCCGCTTCAGCTCGCGCTCCTCCTCTTCCAAAACGGAGCGCTTGATGCCAAACTCTTCAGCAATCTCCGACACCTGCTCTAGCTCGCGGACGAAGGGGTGCGGCGGCTCCGCGTTGACCGCCGGTTTCTGTTGTTGCTGGTAGGTGACGGGAGGAGGCATCGACGGAACCGACGGTACAGACGGCACCGACGGCACCGGCGTCTTGGTCGGAGAGGCGAGCGAGTGTTGCGACATGGTCGAGGGCGCAGTTGACGTGGAAGATGTCCTCGAGAAGGTAACACTGGATTTGGTGGACACGGTCCGATCCGACTCCTTCGACATGGTCGAGACGGATCGCTGCTTGGCGAGGGCGTCGAGGGAAGACTTCATTGTGTGAGATGGTGACCGCTTGGGAATGGCAGGTGCGGGTGTCGCTTCTGGTGTCACACGTCCGCCAGCCGCCTCGGCGGGAGGCGTGAAGTAGGAGGAGAGGTGGTTGGGGGCCGGAGACCGGAACTCCTCCTTGGTGCCAACAGTGTCAATATCAGGGCTCGTCGGGGGCGTAGAGCCGACGGTGGCAGGACTGTCCGGGCCATCGGTGGTGCTAATGGAATTTGATCGGGCGATATCGGGCGCATTGTAGGAGAGCATGTTGGTAGTATGAATCAACTCAAGAGGCGCCGAGATTTGCGTGCGCACCGATTTGTTTCGCTGCGATGCCGAATTTTCCTTCTTGCTGGCAGCGATGTCGACGCTCTGCTTCACCCTCCTGGTGGTGAAAGCTCTTGAAATTGAACTCATGGTTGGCGGTATTTGTCTCCCGTGGATGCCTTGGGGGGCTTTTTCTTTTCTTTTCTTCTTTTTGAGGATGCCTAGTCAAGAAAGAGGTTTATTGAGTGTGATTGAGAGATTGGTTGAGAGGTCGAGCCTGGATGATGGGAAAATCCGAGTCTTGTTAGTGGGTGTTCGTCGAGTGGAAGACGTCAATGTCAGTTGAGCTGTCAACCTAGCAAGCCGGACCCCCAAGGCTACAAGATGGGGCAGGCTCGATAACCCTAGGACGACAAGTCCGCGGCGGGACCTCCAAAATGTGGGTGACAAGTGATGCGACTAACTCGCTCCGAATGGTATCGGCGGCTCCGAGTCCGAATGAACTTGGAAACCGGAGCGAAGCTAGAAGGCCTGTCGCTGTGATTGGTGGGATCTGTTGCCTTGGCGGATAAAGTGGACAGTGCGTTGGGGAACAGATGTGTAGACAGGTTGCGGGAAAAAAAGAAGAACAGAGACGGCGTCAGTTGAGGGGCCGAAAATGGTTCGCGGTCTCTGAAGTCGGAAAAAGGAAACGACCTGGCTTGGAAAAAGAAAGTGAATCGACGTGGGTTAGTTCACTGAAGCGAACAATCACGTCGCCGGATTCCGTATGTTCGTCGGTAGGGTGGGTGACACTGGAATTGAGGGGAGTTGCAACGTGACTGTGCTTAGTCAAGTCGTCGTCGTCAATCGGGCGAGGTGAGCGGAAGATCGGTTGCTTGTGAAAATGACGAGTGTGTGATATCAATCGTGTCAAGTGATCATAAGGTGTCCTCGGTGAAGAATAGGACTGTGAGACAGGTGGCGCCGTGAGCAGTCGGGGAGGCGTCCTCGGGAAGCAGTGCAATGCCGGAGATCGAGGCTCTCCACTACTTCATACAATCGGGTGGCGATAGATGGATAGATGGACCGGCGCGAGTGCTGGTTCGTTCACTCAGGTGGCGACTGCCTTTCGTCGTGCCTGTGTAGGTGCCGATTCGGTATGACGCCTGCGCGCATGCGAACAAGGAAATGGATGGAAAATAGGTTCGTGAGTATATAAGAATCAACTTCGGTCCTGCGATGTTGTGCCCGTTTTCCGGCGGTTGATGAATTTTTTTTTTTCTGGGTTTATGTTTGTCCTCAGTGCCGTACGTCCAGGCGAATGAATGCGCAACGGCAAGGTCGAGTTCACTGAAAGGAAAGAATAAGATCGGCAATCGGTTCTCTGCTCAAAAAGGGTCACGGCCCAAGGAAAGAAAGGAGTGTTGGTATAGAAGTGAAGTAAAAAAGAAAACGGCAACGATGAAAAATCGTGTGTCGCCCTCGATGTGAGAAGGAAGATTCAGAAAAGCAAAACGCTTTCACGAAGCGTTCTGACTTGAGAGTGGAAAAGAAAAATGTCTCGACAAGGGACGGGGGTAGTTTCTTCGGGGGGGGAAACCACCTCTGCGGTTGGGGGCAGCTCCTTCATTCGCCAAGTCTATGAGTTGGGTCGTCCTTGGGGGCACGACTCGCACGAGTGATAAACCCCGCGCAGGGTTCCTTCTCTGTTGAACTTGTGCCTTGCGTACCCCATACAGGGGGGGGGGGTGGGGGGGCGACAACCTTGACCTTGCGGAAGCTTTCCTTTTTCCCTATTGGCTCAATCCAACCACCTTGGAGATCTCCCAGTTTCCACCCTGGTGCCCGTCGTCTCGACTAAAAACGTTTTAGTGGGGACCGGAAGAACAGGTACGGTGCCTGTTAGGGATTTCCCGCGTTGCTGCCCCCCCCCTTTTTTCTTCTTTCTTTTTGGCTCGTACTCCGTACAAACACCATCCAGTTGGCCAGAATCATGCTCTTCTCACGCCGGTCGTCACCAAACGCCCACGCCATGACTCGATACCGCGCGCATCGCAAAGCACACAGAATACTTCGTATACAAGATGAGAAGAACCAAATTTTCATATGCAGCTGGCCTTTCCCATCGCCAAGACGGGTGCTCACAGCAAAGCCGATGAGATAGATGATTGCCTGTAGCTACCCGGAAAAGAAAAGACGAGAAAAGACGAGAAAAGAAGAGCAAACCACCAATTCTGGCTAATAGGTACCTAGGTAAGAGGTATGTTGGTCGAACGGCGCCCAACGTACATAAACACACTGCATGACAGCGTCGCAAAGCGGCTGTTACTCCATAACCACATCGTCAACGAAGTAGGTACAGCGTACAGCGTACAGCGTACGGATACGTCGACCAAACTACCAACACCCAGCAGTCACACCGTTCCACGTCTCTGGACGCACCAAGTGCAACGTAAAGCCCCTTGCCGTCTTCGAACCACCTCGTTTTTATTATTAGTTGAAACGTGGATGCTCAACGCAAAGCTCGTCATCTTCGGACGACGTGGTCGAGTTCTCAAGCGAATAGGAAGTGCCGAAGGATGAGGGAATGGTCGCAAAAAAAGCGCACACGCTACGCTGCTACGTTGTATTACATAATTACACGCTTGCACGCAATCACTTATGCACCGTCGTTCCACCCACCATGCAGGATCTTCGTCGGCCCACCCACCAATGGGCCGGGCGATGACATTGGATCTTCAGCCCATCTTTACGCCCCCTGATTGGCTTATGACTCCGGCGTTTCAAGAGTTTCACAACCCAAGCATCGACTCCACTTTCGGCCGCTGTCCCTGCGTAAGCGGCTTCAGTCTACCCTGGGGCCGGCGGATCATGCCTAGTCTTGGAATCTTGGCCCACCATGACAAGTGATGGAAACGCCGGCGTCCCTCTCTCTGGGTCTGGTTGGTAATTAACAAGTAACCTTGACAGACGCCTGTTGGTTACGCCCATCAGCCTGCCTACTTCGTACGTTGTACATACACAGCCTTCCCATGCTACGGAGCCCCTAACCGGCGACACTTTAGTCGTACGAAGGGCTATTTTCCTCCTGGCTCTTGCTCTGTTCAGGAGTCGACTCTCTTACCATCATGCCATCTGCACATACCAACTGCATACCCGGCCAGACAGGCCTTCATTCTAAATATCACTCGTCCTGGTGCATGGAACACTTGCTTGGACCACTGAGCACTGAGGGTCTTCCTTCCATTATGCGTTTTGGATCTTAGCTGGACCGACTCGATAGCCGCGTTGCTAGTGCCACCTCCTTCATGGTCCGCAAGGGTTGGTTGTACTTGATTATGCGCCGAAGAACTGTCAGAGCTTTGCCATGATCATCAGGCGCATGCAAACAAATGGCTTCAAATGGTTGGGGGAAAAATCCAGTTCACGTAGAGGGAGATTTCCCGTAGTCGGACAACAGATTACTTCTGGACCAATGTGCATTACACCACCAGCCTGTGGGTTACCGGGGTTGGGCGAAGTAATCAAGGCGCCTAACCGATCTATCGCCATTTTTCGATTCTCATTAATCCTCGTCCATCGACTCGTCCTCTTGATTGCCCTTCTTGGCTCTGTTCTCGAATTCCTCCATATCGTCGTCGTCATCGTCGTCGTCGCTTTCGCTATCGTCCGATTCAACCCCCACTAGCCTGTCCTCCGGGGCACCCTCCCGCACCGGCACCGCATGCCGGTGGGCGAACGCGTTCCGGACCGCCGCGTTGGTGCTCGTGTCCCACACGTGCATCGTACCCTGACTGCCCGCGACGCCGAGCCGGAACGCCACCTCGGGATCCGGCCCGAACTTCGTAGCGAAGACCTTCCCGATGTCCAGGTTCCGCGACACCACCATGCTGGGCCCGCTCGCCTGGACGTTCCACAGCTTGACCGTCTTGTCCGTCGAGCCGGTGGCCAGGAAGCCGGGGACGACGGGGTTGACGTCGAACGACGACACCGACTCGTCGTGCGCCTGCAGCGTCCAGACGGCCTTTGTGCCCGCCGGGTTGGTGGGTGCGCTGCGCACGTCGTGGTAGTGCACCATGCCGCTCTCCGTCGAGACGAAGAAGTAGTTCGCGTCGTGCGGGTCCCACCGGACCGTCTCGACGTCGCTTTCCACGCCCCATCGCGGCGCTTTGGCCTCCGGCGCCCGCATGTCCGCCGCCACCACCGTGCGGTCGTAGCTGCCGCTCAGCAGCACCGTCGTCTCGGCCGCGTGCCAAGCCAGCGAGCACACCTTGTCCGTGTGGTACGAGTACGATTTGGCGCACTTGGCGGTGTGCAGGTCCCAGAGCTTGACCGTCTTGTCTGCTGACGCTGACGCCAGCAAGTTCCGGTGTTTCCTGTTGGCCGCCAGGGCCAACACCGCGTCGACGTGGTACTCGTCGTTCGCCTTCTTTGACTTCTTCTTCTTCTTCTGCTTCTTCTCCTCGGCTCCCTCGCCGCCCTGGCCTAATATGGCGTTGGGGTACATGCAGTCTATCACGTCCAGGTCCCAAATCTCAATGTCCGGGTCCATTGTGCCGACGGCAACGAAATTGGCCGTCGCATCTTTGTCGACGCCTTTCTTTTGCACGGGGATATCCAGCCACTCGACGCAGAGGGGTATCGCGGGAAGCATGATGTCGTGGTGAACGTAGAGGTTGTCGGCCTCGTCCTCGTAGACGTAGACTTCCAAATGTGCCAGCTCATCTTCCACCTTCGCCGCCAGCAGGAGGTTGTCGGTCGCTAGAATTTGCAGGTCCTCGCGCTCTTCGTCTTCGTCCTCTTCGTCCGGGAGGGTGATGTACGGGTCGTCCTTGTTCGACTCGTAATATGCTAGGGACTTCACGTTGCCGAACATGGTTAGCGGCTCGCCCTTGCCGACAGCATCTTCGTCATCGTTGTTGTTGTTGTTGTTGTTGTCGTCGTCGTCGTCGTCGTAATGTTCGAGGTCGTATTCCTTCAGATCATCATCATTGATATCGATTCTAAGACTGAATTTAGCGACCAGGACAAATCCTTTTCAACCGGCCGGGAGGGGTTGGTGTGACCAACTGTGACGTTTCAATCGATTTCTTGTCTCCGTTTCCCGTCTTCTCGGTCGAGGTGCCTTTTGTTGGCTTTCCGTCTTCGTCGGAAGCATCGCCCTGCGCTTCTTGAGCCTGCCTCAAGTCTTCCTCCGCATCATCGAGTTGGAGCTTGGCGAGTTCTGCGATGCGTTCGAACTCGGCTTCGTCAAAGGTAGATTTGGTGGGGAAGGGTGCGGCGAAGCCCCGCGGGACCCAGGCCGTAGCCGTAATCATAGACATGGTGGCAGATGTCAGCACCGGCGCTCGGATTAAAAAAAGAAGAAAAAAGGCTTTGCGACGGAGGGGACCGGTGAAGCCCTGTTCTTCAGGGCAAGCTTCTCGAGGTGGTGGACTGCAGAAAAAAATTCCAAGTGGGGTTAATGTTTATCTTATCGGAAGTTGTGCTCAAAGTAAGGTACCTACCTTAGGTAGGCCGTACCTAAGGTATCTTATCGTACGAAGCGGCTTCCAGGAAGTTACCATGTCCTTGTGGGGGGATGTCGCGAATACAAAGGAACAAGGAACCGATGACCTTGTTGTAACCAAAGGTCACCGTCTTAAGTGCCAAAATCACCAAGATATGTTACATTACAGCCATGAAAAATACTCAAGATCTTCTTAAGACAGTAAGTAACTAATTACCAACCGGACGTATGGTTGAATCTCCTCGTGGAGTACCTTATGAGAATGGGACTCAATAAGGTAGTGTACTTATGTGGGTCATTCATCGCTTCGGTGTAGGTGATAAGATAATGTCGGTTCATCGTCGGACAAAATGAGGTAAGGTAAGGTAGGTACCTACCTAAACCAATAAGGTCGCATCCATTTCCCATCCAGGTAGTACTTCGTATCTAAGGTAAGGTAATTAAGGTATCCTCCCTTCTTTTGCTCAGTACTCAGGAGCACCCATAGACTTCCACCACCGACAACATTACCCGCAAATATGTCTGACGACCGTTCATATGGAGGACCGCCTGTCTTCAAACGTAGAAGACTGGATGGCAGCGGTCGCTCGACACCCCGTGCAGAACGTGCAACAACACCCCGTGCCGGACACCGACAAGCATCACCACGGCGTGACGTGCCTGCACCGACAGAAGAAGACACGATAGCACTCGATCGCGATTGGTATGGCGGGGACGAGCTCGGCGGTCACGTCTTTGGCGAGGACTCGCACAATCCCTTCGGAGCCGACTACTCAGCATGGGAGAGGGATCACCAGGAGGCCGCCAAGACGGAGAAGATGGTGGAGCGGTACGACGCGCGCCGGGAGCAGCGCCAGAAGGAGAATGACGCGTGGGAGACGAACCGAATGCTGGTCTCGGGCGTGGCCCAGCGGAGGGACATGGCTGCCGACTTTGACGAAGAAGAATCGACGCGCATTCATCTGCTCGTGCATGACCTCCGCCCGCCCTTCCTCGACGGCCGCACCATCTTCACCAAGCAGCTCGAACCGGTCCCGGCGGTGCGAGACTACCAGAGCGACATGGCCGTCTTCAGCCGCAAGGGGAGCAAGGTTGTGAGGGAAGCCCGGCAGCAGAGGGAGAGGCAACGGCAGGCGCGGGAAGCCACGAGCATGAAGGGCACCGCACTGGGGAACCTGATGGGCGTCAGAGAGGACGAAGGCGACAGTGCCATGCCGATCGCGAGCGAAGAGGATGCGAAGAAAGGCCCCGATGGGGAGAAGAGCAATAAGTTCAGCGATCACATGAACAAGTCCGAAGGCGTGACCGACTTCACACGGACCAAGACCTTGCGGGAACAACGCCAATACCTTCCTGCCTTTGCAGTGCGGGAGGATCTGATGAGGGTCATCCGAGAGAACCAAGTCATCGTGGTTGTTGGCGAGACCGGCTCGGGAAAAACTACACAGCTGACCCAGTTTCTCTACGAGGACGGGTATGGGAAGAATGGTATGATCGGCTGCACACAGCCCAGGCGCGTGGCGGCCATGAGCGTGGCCAAGCGAGTGGCTGAGGAGATGGATGTCAAGCTTGGCAGCTCAGTCGGCTACTCTATTCGGTTCGAGGACTGCACGAGCAAAGACACCGTCATTAAATACATGACGGACGGCGTGCTCCTTCGCGAGTCGCTCAACGAACCGGACCTCGATAAATACTCGTGCGTCATCATGGATGAGGCGCACGAACGTGCTCTGAACACGGATATTCTCATGGGCCTGTTCAAGAAGATTCTCCAGCGCAGGCGCGATATCAAATTGATAGTCACCTCAGCAACCCTCAACGCTAAGCGGTTCTCCGACTTTTATGGTGGCGCTCCCGACTTTGTCATTCCCGGTCGGACGTTCCCCGTCGACACGCTCTTCCACAGGTCGCCGGTAGAAGACTATGTGGATCAGGCGGTGCAGCAGGTGCTCTCCATCCATGTGTCTATGGACCAGGGCGATATTCTGGTGTTCATGACTGGGCAGGAGGATATTGAGGTCACTTGCGAGCTGATACAACGACGACTCGAGGCGCTCAACGACCCGCCTAAGCTTAGCGTACTACCTATATACAGCCAGATGCCTGCGGACCTTCAAGCCAAAATTTTCGACCGGGCGCCGCCGGGGGTACGCAAGTGCATCGTGGCGACGAACATTGCCGAGACCAGTCTGACGGTCGAAGGCATCAAGTACGTCGTGGATGCCGGATACGCCAAGATGAAAGTCTACAATCCCAAAATGGGCATGGATACGCTCCAGATCACGCCTATCTCGCAAGCGAATGCTTCGCAGCGGTCGGGACGAGCCGGCAGAACAGGGCCCGGAAAGGCGTTTCGGCTGTACACCGAAAAGGCGTTCAAGGAGGAGCTTTATCTGCAAACCATACCGGAAATCCAGCGAACGAACCTCAGCAACACGGTCCTCATGTTAAAGTCGCTCGGCGTGAAAGACCTGCTGGATTTCGATTTCATGGACCCGCCCCCGCAAGACACCATCACGACATCCATGTTCGACCTGTGGGCTCTAGGCGCCTTGGACAATCTCGGCGAGCTCACGACGCTTGGGCGGAAAATGAGCGCCTTCCCCATGGACCCTTCCCTGTCGAAGCTGCTCATCACGGCCGAGGAATACGGGTGCAGCGAGGAGATGATCACGATCGTGTCGATGCTATCGGTGCCCAGCGTGTTCTACCGGCCCAAGGAGCGGCAGGAGGAAGCCGACACGCAGCGCGAGAAGTTCTGGGTGCACGAGTCGGATCACCTCACGTACCTGCAGGTGTATTCGGCGTGGAAGGCCCACGGGTACTCGGACGGCTGGTGCATCAAGCACTTCCTGCACCCCAAGTCGCTGCGGCGGGCCAAGGAGATCCGGGATCAGCTGCTGGACATTATGAAGATGCAGAAGATGAACATGGTCAGCTGCGGCATGGACTGGGACATCATCCGCAAGTGCATCTGCGCCGGGTACTACCACCAGGCGGCGCGGTACAAGGGGTCGGGCGAATACATCAACCTTCGGACCAACCTGCCTGTGCAGCTGCACCCGACGTCGGCGCTCTACGCCGGCCACCCGCCCGATTACGTGGTGTACCACGAGCTGATTTTGACGTCCAAGGTGTACGTGTCGACGGTGACGGCGGTGGATCCGCACTGGCTGGCGGATCTAGGAGGGGTCTTCTATTCGATCAGGGAGAAGGGATACTCGGTACGGGAGAAGCGCATCACCGAGACCGAGTTCAACCGAAAGATGGAGATCGAGGCCAAGATGGCGGAGGATAAGCAGCGTGAGGAGGAGCGGTTGCAGAGCGAGGCGAAACGGAAGGAGGCGAAACGGAAATCAGGGGCTGCTACCAGCACAGGCAAGAAATTCGTCACCAAGGGCGCAGTGAGGAAACCGGTGGTGAGGCGGCCCGGAAGAGGTATATAAGTTTGAGTTTGGTTACATGAAGCAAGTTGGATCTATGGTGAACAAGTAAACAAGAAAAAAGAAAAAAAGGGTACAATAATAACAATACAGCTAGAAATGCGTCAGTAAGCGGGCTATAGATAGGAACACGCGACGGAGGACAGCACGAACTTTCAGTGTCGAATCTCAAAGTGCTTCTCATCTTCGATAATCTCCCTTTCCTCCGTTTCTACCTTGTTGACTCTTGATAACCGCGGACCCCTGTTGATGTTTATAAGAAACCCCGCGATGCTCTCCTCTTGACCCTGGACCTCGCCCTCAACCTGGGAGGCAGCAAAGCTCCGTGTTAGCGTAATGGGCTCTTTTGAAGTAGCTCTCCCGGGGACACGAACCTTGTCATCTGGCGTGTTCCGACACCATCCAGTGAGACCATGATCGGAGGCTCTACCCCTGGTGAAGAAACGAAAGCCGACTCCTGTGCGGCGTGAGAGTGAGGTGACGTCAATGAAGTTCTTGATACGTGAGGAGAGATGTATTATAAAGTCCTGCGGTCTAAAAATTGTGTAGAAATAATCATGGAGATTTGGAGGGAGTCAACCAAGATGCATATCACAGAACCTACCCTGCACAATACCATGGACGAGGAAGTATTGCTGTTGGGGGTTAGAGAGCTCCTGACGGGGTGAGATTTGGGATTGTTTACTGACGCGTTTGATCATTGTGAATATTTACTCAAGGGAGTATTCTCCTTACCTGAAGAAAGGAGAAATGAGAAGAAGAAGAAGAAGAATGAAAGATTCTTGGTGTCGTCGTTTTAACGAGGACCTTAATGTTTAAGGTACATTTAAGGTATGTTTCTACCTACTGATGGGGTTATAGGTACAAGGTAGGTTTCCAGGTAAATACCTTACCTACCACCTTACTTTAAGGTAATTATCTGATGTAAGGTACCTTAAAGTACGAAGCACGAAGACTAAGGTAAGGTACCCAAGTAAGAACCTCACCTTATCAGGTATGGCGTCGAGGGGTGGAGAGGTGTCGAGCCGATACTCTTATCGATACGAACGGTTCCATCGCTGATAAAGCACGGCCCGAAATGGTTGGCCAGTCGGATAAATCTCGGCTGTGTACATCACCCCATCTTCAAACCCCCCAGACGGAACGGTGAGATGTGAACCACTTCATCCCATCCTCTCTAAAATTCAATCAGACAACACAAACCCAGACGCCACATTACGTCCACCCAAGACTCGACGAGCCTAATCATACCTTAAAGACGGACGAAGCCTCCAATGGCCTCCACTTCCGAAGAACAGTCACCAACGATCCCACCCGTCCTCTTTCGCTCCAACAGGAAGCGCAAACCGGGCTACAGGCAACGACCCGAAAGTCAGGATATCGACATCAAAGACACAACCACAAGCCCTGAACCATCATCAACACCCGCAGACCGAAACCTTCCCACCGAGTCGACCGAACCACGCCTCCCCACCGACCCACCGACGGCCTTGACCCAAGCCCAAGTTGACGACGACCCGGATCCCTCTTCCCAGTCTATCGCGGAGGCCCTCCGCCTCCGCAACCTCCGCAAATCCAGACTCAAAGGTGTGGGATTCCGGCCACAGGGATCCCAAGACGGACGAAACGCCAGAGACGATGACGCGAATCAGGAGCGCAGCCTTGTTCAGGGCAACCAGGATGGCGATGCCGTCGACCTCGGTATCCATGGGCGCTTCGCCCCTCAGACGGGTATCGTGGGCGAGCTCGTGAACAAGCACATGTGAGTATTCAGCCGCCTTCTCCCGACCGCCATCCTTTTGCTTTTCCCTTTTCTTTTCTCACCTTTTCCTTCTTCTCATCTCCTCCGCACATGTACTGAACAAGCAAGGATGGAATACATAGAATCCAAGCTGTCTAACCGCCGCGCGGCGGCCGCGCAAACCACCGCCGCCATGGACCAAGAACACGCCAGCTTCGACCCATCATCATCCGGCCACGAACCCAGGTCACCCGGCACCGTCATCCCGAGCATCGAGACCAAGCGCGACCCCCGCGTCGCCGCCATCCGCGGCCGTCTCATGGAAGTCGACCTCGGCGAAGAAGCCCGCGCCCGCAACATCGCCCTCACCGAGCGCGCCCGCCGCCGCCTCGCCTCCTTGGCCGCAGACGACCACTCCCCGTCCCCCGGCGTGACGGACGATGCAGCAGCAACGGCGGCAGCCGAAGCAGGAGACGACCCCCAGGGCCTCAACGGTTCCCGCGCGAAGAAGGAGCGTTTCGGATCCGACGGGAAATCGCGGCGCTCACGACAGCGTCGCGCCAGCGAGGACCTGGAGCGTGATCGTCTTGTGGAAGAATTCTTACGGGAAAATAAACGTAAGTTTTCTGTTCTGCAGCCCACTTTTTTTCCCCTTCCCTTAACTCAACTCTCCCTGTTTTCTCTCTCTCTCCCTCTCCCTCTCTCTGCCTCTCTCAACTCCACAAGTTGCATACCCAGAGGCTAATCCTTCTTTCCCAAACCATCCAGTCGACGTCTATGACCTCCCAGACCAGGAAGAAGACCCCAAGCAGAACGCCGGAAAAGACGATGAAAATCTCGGCGCCGACGACCGCCTCGTCGAGGCATTTCGCCGCGAGTTCCTGGAAGCCATGTCCCTGCGCCGGAGGCAGCATCAGCAGCGCCGCCGCCGTCCCGCCAACCCGGCCGGCAGCTACAACAGCAGGGTTGAGAAGGGCGAAGTGCTCCGGGGACCCAAGTTGGGCGGTAGTCGGAACGAGAGGGCAGCCATGCGGGATCTCCTGTTGCAGCAGGAGAAAGAGAAGAGGCAGGCCACGAAAAGGTAGACCGTCCCCAAGCGTCCGGGCCTACCTGATCACGAAATTGATACCCATGTCTATTGTTCCCTGCACAGCAAGTTTTTTCGGCCCCGGGTAATCGTCGTGGATTGTGTCCTAAAAATCGCTGCGCAAACTCGAAGGCCCATGATGGTAATAATACGATATCTATGGAGAGCCAGTTGCCTCATGCAGTCCAGTTTGACGGGGAGTAGCAACCCTATCCGATGTTGAGAACTATTTCTGCTGTATAACCAAGAGCATGTTCGATCGCGAAGTATATGCATGGCCGGCATGTTCATCAAAATTCCTCCGTTCATAACCAAAACGTGACCCGATAAAGATAAAAAATAGCCATACCCAAAACCAACCCGTAAATTTTTTTTTTAATTTTTTTTGCAAATGCCGAAATCCGGTGCCAGTACAGCCTCTCCCCAGAAAGCAGGTGGGTAGTTGAATCGCCTATGGTGAGCGGTAGACACGATATCCCGACCCCTAGACTTGGGAAGCAAAGAGAGGACGTGTAGAAGATACCGCAGGCGCCTATGAGATTGAATCGCTGTCCCGAGTGACCGAGAGAAGTTGGATCGCAACTTTGTAACAGGCGGTTTCGGATGCGAATGCAGAAGAATCGTCTTCGAATGTCGTCATGTTCCTTCCCTGCCATAACCTGAATGCCGAAGCCCTTGCGCCTTTGCCTTTCCCATACACCTGCCTAGGATGCAACAAAATGAGAGAATGCTCCGTTCCATGTAGGGAGAAAGAGCCCAAGAAAATAACTGAAAATATAGCGACCTTTGTTATTCGTTTTGATTGATGCGGTCGGTTCATCTGATATCCAACTGGAAAGGCTTGAATCTGCCCCCTATTGTCGCGCAACGAGGGCACTTTCTCCGAGCTCCCTGTTCGGCCATGAGGACGTCGACGCATGCTTGGCAGAGACCGCATATGCACTCCGTGCACGCATACGATTCTTTCAGCTTCGAGATGCTCTGGCATGCCGCACAGTAGATCTCTGTGTTTTGCGAGGAGAAATTCGTGGACGAGTCCGAGAGGCCACGAGGGTCAATGTGGAAGTTCTCGCCGCTTTCACCACTCTCTACCGACGGGAACGGCTCAATGGTGTCTTGGTTGTGCGACGGTGGGGTCAAGGCCTGCTGAAGCGGAGAAGCTTGGTAATTGTCTTGGCGGAAGGCGTGCTGGAATGGAGGCAGGGAGGCCCTCGGTATGGAAACAGGTGACTGTGGAACCTGGACGCTCCGTTAGGTCGGCTAGAATGGAGAAAACAGGTGGCCTCGTCCATGTTCGTTCATTTACACTTACCGGCGTACGATCCTCGTCTACGTCACCGGCAGCCGAAGCAGCTTGGTCAGCAGCGTCAATGAGGTCTTCCCATCTCTTGCCATAGTCGGCCGAGGGTTCCGCTGACAAGGCCTTGCGATCCTGACCACCCGGTCTCATGCGCTCGTCGTTTTGAATACGACGCAGCCAGTCGTTGGCCGAGCCGCGCGACTTTTGTTTCTTGTGGTGCGCTTCTCGGCCCCGCTTCGTCACAGATTGCTTTCTCGGCCGGTTGGGCCCCACGGAACGCTGGATGGGCGGCAGCGTAGACGAGCGGCCTGGTGGTGAGTTGGCCAGTATCGAGGGCAGGATGTCGCGGGGCCGATTGGAGTTCATTGGCGGGAACGGATCGCTTGTGATGTCGTTCGGAGACATGTGTATTGGGGGTAGTTCGATTGAGGAGCGAGGTATTCGACGTCCTTCGGCCTCAGAGGCCCAATCCTGGTGCTTGTCCAAAGTCAGCGATTGCTTTCGGGTACTTCTCATGATCGGGACAGAAGAGCAAGACTGAGTCGGCAAAAGCTTACATGGTCTGGTTCCCAATCCTGTTCGACTCTGTGGCCGTGAAGTTGGGCTAATGCAGCGGCCGCACTCGCAGCCGGTAATAACGACGCCGCCGTATAGTCGTCCGGGTGTCGAGGCGTGGGCGGGTTACTGGAGTCGTAGGTTTGTCGGTCATGGTGAAAACCTTGCAGACGGTCAACCACTGGGGGAGTGCCAAACCCTGGGATTGGTGGGTACGCACCCGAAGGAGCTGAGGTTGGATTGGGATTGGATTGATGATGGGGTTGCTGTGGGAGGCGGGTCGAAGGGTCGGTGTTGATCATGAGGAGGAAGCTCTCCTCGGTGGCGGGGAGCTTCTGGATATAATGCTCTGGGTGAGCTCTGCGGATATGCTCCTGCATCGAGCGATACCTCTTCTCCTGTAGACACAAGGATTATAAGCTGTTGAAAAACAACCTACTATTCGGTTCGTCCCCTCGCTGTCGATTAAGATGCGCTGACAAAAACCATAAAAAGAATCAAAAACCCCGGCTTTCTACCCCGCCCTCCCGACCGGGGGCAATGCCACAGAACGGGACGACAGCAGCTCACGTCGACAAGGAAATACAGACGTAGCATCACATTACACAGCATAACAAGAGAATGTGGTACTGAGCGCACGAGCGGGGCGGGTAGGTGAACTTACGCCGATACAGCGCTTTCTACAACTGGAGCCATCTTGATTCCGCAAGGGACAGACGACTTCATTATTCGAGTCAGCGATTGAGAATTGAGAGGTCAAAGAGGATCGAGGCGGCATCTTGAAGACACCATGCAAGCATTCCGAGACTGGTGGTAATATTGGGATTCTGGCTGGGAGAGTAGCTTGCCGGCCGAGGGTTCGTCGACGGTGCCGGCCCTTGAGAACTCGAGAATGGGAGGGGCGGGGGTGAGAGGGCGATAACGGTAATCAAGTCTATCGGGCGGAGGGGAGCTCAATTAAAATGGAGCTGGACGAGTAGAGCTGAAGCATCGGTCGAAGGCAAGATAGGATGAGCTACCAAGGTAAAGCTACTGATACTGGTCATAAAGAATACGTTGTGGGAAAGAAGCGCGAGTGAAGCTCTAGCAAGCTCTGCATAAATTCTCGCGAGCTCGGAAAGGGTGGTCCGGCAGCGTTACAGAATAGGTTGTCCGAGGGAATGGGTGGGAAAGTTGTGTGATAGTAGTAGAGAAAGGAAGAGGAGAAGAAGAGTCAGCGAAGGAAACCATTTAGTGACCATAGCCATACCCGCTTGAAGGCCCGGTAAGTACGGAGCATAGCCTGCTGTAGGCCTGAATGCCCGAGCTAGAGGCGAACATCCGAAAGCAGTAAGTGGTGGGAGACTTGGGGGGGCGGGGGGGGGTCAAGAGGACTTGGAAAGCCAGCAGCGGGGAGGGGACTGGAGGGAACGAGCATGAGGTGCAGATGTGGGGAAGGGGTAACAGGAGGATGAGGTAGATACAGTACGTTGTACTGAGGTGTACATGTACAGCTGTACTCGGCAGTGGATCCTCGGGCATGATGGACTTGGGGGGAGTGTACTTCGTAGTGAAAGGGTTGAGATAAATAAGTTGGAGTAGAGAACAGGCCGGTATCCATGAAAGAAACGACGTGCATTGCTGCGACGGTTTCTACTTTGTTTAGGCTTATTTAATCAAGCCCAAGCCGAGCTCGGTCAAACGAGGCCAGCCAAGCTCTTTCGACTAGGACAAAGCGCTTATTAACGCCACAAAGAGCTTCGGGGATATCAGGAACCCATGTAAGTTTCAAGCTCTGGTCCGAACGACGAGCGACCTCATGCTTAAATAAGGAGGGGGGAAAAGAATTGGGTGTGTAAGTGACATCCGTGCCGGAATAACAAGAAACGTTTAGCTTATTGGGTGAGCTCGACAGCTTGTTCCTCATGCTCCATTGCATTCCGTTTTATTCTGAAATACGTTACAAGCCACTAACGTGGCGACTAGCGACTGCCAATTACAAGCTGGACCACAACATTTGGCAGAGCAACCATGCGGGAGCAGAAACGGCTGGCTTATTATTGCTATCTCAGGAAGGTTGGCAAAAACGCAGAGTAGCAGTTAATAAGTTCGGGGATCACGGTCCGAGTCCGGCGGAACAAATGTTTACGCAAATCGTCAACAATTTACACCGAAAGACGCTCAAAGGTCGTAACGTCTAGGAACGAGACAAGAGCAGTCGGCTTCGTAGCTGTTTGACGTTAGCTCCCCTCGAGAACCAAACTCCCTTCCAAGTTAGGAACAAAGAAATGCAAGAAGTAATCGCGGTGCTTGGTACTACTTTAAGCATCCCCATCAAGACTCGGATGAAGACATTTCTCTTGTGGGTCATGCCGGAGGGGACGCCGAGTCGCGTGTTACGTTTCAGTCTTTTGCTGCCCAATCGAGTCATTCCAGAGAGGAAGTCAGCTGCCCCTTTGCTCTGGCGCAGGATATGTATGGATACATAGGAATACCTCCATACCTACATGCTTAGAGGTCCCATGCCAAGCCAAGGCTAAGCTACCTTCGTAGCTACCTAGGTAAGGAAGGTACCTAAGGTAGCTTTAGGTACGGAGTATTACCAAATAAGGTAAGCTTCCTGAACAATAGGAGCTGTTGGTTTGAGAAGCTCTAGGGCCCGTTCGACAAGAGAATTTAGGGAACGGGAGGCATATAAAAACTAGGGGATAAAGAAAAGGAAACGACGGAAAAGAAGGAAAGAAAAAGAAAGTCCACCCACTTAACAACTGGTATGACAAAACTAGTGTAGAACCGAGCCACTGGGACGGTTATCTCCATGGCGAGCTCTGTTGAACGGACGTAGATTTTACGGTTACGTAAAGGGCACGGCCTACAGGACAGAACGGGACACAACTGTCTCCATCAATTAACGATTTCAATCTCTTAATTTTGACCCTATTTTGACAGTTCCAGTTACGCTGTATTTGACAAGAAAAACAAGAGGAAGAAAAAAAGAAAAAGAGAAAGATCTTGCTATAAACCGAGAAACCAAAGGCCGGCTATTAGTCACAGCTACCTTAGGTAGAGGTCGGGAACCTTGCACCCGTCCAATTATCGCGCAAGCTGGGTTAGCTACCTTAGGTACTAAAGGTGTCATATTCTATTACATGAGCCACGGTATAGTGCTCTCCTATTAGTTAGAGGTGCCCTACTATCCTCGCTTAGAAGGTTGTAGATATATGTAGGACACGTATACCCGCCCCCTTTTTCTTTCTCTTTTATATACAATATAATTATATATTTCCTGAATTAACGCTCCCTATAAGCACGCTCCCGTTAAGTTAATAGTTATAAGCCCGGGTAATAGTAATAACCAGTAACTTCCTGCTAATCTATTATCTACGTTTATTTTTATATACTTTTATAGTATTACGGAGCCCTTTTACGTTCTCTCTCCTAATAATAAGCTCTTATTCGCTAAACCCTTACTCGATACTATATCGAATAAGCTTAAGATCACGGCTAAAGCGCTTAGTATCCCGCGCCTTAAATCCACGCGGTAATAGGCCGATTAGATCTTCTATATCTAGCCATATACGTAAAGGATAAAGGTTTAGGTATTACTTGATCCTAGCTAAAAGGATTAGCTAGATAACCGTCCTAAGTATATTATACCTAAATCCCTAGATTAACTACGCGAATAGTATTCCTAAAGCGAGGGCGATAATACTATTATACCCTTAACGTAAGAGCTTATACGCCTCGCTGAAATTAAGAACTAGCAGACTATAGCCTAGAATTAAAAGCTCGGTCGCCTTATTAAGGCGCTCGATAAGGCTAATTAACTACTTAAAACCACCGTGGAGACCTCTACTTATTAATAGGCTATCGAAAAAGCTATTAAGAGATATCCCGGCTATAATAAGGAAAAATAAAATAAAGACTTTACGTTACGCTACGTAATAAAAGAACTTAAGAGTAGCTTTGCTCTAAGTAGTATTCATATAAAGGAAAAGGTAAGATAAGTATACGAAAAGTATCTATAAGACGCTCGTCGAGCTAATACTAAAGTGGCTATATAGTATATAGAGTAGAATACCCTTATTAGACACGCACGTTAGTAAAAGGTAGCCGAGATTAAAAGACCTATTACTATTCAGAACTTCCTTATAGCAGTTAGATAGAAGTTTACGCCTATTTAGGCAGAAACTAAGCTTTAGGAGCTAATAATAAAAGAGGTCCGCGGCGATAAGATTTCCGATCTTCTAATATACGGCCGTGAGTTTAACGCTATTATAAGCGCTTTAACCACGGATAGAACGCGTTACGGCGTTTACGGACCCTAAAAGACCGCTTAGATAATAACGAAGGCGGAAAGAAGCCTAAGAAGAAAAGCACTAATTACCCCTATTAACGCGAATATACTTAGAAGCCAGAGCACTATAATAAGCTAGAGTACGCTTTAACCGGAAAATACGAGTAGAGATCTAATACTTGTATTAATAATAAGTGGTGTAAGGAGATACGGAAGGAGATTAAGCTTCTAAAGTAGAAGAGCTTACGCGAAAAACTATCGAAAAAGGGATAGGAAAGCTCGGAGAGCGGTAGTAGTAAGGGAGATAGGTATCCTAGGAAGGTTATTATAACTATCCTAGATCCCGCCCTTATCTATACTATAGAAAAGGTCCTTAGGATCTACGCCGTGCTCCGACTAGGCCCTTACCCGCTTTTATAAAGCACTCTTCTTAATAATTACGGCGTAACTTACCTTATTAACTTAATTGACCTGCTTATTCTAGGTTCCTTTATTCCTATAAAGGGATTTATCGAATCCGGTATAACCGACTTTCCGATTATTAGTAAAGGTAAACGGCTTCTTAAGAGAATCCTTAATAGACTTTTAGGTACTCTAAAAGCAAACTTAGAGCTTAACGATATAGTCGTTATAGAGGGATTTTACACGAATATTATATTAAAAGCTCTATTATATAAGGTTAGGATCTAGTATTCGGGATATAACTGCTTATTACGCTTTAGAATAACAGAGAAGAGCGTGGTCTTATTAAAGCTGCTTCGACGCTTTAATATAACTATCCTTTAGTATAAGCTAATTTTATCTTCTTCTTCTTATTCGTTATTCTAACCGATACTATATAGTATTATTCCGATTAATTACGACTATTAATATATATTAGTTATAGCAGTTAATAGACCATTAAAAGCTTACCGATATTACCGACCTTCCCGCGACCCTCCGTGTCCACGAGTTAACGAAGAATAGTTATAGTATTTAAGAGCAGGCTATCTTAGACTAAGCACTCTACGAGTATTAGTTTATAATACTAGGAATATATTAATTAAGGGAACTAAGCGGATAGACTATAAGATATACTCCCGAACCTAGGTATATTAAGTTATATCTCGACACACGTTAGAACACCGCTCCCTATAACCGTTTTAGCGTATTTATTAGGATCTTTAAGAGCTATCTAAGAGCTATAATGGTATACGATATCTTTTTATAATAAAGGACGAATATAGCGGCTAGATCTACACTGTTCTCGCTTAGCTAAGCTAGGCTAGCCACCTAGGCAATAGTCCTTCTCTAATTCTTAAGGGGAAACCGTTAATGGATAAAAACTCCTGCACTCTTATTATATAGGTAGTTCTATTGTGCGTGGCCGCTGCGGTGTCGCTCCGCGGCCCCGTTTTTATCGCTATTCGAAAATCGGATCTTACCTCCGGGCTAATAGCTAACGGGGGTCGGCTAGTTAGTTTAGTAGGTGCCGTGTCGGTCGTACGCGCCCTTGGTACGCT